TATATACAGAAGAATCCGTTGACTCCGCCTATATTGACCAACCGATTACTATGACGTATTTACAGTATGTTATTTGGTTTTCATGTATTTATAGAGGTCGGATATAATGACTTCCCTTACAGTGACATGTCGCTTATAAAGACCCATACCGCACAAACAAAAGTGGACAAAAATTACAGATTACTTACATTAAAAAATACACTTGTATGTGTATAATGTACTGATTACGTGCAATTTTTATTTTCATTTAATATGTATATATACACATGAAGTTACTATGTTTCTCTACTTAAGCACATACATACATCCTTTCGATGTCATTATAAACGGATTCAACGGTATATCTATCTATATATATATAGATAGATATAATATAATACATACATATAATACGACTGCGACTCATGTCATTCCAGAGGGTTCCATGTTACGCCTATTATCCTATAAATTCATTAACTATATTAATAATTTGTACTAAAAGCGTAAATTATAAAATAACAGGTTAAGTACTAAGTTTATTAAATCTATGCCCCGTATCTTACAAATTCATGATGATTGTAATGATCCAAATTAGGGGCTGAATATAATTAATAAATTAAATTAAATAAAACAAAAAAAAATAATACAGGTATTTACAGATACTAATTCATCACACAGAAATGTAGGAAGGGTACGTCACACTTCCTAAAATATCAGAAATAATACTAATGAACACAACAATAAAGTCGATTTTTCAATATCATTCTCTAAAACTATTCACAAAATTAAATTTTATTTTTTTATTATTACGAAAAAAAAGTTAAACTTATAAATTTTAATATATTCGAATAATTTTGACCTGATTTAATATTAAAAATAAAAGAAATATTCGAGTTTTTTATTGTTTTTAAAATTTCCTTCGCCTATAGAAATCAGTGCTGATAATGTAAGCTAAACCGAGAAATATTAACTGTATTTGATCATTAAAAGAAACCAGGGTTGTTACTGATGTGTTGTTTACACTAGGTCGTGTTGAGTGGAGCGCATTTATTCTTAAAAACTCGTCTTGACCGATCAGATTTTTTTTAGTGGTAAACGATGAAGGTTAGGTTGAGCTTCGATGAAATTTTGATCTTGTTCGATCAAGCCGTTTTGGAGAGCCGTTACAAGGAGTGCAAATCTGATCTCTAAGATCGCTCCCTCTTCGCGCTCCGGTCAATAAATATCCATACTATATTTGTACTAATACAAAAAACTAATTTAAATAATGCAATAAAACCTTGACTAAATTTTGAAATTTATAGTTTTAGATTTAGAGATACTAATATAAGTGAAACTAAATTAAATTAATGCGATTATATATATATATATATATAATTAAATTTCGCTAAAGTATTAAATTAAAATTTTAGACACAAATTCGTGGCACTACAGAGACCAATATCCGTCCAATTCGAGTTTTTGTAATATTTGCTCGATAACACTACTAATGTAGTTTATAGGGTCTTAATAACAAATAATTTTATGGTATACTAGCTGACCTCTCCAATGTCGTCTGTTTCATTTTATTTATTACGGTCTCGGTGGTCTAGCGACTTAATACACCGCTTTAAATTTTGCATATGGCAAGGATACAACAATAAATACAATAGTATATATTCTTGTACCCTTGCCAAGCGGACGCAGGACATTATTGCCCAATTTTATTTTTATTTTTTCTATGTACTGAGGCTAAATGCGTCATCCCATACAGCCCGTGTAAACTGGTATCTTTTTAAAATGTTTTAGCGTTATCTTGCGTAGTCTGCTCAATGTAACACTAGATGAATATTATGAAGAACGATGAAGAAAAGATGTTACGGGTGGCATGGCGTTCCGCGTTCCCTTCCCGCAATGGTCGCGATGGTCGCGGGATCGATTCCTCGCACGGTGCAAACATTTGTATTCATGAGTATAAATGTTTGTATCGGTCTGGGTGTTTTCTATATATATTTTATCAGTTTGTATCTGTTATTAGTTTATTTATATCAGTTGTTTAGTACCTATAACACAAGCTCTGGCTTACCGTGGGACTAGATGCCGCTGTGTTTGTTCAGGATCATTTTTTTTTCATTCTAGCTCCTTTCATATTGGATGTAGCATATTAAATACATATTATACTATATAATGCCATAAATATTATACTATACTTATTGCTGTTTATTTATCTGTGCGCAATAAAGTTATTATTATTATATAAACGGTAGCCAATAAATGGGCTATATAATACCAAGAATTATTAAAATAATAATTTTGGTAACTAAATAAATTATTATTATTATTAATTATCAAAATTGGAACAGTGCCACCGGAGATTATCCATAACCTCCAAACTAGCAAACTTTATCACTTTATAATATTAAATCAACTCAAAAATCATTTATTCAAGTAGAACTTTTAGCCGCTTATGAATGTAAAATTTTTTGTATTATATTTTTTGCCTACCTTCCAATTCAGTATGCAGATTCCATTGAGAAGAAACTCAACTAAATTTCATTTTTTTTTAAATGTGTATGTACTTACGTTGATGTCTATGTCCAATATGAAATGAAAATCCCGTGCATGTACAACTATTGCCATGCACGCTCGTCATTCACGTAATCGTTCAATGAGTTAGGCTTTGCTCAGCAAATATGATTTAACAAATTAGTACATCTTATATATAAAATTCTCGTGTCACAGTTTTCGTTCCCATACTCCTCCGAAACGGCTTGACCGATTCTCATGAAATTTTGTGAGCGTATTGAGTAGGTCTGAGAATCGGCCAACATCTATTTTTCATCCCCCTAAATGTTAGGGGTAGTCCACCCCTAATTTTTTTATTTTTTATTTTAAGGCAAAACAACGTTTGCCGGGACCGCTAGTATAATAATTCTAGACGTTTCTAGACTAGTCAAGAGTTAATGATTCAGCTGACTGACCTTATTGATCATAAAACTATTTGTGTTAAGACCCGATTAACAATATTAATAATATATATTGTATATAATATGAAACTATAAAAAGAATGTTCCTCTCTTATTAGAGCATATAATTATTTAAGTACAATTGGAGATACATATATATGTATACACATATATACATACAATAATAGTTATACATCAATATTCTTTATCTTTAAATAGTATAAAATGAAGTTGCTTCTGCTACCTTATCGCTTAGACCAGTGATTCCCAAAGTGGTCTATATCGACCCCCAAAGGTCTATGACAAATTGCATGTGATCTACGACAGCGGTCATCTTGTTGTTTTTTACTTTATGTTTTTAACACTAAACTTTACTACAGTTAGAAATTTACAAAAAAAATCAATACCAGGTAAGAATGGGGGGTCTAGCCAAAACCGAAAAATATGGCAAGGAGTCTACGACACAAAAGAGTTTGGGAACCTCTGGCTTAGACCTTTTAAACTACGGAACCGATTTTAATAGTTTTTAGCAATAGGTAGATTCAAGAGGAAGATTTATATGTATCATACATGTACACCCGCGCGAAGCCGGGAAGTGTAACTAGTTGTCAATAAAGATTAGCTGGATAGTACAATAGATAAATTAAATGATAAAATTAATCACTAAATAACTGAAAAGAACTGTCATGGTTTCATGAAGAGTGTGCATCTTTTTGAATTACATTAACTAAAGAGAATTTTATATACTGATCAATGGAAATCACAACAAATACGTCATAGCACATATACAATATATCATCAACGAATTAAACAATTTTTAACCAGACAAAAACCAAGTTTGAGTGACTGATGGTCGGTGGTACTACCAGTACTTTTATACTAAGTATAATTGCGCTGCATGCGGTCGACCCCAGTCAGATCAGTAAAAGTGTAACAAAATTATTAATTTGCGTTTCACACCTAATATTATCGAGCGTACACCGATAGCGCAACCGCTATATTGAAAGGAGATCAAATGTAAAATCACATTAATAAAAAAAAAAAAGAATAATTTCCGTAGAGATTTGGTTGTCAAGATCTTAGTTATAGGGATTAACAATTATTCAGATTATAAATCGTAATCAGATGTATGTATAAATACATACATTACACATATACAGCACATTCATAATAATAATATAATATCTCAGGACAATTTCACGCAGCGATATCTAACCCAAGCTAAGCAGAGCTTGTGTTACGGGTATAGGCAACTGATACAAAACCATACGTTTTTTTTGTAAATATATACATAATATATATAGAAAACACCTAGACCAATCAATACAAACAATTATATTTATGTATATAAATGTTTATGCCGTGCGAGGAATCGAGCCTGCGACCTTCGGAAGTAAGTCGATGTGCTGAACCGTATGTTTGTATTTACAAAAAAAATATATATTTATATCAGTTGTCTAGTACCCATAACAAGAGCTCCGCTTACCTTGGGACTAGATGGCGCTGTGTGAATTGTCCTGAAATATTATTATTACAATAATAATTGATTTAGTTTATTGACCTGAATATCCGGTTCGAAGGATCAATGGTCGCGGTGTTACCCTAGTGAGGGCGGATAAACGCAAAATGAACTTTGGTATCAACACATTAGGCATTAAAATTGAGTAATTCAAAAAGATGCTAATACGTTCGAAACAGGTTGAACTGTTGAAGATAGATTTTAAGTACATACTCCCTAATATTTCGAGAATATTCTATAATGTATAATAAATAATAATTAGGCTAAATAGAGAATACGACAGGGGCCGTTCAAGTATTGCGTAAGCAGATTTATTACAATTATTTACAACCCCATCCCCGTTGTAAGCAAAAGTAAGCAAAGCTCTTACCCCCTCCCCCCCATGCTTACGTAAACATTTTTCGATTAAGTATTGTTTTTTTAGCAGACAATGTGAGGGTTGCCATTCGTGTAAAAAAGTAAATAACTACCGATAACGTAATAATCATCTAGTCTCCCCCACCCCCCATGTCATCGAAAATAAGCAAAGCAAAGACCCCCGCACCCCCTTAGTGCTTACGGAATACTTGAACGGGCCAGCACGAGTTGTATACTGTCGTTGAAACTAAATCCAACAGTTCTAAACCGTAGAAGAGCTGTCAACCTTCACGGCTGATAGCAGAAAGGGCATAGATTGAAAATATACTGTTACATAGCATCACTCCTATTATTTTTTTGAGTGAGCTTGCTTAATGTACTTAGCTGCGGGAATGCTGTTTTATTCTGCACTGGATTCAACTTCGATGTCATAAAGATGAAAGGCTCGTATAGTGAGGGACGGTCCATTGCTGATACTTCGAAATGTCGGACTTTCTCTCTGGCGCACCAGTTGGACGCTTTTGAGCAGGTGTTCTCGAGACTGTTGATGTCATCTGGACCAGTGCGGTTACCGATTACGAGCATTACTACCTGTAATCAATTTGTGTTTTTTTTTTATATACTATGATGTTAGGAAACAAGCATACGGTCCATCTACTGTTAAATGGTTACCGTAGCTTATGTATACTAGCGTATTTGACGGCCACGATGTTCTAGTGGTTATAGCACACTGCGTTACTCCCGATGGTAGCACTTTTGACTCCTCATACGGTATAAATATTTGTATTCATGAATATGATTGTTTTTATTGGTCTGGGTGTTTTGTATATATACTATTTATGTAAGGGATTGTCCATTAATCACGTGAGGCTTGAAAGAGGGAGGGAAGGCGAGTGTAGTAAGATATCACGTGTATTAATTTTTTCTATTTTTATGGCAGTCAAAAACGCTAAACATTTTTATCATAATAAAATAGAATTATTATTTTTATATTTTTTATTATATATATATATATATATATTTTTTTTTTTAAATATTATCTTTAAATACAGGTATAAACACCTGTATTTAAAGATAATATTAAAAAAAAATTAAGATGCTTTGCAGGAACTAAAAATACATGTGATGTTGTGGGGATGGGAGGGATTGTCTTAAACCTCACTACGTCTCGCCAAGGGAGAGAAGTGGGTTAAGAAATGCTAAGAAAAGATCACGTGATTAATACGGCCTCTATTTACAAAAAAAAAATATTTATAGTATTTATACACTGGTATAAATACTATAAATATTTTTATAGTATTTATACCAGTGTAGAGTTAGAGCTCGTGTTATGGATACTAGACAACTGTGTCTAGTATCCATAACACGAGCTCTGCTTATGAGGATTAGGTGGCGTTGTGTGAACTGTTTATGAGCCTGATTAGAATTGTAGTTAGTTCTATACTGATATTACACAGATATATATTGTTTTATAAATATATACATAATATGCAGACTGCTACGAACAATTATATTCTTGAATACAAAATGTTTGCGTAACCGTTGCGTGTAAAGTGCGAATACTGTAACTACCATATAGTAATTTTAAGTAGTTATGACGTGGTCGAGGGGAATGAGTAGTCATGCTCACTAAAATGTCCAGACATGTGGCGGCGTGGTGGGCCGGGTCATTGGGCTCCCTAAAATACGGTCGAGCGCAGTGATGGCTGGCTCATCCGTCATACTCGTGAACGACTGCTGCTTGTAGGGACTGGTCTGCTCTTATCACTACGACTGATTTAATCTTATTGTGTATTTATATTTGACCCTAATAAATTAGTGCTGTATTCATACGTTTCGACTTGTAAATATGAAATGACAAGGATTATTTAAAAGAGCAACACACAAGTTTTTGCTCGTTCTTCTTGTGAAGCTTTCTGAATGAGTGGTAGATAAAAAAAAATTGTTCTGACTATTCAAAAGTGTTTAATTTATGTTTATTTGAATAAATGATTTTCTATTCTTTCTATTCTATTATTGTACCGTACCAGGACACAAACCCACAACCATTGGAAGTTAAGTGCTAAACCATTAGACTACTGTGGCCAATTTGTATTTACATACCTCTTTCTTATCTTTATTCCTGTCTATATCCTTTTTCAGGTACATGAGTACATCGAGAGACTCAGGTTTTGTTGTATCATATACCATTACAAAACCTTCAGCAAAGCCCAGGTAGTGCCTCTGGAGTACTTGATTGGCTGTCAGCTGCATTGTTGGCGACTGTGGTGGACCTATTGATGATCAAAAGATTTTTTTATATTTAACCTGAGGTGATCGCTGGAAAAAATTACACTGTAATAGGTCTTTATATCTTTTCAGAGATTAGCAAAAACAAACAGACAGACAAGAAGTCTGAATTTTTTATATAATGGCAATATTTACTTTCATATGCTTACACTAAATGAAGAGCTGTTAATTTAAAATTACACACTTAAATTTTATTTATTTAGAGAATTTATTTGAGAATGAATTTCACACATAAAGTCATTCCACAATACATCAGCTTTCACTCAGAACTCATTAAAAAAAAGTAGCTAAGGAATAATGATAATTATTGCATAGAAGCACACTATAATGACTGCAATGAAACTGATTAAAAATAAAAAAGATAATAACATAAAAATATAAAAAATTCACCAACTGTGTCTCTTGCCAGTTTTCCACTGGGGTAACTAGCCAAACTGAACTGTATGGTAGTCTTACAAATACAAATATACAAATACGAATATCTTTATTTTGACTCCAAAGTGGTTTACAGGATTTTAAAAAATAGTGATAAAAAATTAAGAAAAAATAAAAGAGGTCCTATATGATTATTTTTATTTTGAGTGAGTAAGCAATGAGGTGATCTTCTAAAAGCTGAAATGATTCAATTAAAAAAAGATTTGAAACCTTTAAACTCGCCTGTAAGCGGTGGCTCAAGTCCTGCTGTATCATAGAAACACACACGTTCTTTCGTACCTCTATCTGTCTCAATATTTGCCACATAGATATCCTCTATTGTTGGATAAAAAGATGACTTCAAATTCACATTTCCGTATATTAATTGCTCTAATACTGCAGTTTTACCGACTCCTTTCATGCCACATATGACTACTTTACTAGTTTTACCCATTTTATTCAAAGAATAAAAATTATGTGTTTTGGACTACTAAGTTCTATAAAACATGTTTAAATTTTGGTGTGTACTGAACGTACGTTAAATACATTAATTAAAATAATTTACAGTTGGGTTTTAATTTGTGTTAAACAATAATTTAAATAAACAAAATTCATATACGTAGCGATATCTTACATCAGTAATTTGATTGATGGAATGATTAAGAATTACAAATTGAATGATCTGATTTGACAAAATTAATGACAGACACAACCAGTAGAGTACAGAGTAGTGATCGGCATTATTTGACATTGACATATTTCATTTAATTTTCAATGTCAGCAATCAGTGCCATCACCCAATTAATTAACCAAAGTTTTCAATATTATTGTGTTCCGGTCTTTATTATGAAAATAATTAATTTTTCTCTACGTCGTATATTGTGTTAAATTCATTAAATATATTTACATACATTTGCTTCGCATAATTAAACAAATAAAGTTGTATGACTGTTGAAAATTGACACCATGGCAGCATTATCAGCTTCAACATTGGATTCTGAAATTACAAAAAGTGATAAATATTCTATTTTATTACCGACTTACAACGAAAGAGAAAATTTGCCAATTATAATATGGCTAATTATTAAATATATGGATCCCAGGTAATATCGTATTTACATTGTTGATTTATTATCAATAGTAACTTATGACAATACTAGCTGTCCCCGCGACTTCGTTCGCGTGGATACTGGCTCTAATCCAAAAAGCCATAGAAAAAATTTTCATAGTTCTATCTTAAAAAATAACGAATTTCCATACAAACTTTAAATTTTATTATACTCAATTTAGGGTAACATTTTTACAAACTTTGAATGTCCTATATTTATATTGAATCAATAGCTTAAAAAATAAGTTTCAAGCTATCATATTTTTAAAGTTAGAAATTTTAAAAATAAAAATACCTCCATACAACTTTTCGTCTTTCTTTTCATCCCCTTCCAACCCTTTTTTCACATTCAAATAGCCTGTTCTTTCTCAGGATCTAGACTATATTTGTACCAAATATCATTTAAATAGCTCCAGTAGCTTTGCTGTGAAAGTGCAACAGACAAAGTTACTTTTGCATTTTTAATATTAGATTTTTTTAGCGGTTTCGATTATGAAGTAATTGTGATTGATGATGGAAGCCCCGATGGAACATTGGAAGTGGCCAAGCAGCTTCAGAAAATTTATGGGCCCCAAAGAATAGTGCTACGTCCGAGAGAGAAGAAATTGGGGCTAGGTACAGCTTATATACACGGTATAAAACATGCAACCGGCAATTTTATCGTTATCATGGATGCTGATTTGAGCCATCATGTAAGCACTTTATTATTTAATACGGCACATCCATAAATGTAACATAAAATACGAGATATAAAGACCAACTTGCTGTTCCTAAATACTTTGATAAAGTAAATTTGTAGGAATGGGTATAAATATTTACAATAAGAGACCAAGTCATATACTGGAACCTTTAAAAAAATTCGAAACATCTGTTAAATCATATTTATTGAGTAAAGTCACTCACTGGCAACAGTTGTTAATGCTTGGGATTTTCATATAATGTTAGACATAGACACCTATATAAGTATATAATGTAAATAACCTGGCCTTTAAGAAAAAATAAATACAGTTGAGTTCCTCAACAGTTGTTCTCAATTGAATCTGTATATTGAATTGTATGACAGAAAATATATTAATACATAAAAAATTACAAGGGAAATGAAAATGAAATTATGAATTAAAAATGAAAAATAATTTATTCATATAAGAAAGAATAAATTATTTCTTATTTTTAATTGACTTGATTTAAGTTAGGAATAATAGAATAATACTAGCTGTCCAGGCAAACATTGTTTAGCCTTAAAAAAAAATTTAGAGGTGGACTACCCCTAACATTTCATGAAAAATAGATGTTGGCCGATTCTCAGATCTACTCAATACACTCACAAAATTTCATGAGAATCGGTCAAGCTGGAGGAGTATGGGAATGAAAACTGTGACACGAGAATTTTATATATAAGATAATTCCTATACTGATTGTAAAGAAAAAAACAAGATAATTAAAATTCTATGTTTATAGTGATTAAGTTGGAAATATTTTGCAAGTAATTTATTAATAATATGTAAGATATATTAAAACTGACACTTGCTTCATTATGTATGTATGTATGTATTATTCTATTTACATAAAGAATGCTTATTTTAGTAATATTTGATAATAATAGTAATAATCATCTTTATTTGTCTCAAACAAAAAAAAATACAATTGTTGCCCACACAATAATAATGTAATAATATATTTATTGACACCAATTTAAGTAGTTGCAGTTCTTCTTCTTATAAACTATTACATTTTTGTTAAATATAATAAAATTTAAAAGTAATGAAGGAGATGAAACGGTCTATAACTCAGAGGGCGCAGTGAGTCCACCCTCTCTGCTATTCTGTTATAGCCTTTACCAGCAAATTATTAGATTGATGTCGACTATAGCACATTGAGTTAAGTTCGAACTACGTTCAGTTTATATGCCTTATAAATTTTATTGCAGCCTAAATTCATACCAGATTTCATAGAACTACAACAGGAACATGACTACGACTTGGTATCAGGCACACGTTACGCCCGCGGTGGAGGAGTCTACGGGTGGGACTTTAAAAGGAAACTCATATCGCGTGGCGCCAATTTCCTCACCCAGATGCTACTCAGGCCAGGAGCCTCAGATTTGACTGGATCATTTAGGTTGGTTAGCAGTTTATTTATTTTATTTTTATTTACTAACTTTATTGATGGCCTCAGTGGTCCAGCGGTTTAACATACCGCTTTACTTCCAATGGTCGCGGGTTCGATTCCTCGCACAGTGCAAACATTTGTATTCATGAGTATGATTGTTTGTAACGGTCTGGGTGTTATCTATGTTTATTATGTATTCACAAAAAAAGGTATCTAAGTATTTATATCAGTTGTCTAGTATCCATAATACAAGCTCTGCTTACCGTGTGACTAGATTGTCCAGAGTTATTTATTTATTTGTTTGCACATTTTCACATTAACAGGTACAGGCAAAATGCTTAAATAAACACATATTGGTGAATTCACCAGGAAATAAGCATGATGATGTCATTGTGACTGTCAAAGGTGATTGTGTGATCAAGTTACTGTGGTACATTGCTGTATTAGGGTCACTATTATCCAATAGTTGCTATGCGACGCACCTAAATACATCAATTTTGTATTTACAATTAATTATGGCTAGTACGACAAACTAAATATTGTCTACTAACCACTGCTGTGTCCAAACTGTGTCACACCTTACATTTTCCTATTGATATTTAGTATATAGGATCAATATTTTCACGTACATTTTCTCAGTCTATTATCATCTGTAATATACATCGTCTCAACCGACAACATCATATTATTACCCTGCAACAATTGCCTTTATATGTACGCTCATTCAAGTTTTTTGTTTTATGGATGACAATACGAGTGATGCACTCGCCTGCGCTAACGGTTTACTCTGGCGGGGCACCAGTGGAGGTATAAGATGAACATGAGGTCAGGTCAATTGTCATGAGGCCCATCGCGACATATTCAACAAGAATTTATCATGATGGTTTCCGGTGAACCGCGTGGAGGTCAAATTGACATAGTACATTGCTAGCAATGAGATCATCAGTCCATATTACTAACAATGTCCTTTCCCCCCCGCTCATTCAGGTTGCGTTTCCATGTTCAGCCGCTCCATAAGTCCTGCAGGTTTGGAGTGCCATCTGCACTCACCCCTATCGTTCGGGGGTAAGGGGATTGTTAGTAATGTGGACTGATGATCCCATTGCCAACAATGTACCATGTCAGGTTGACCTCCACGAGGTTCCCCCTGGAAATAAATTCACCGGGAATTTATCACGATGGGCTAACTGACCTGACTTCATGTTCATCATATCATCCTCCACTGGTGCCCTGTCAGCGTAAACCGTTAGCGCAGGCGGGTTCATTATTACATTATCATCCACTAAAATAAAATAACCCCTATCATTCGGTAAAGCTGTAAAGGCCAGCAAACAACAGCTAACAGCATATAGTCCAAAAAATACAATGACATGTATTTTTGATGCATCTATTCATAAATTAACTTAAAACTTTCTAAATTCCTTCCAGATTGTACAAGAAAGATGTTCTACAGAAGCTGATCGACTGCTGTGTATCAAAGGGCTATGTCTTCCAAATGGAAATGATCATACGGTAAACAAATATATAGCATATAGAACAATAGAAGCAAACATACAGACAAAATCGCATTGCCTACACATAAAACTGTATTTTTTAGAGGAGGTTTCAGATTCTCTGCAGCAAAGATCTGGAATGATCTCCCCCCACCGTCTTAAAATGTCCCAATTTAGTTTCAAATATAAATTGAAAATAGTTTTACTGGAAAAACAAATTTTAAATAATTGAAAAACTGAATATTAACATAACATACGGGTATCATAGTCTCATGGGTGCCAATGGGCTTGTATTCGTATATTTAATATGATATATGCCTTGATTGTTGACTTCTACGACAAAAGAGGTGAGATCTAAACGGGTGCCAATTTCAATGGTCTGAAATGTATTTATGTAGACATATTATATACTAGCTGTACCCGCGACTTCATCCTAGTGAAATTTAACTTTATTTTTCTAAAATAAAACTAGCCTAAGTTACTCATTACATCAACTACCTGCCAATAAAAGTTCCGTCAAAATCGGTCCAGCCAATTCAGAGATAGACAGACAAACGGACAAAAATTTAAAAAAATGTTATTTTGAAATATCTTTTGTATTTATATTCATAGGCATTTAATAAAAAACGGTTATTTCAACATTATAAACAGACAATTTATATATGTATAGATAATAAAGGATAAATATATATTTATTTATTTTCAGGGCTAGACAGCTGGATTATACAATAGGGGAAGTGCCAATAACGTTCGTCGACCGCGTTTACGGGGAGTCGAAGCTGGGCGGTTCGGAAATCTTCCAGTTTGCTAAAGCATTGCTGTATCTCTTTGCCACCACATAATATAACTCAAAATATACTTTAAGAAGGTTCGTTCTGATCCTACGTATTTTTTATACTGTGGTCGAGTAGTGGTTGCAATTCGACCATAATTAATTTAACATTCAGTGAGACTATAGACCAGGGTAGGCGAACCAATGGCACGCGTGCCATTGACGGCACGCGACACAATATTTTGGGCACGTCGTCGATCATAAAACTGTTTGAAGAAGCTGGCTCATGCTATTTTAACAATATTTTCAACTACCTATGCCTGCGAGTCATTATTTTCAGAGATAAATAACATTAAATACTCGGTTAGAAACCGTTTGACAGATGAATCCAGTTCAACATGCATTTTGCTAAAAGTAACATTGTACAAGCCTGACATATATTATTTGTCATCTAACCTGCAGCAACAGAAGTCACTCTAATTTTACAGTAATTTAATTTATGCGTGTAATGAAAGCAATCCAAAATGTACCTCATTTGTTATGTTATTTCATAGAGAGTTTTGATAGTATTTATTATTATTATTTTCCAAATAATCAGAAAGTCAAAATTATTTGATGGCACGACAATAACCCCATTAAACATTTTGTGGAAAAAAATGGCACGTTGATGCATAAAGGTACGTCTACTCTGCCATAGACAAATAATAATCTAGTCTTAATTAGTAAACAAAACAGTATAGATATGTGTATATCAAATAATATTACTATGTATGGAATACAACACTACTGTTTATTGTACAAAGGGATATAGTAATTTATTACTTTCAAAGGTTATCACCTGTACAATTCACACATCATCACCTAGTTCCAAGTCAATTAGAGCTTGTGTTGTTCGGTACTAGACAACTGATGTAAATACTTAGATTTTTTGTAAATACATACATAATATATATAGAAAACACTCAGACCGATACAAACAATCATACTCATGAATACAAATTTTTGTACCGTGAATCGAATCCTCCTCCATTCATTGTAACGGTCACATCATATTTTGTTTCTTACAGTTTGTATAATACACAGTAGTGTAATTAAGCATACGACTCGCCTTATAACATATTTTTTTTAATAGAAAAATATTTTTTTGTATTCACTCTTCTTCACACCAATACGCATTTTTATTAAACAGTAGTATAATTATATAGATTTGGCATACGACTCGCCTTATGATTCCCGAGTTGCCTTTTTTTTTAATTTTAATAATAACCATCGGAAGTCAAGCGGTAATCAAAAATAATACTTCTATATTATTTCAGGCAATCACAGACAATAGAGTAGTCCAAGACCATAAATTTCCATAAAGAATGCTCCTGAACCACCCTTTTTTTTTTACTTGGAGAAAATCCCTCATGGAGACCCGCCCGCCCCGGGGGAGGCAAGCGGGTACTGTGAGACTCCTACTCACTAAAAACTCCAAGGTATCCCGACGAAGCGGCTATAGCCGGAGTCGCGGGATCGAATGTCAGTCCACCGCAACTCCGGCGGCGTTCCTGAACCACCCTAAGTCAACTACCTATAACCAGCGGCGGCCTTACCCATTGCGGAGCTCCGGTCTATACTGGGCCCTTTGCCCTAAGTGAAAAGTATGTGATGCGAACGATTATGCGGAAATATTCCAGATTCAAGAATACTATAGATTTTTTTAATAATTTCTTTTTGTTTATTTTATCGTTGGTAATTTTGTATATTTGCAATTAAATACATAAATCAGGAAGTTTTTGCAACTTGCCACCAGGGGGGGCCTTTCAAGTATTACGTAAGCACTATGGGGGGCGGGGAGTTTTTGCTTTGCTTATTTTGGATGACATGGGGGGTGGGGGAGTCTAGATGATGATTACGTCATCGTTAGTTATTTACTTTTTTACGCAAATGGCAACCCTCACATTGTCTTTGATAAAAAAACAATACATAAAAGAAAAATGTTTACTTAAGCATGGGGGAAGGGGTAATGTCTTTGCTTACTTTTGCTGACAAGGGGTTTGGGGGGGGGGGGGGTAAATAATTGTAATAAATCTGCTTACGTAATACTTGAACGGCCCTAGGCAAAATGATTTGCTTGTTTACAATTTGCTTTGGTTGTTACACGGGTCCCCAGCAAGAGCGAGACCTAGGCTATTGCCCTCTTCGCCACCCCTTAAGTCCGTTACTGCCTATAACACCAAATGACTGGTGTCATTTGGTGTTATAGGCATCATGGTCACACAGACCGGTTCCATAGACAATAATTAAAAATAAATTTCAAAGGACACACTAAATATAATACTGAATTAACTCCAAACATACAATTTCTAGTAAATGAACTTTAATGTTAAAGCTATGTATGTATATATAGTTGATTTTCTAATAAATTTATTGTTCATTTAATAAAAGGTAATGTGTGATGCGTAAGAATAATATATTGTTATATTGTGATAGAATTATTTTGTATTGACTATGCAAGAATCTATAGTCAGAGAGGTACTGGCTTGTTTGTTATAAAGAATAAATATCTTGTTTTTTAGTAACGTATATTGTCAAACTTGAACTAACTTACTAAACAAATTGAAGAAGCCGAAATTCCACTGTCTCAAACCATGACGTTGGCGAAATAAACTAAACAAGTTATTGTGACATTCCTGCCTTTATCGATGTACCCAATCTTTATCAATATCATTATTTATTACATAGTATAAAATAAAGTCGCTGTCGCTGTCTGTCCCTGTGTATGCTTAAATCTACAAAACTACGCAACGGTTTTTTTTTAATAGATAGAGTGATTCTAGAGGAAGGTTTATATACATATTAATACATGTACTCCCGGGCGAAGCCGGGGCAAGTATATAGTGTGGAATAAATGTCTCGAAGTATTGTAGTCGCAATTATGCAATGTCTGAATTGAAATGTAATAAGGGATTTTTATTTAATGTTAGACATAGACACCTATATATATACATTGTAAATAAACTGGCTTTAAAAAAAAATAATCCAATTGAGTTTCTTGCCAGTTCTCAATTGGATCTATATACTGACTTAGCCGCTTCTGAATTTGACGTTCATAAGAGTCTAAAATGTCCTATATGAATAAATATTTTTTTAATTTGAAAAATTAATCGAATTTGTATAAAAATGATTGGTCCAGGTTGCGAAATTACCTATAGTGATAAGACAGTTTTTTTACGATGAACTTTTTTAATAGTTTTTTTTACTTTATTTCTTATCAGTGCGCTATAAAGATTTATTATTATTAAAATTACCAACTCTCTGACTATAGATGGGCTAGTGGAGACTGTTACATGATAAGTATAATTTTATTTATATGTACACAGATAAATTAATAAACAATTGTTTTATATTTTAAACTTGTCTGTATTAATTCCTAGTACTACTACGGTTGAACAGTTTTTTTTAATATCATATCTTTTTTAGCGAAATAGACTAACGCTAGAAACAGTATGAACAGTCATTTTTTTTTTTATTTCACTATTTAGCGGGTGAGACAAAGGTAGCTCCGTGGTTACCTTTGTCTCACCTATTTCAAGCTATTATTATTCCTTTCCTTTGTAAGATGTATAATAATAATAATAATAATCTTTATTTGTCTCAAACAAACTGTTCACACAATACAACTGTTGCCCATACAATAATATAGTTAAAACTAATGAATGAGACAAAACGGTCTATAACTCAGTGAGGGCAGTGAGTCCACCTTCTCTGCTATTCTGTTATAGCCTTTAGCAGTAAAATAATACAATATGAGATCAACGACGACAATAGCATATTAAGTTATGTTTTAAACTACAACTAACAAAGTAAACATAAAAATTGACAATAACAAGATTACAAACTAATAAGATTGGACAATAACAAACTTAAATATATATAATCTAAACATTATTCAGGATTGGTTACAACATTAAATAAAAACTAAAAATTATTCAGAGTTATTTTATCATATATACCATCAGATGCAGACTTGCGCGTACACACATATCGACACAACTTAGTAGATTACAATACTACGAAACGAGGGATTGTTCTTGCAGCAACCATTTGCTACATTTGCGCATAAATATTGGTAAGGATAAAATCAGTGATGAACGAACTGGCGGGGGCAAGTCGTTTCATCATCGTCAAGTATATCTTAGAAAGAATTGTACGAGATATAAAAACTTTCATGTTTTGAATTTGGAATACGTAGCATTCATTTGTTTTATAAGATTATTATTACCACCGCTAATAATAATAATAATAATAATCTCAGGACAATTCACACAGCGCCATCTAGGCCCAAATTAAGCTAGCTAAAGCTTGTGTTATGGGTACTAGATAACTGATACAAATACATAGATATTTTTTTTTGAAATATATACATATTATACATAGAAAATACCCAGACCGATACAAACAATCATACTCATATATACAAATGTTTGTGCCGTGCGAGGAATCGAACCCGCGACCATCGGTCGTAAAGCGGTGTGCTAGACCGCTAGACCACCGAGCTAAGATTTCTTATTATTATTAAGATATGAAAATACCATCATGGTGTTATTAATATTTAAACCTATTATTTATACAAGGATAAACATGACTGGTCTTCCGCATCCTAAAAAAACATAGGTGACGAGTCGAACCCTCTTGCCCCGACATCAATTCCGAGGGCAAAAACCCCCAGCGAGCTGACATAGAAAGGGTACGCTTTTAGTGGTACTGCTCTCATATATACCCGACAGTAACCACTTACCATCAGGTGGATCGTCATCTTATTTGGCCTTTTTTTTCTTAATAAAAAAAGAGGTTCCTTTTGTTATAAATCATATAGGTACAAATAATTTACTAAAGTGAGTAATGATGGTTTAAAATAAATTTAAGGGAAATAACATCTCTGTTTTTATATCATATTCGGTAAACTGTCCGACATTATTTATGGAATAAAAAATTCCTTCGAGCCGGATTTGAACCAGCGACCTATGGATATCAATTTTAGCCAACTACAGTCCACCGCTCTACCAACTGAGCTATCGAAGGTATACGCTATCACATCGTATCCTTGTATTCTACTTTATTATTTATATTAGTGAAAGGTTTTTAGAAAGTAATAAAGTACAAGGGGCTGTAAACGTGACCTCGCTTACGTTTATAAACGTTCATACAATTGTGTAATAATAGGTATTTTAGTATTAATTAAATAATTAATAATAAAATTAAAAACTAGAATAAAGAAATAAAAGCTGCAATTTTAAGGTACATTTCCAATTGATAGCGAATAGCTTGAATGGCAACTGAATATGTAGACTCATCTAACTATATTGTGTTTATCAAGACTTCGTAGTGGACGCAATAAATTATGCTATTATTAATAAAATATATATTATTACAATTTTTAAGATAGGTACTATGTCAGATATAGCACTATGTGCTATGTGCTATGTGTATAATGTTTTTGTCAATGATAAATTTTAAGTTAAAAGGTTTTTTCTCAAATAATTCTAATGTAGTTTGTTTACTGGTCTTTACGGTATCATCGGACTAAAATGGTGATGAGTGCAGAGATATTGCTTAACGTCCTTTTTATGCAGATGTCACTTTATATCGCAGAAGGACTTATGGAGCGACTGAAAACCACCTCAAGTTTGACTAATATAACTTCAATCTAACAGAATCATTAGTAATCATAATTTCGACTTTCATTTTGAAGTGATAATTTCCCCATTTGAATTTAAGTAACGTTTCTTGTATGAAGTGCTAGATAGTGGGCAGTTAAATGTGTACTTCTACTCAGTCTCGGATTTTGTCATTAAGCAAGTAATCACTTTGTTTCCACCGGCTCTAGGGACTTTATTTTAGTACTAAATTTAACAAAATAATGGCAACAACTTATTTCATGAAACCCAATAAATTCGAAAAATTTACATTATTTTCAAAGAGGATAATGCTAATAGACAGTATTAATAGGATCATAATATAAAATCCACCATAGCACTAAAAATAAAACATTAATCTTATTAAGATACTTCATAAAATGCTTTATTATGTTCTAGCACTTTTTAGTATTTTAGTTTAGCACAAATGATTTTTAATGTGGTTACACTGTGTAGATATAGGATATTTCCGTAAACGCAGTATTACTGTATTGTCTGTGAATTCTGTGAAAGCAATTCTCTAATTAAATTAATTACACTGTGCAATTCCATTGTTTGCGTATTATTTATCATCATAAATAATTGTTTCATAAAATAAATATTACAGAAACAAAAGTCACCTTTAGAAACTCGATGTAGTTTTATTTAATAAATTACAAAGATGAATTTCGAAAACGTCGGTGCTTTAATCCGAGATTGTAATGGAACAAAGTTACGGCATGATCAGGCGTGTTTGGAACTGATTACTAATGAAAAAATAAGCTTTTGGAGTCAATCTGAGGAATGTCAGGGGTGTATTTTGTTAGAGACGCATAAACTGCCGTCAACGGGCGCCGTTGTGCTTCAAACCTTAAGCCGTTTGCGGTACGCTATAAAGAATGAGCTTGGAGTAATTTGCAATGGTTAGTAAACAATTTATATGTTAATTACTTGTGTGTATATCTAAAAACCATAGCCTATATGTGCCTGTAGCTGTATTTTTCTTGCCCAAAATAGGAGAGAGGACTCCCCATTAGTCTGTAATCCTATTGCTAGCAATGTATATAGTAATTCCACATTTACACATTCTCTCTTGGAAACTTGTGGTTAATTCTTGAGTTCATCCCTTTCCCGCTTATATTAACTGGTGCCATCTGGGATGAAACTCTCTGGGTGGTCTCTCATCTGGGTGAAACAGGGGAATGTAACCAACATTCCCCTGTTTCACCTTCCATTTATCCTTTATTAAGAGGTACTCTTAGAACATCCTTAAAACACTTAAGAGCATTATTCCATTATTGTTAATAAATGTTCATAAGTATTTAATTTATATTTCTTAATTTAATCGTTTGACTAACTTCACTAACAAATTAATAATAATTTATTCCTGTAAGACATTTTAGCAGCTTATGAATGTAAATTTTTTCAATTATAGTATTTCCTCTATGGACCTGTTCGGTATACAGATTCAATTGAGAATTGAACTGGCAAGAAACTTTACTGAAATTCTTTATTTTTATTAAACAGTTTATTTACATTGTGTACATATGTAGGTGTCTATATCTAACATTAACTGAAAATCCCGTGCATGAAACAACTACTGCCTTGCACACTCATCATTCACATAATAATTTAATGAGTAAATATACCAACATGCACAACTGCCCGAATGAGCTAATTGTGGAGACTAAGAGAGTCCAACATACAATGAGATATGATTTAACAGATTTTGAATTTATTTAAAGGTAATTTGAGTATATTCTTTGGTAGTTTATTGCAAATGTTTATACCTATTCCCATAAAAGACTTATTGACTTTTTCTAAACAATACTCGGGGACAGCTATGCTATACATATGTTATGAATGTTGCTGTGTTTTGGAAATAAATGAAGATTTTTATGAACATATAGGTTATTGAGTATATAAATTGAGAAGCAATGGTGACAATATTTGCCTCTTTGAATTTCTCTCTTTCTAAATGATACTTGGGGAGTGTAAGTTTTTAAATCCAGTATTAATGTTATGAGTATTACATAGTTGCAATCAGGTTATCATACACATAAATAAGGAAGGAATTGTGTTATAACACAGTTCATACAGTCATGTGGATGCATCAAATGTTTTCCAGTTGGATAAATTATTTATTAAATTATTGAACTAAATAATGAGTCATTGTTCCTTATAATCTATTTTTACACTATTGTGTGTCTTATATAGATTATATTTATTATATGAGTCATAATATATATTATATAGATAATAATATCTTTTGTTTAAAGTTATAAAGATATAAACCAATATATTGAAATAGAAATTTGGAATCCCTTCTTGTGATGAAACTGAATTCCAAATGAGTATAAGTATAATAGTAGTATAAAAATATATGAATATTTGAAAATCCTATTGAGTATTAGAAAAGAGTATTTCTATTTCAATTTCATAGGCACTAGGCAATACATTGGCATACATAAATTAATTTATTTTGTATACTAGCAGACCCGGCCACACAATAAAATAATATTGTAAGCTATACTATCTTTCAAATGGTATCAAATTACACACAAGTGCAAATCAAATTTGCAATTGGTTCAGTAGTTTAGGAGCCCATTGCGGACAAACAACGTGGCACGTAATTTCTTCAACCATCAGAAACAAGGGGCTGCTAACCTCTTGAGGTTGTCCTCAATTCTACCTTAGCTAGTATAATTTAACTAGCTGACCAGCGCAACTTCGTCTGCGTTTCACTTTCCCACCTTTTGTAATATTTTTCATTACAGCTCCGCTCCTATTTGTCGTATCGTAATGTTATATAGCGTAAAGCCTTCCTCGACAAATGGACTATCCAACACAAAAATAATTTTTCAATTCCAACCAGTAGTTCCTGAGATTAGCGCGTTCAAATAAACAATTAAACTCTTCAGTTTTATAATATTAATATAGATTAATACTGTTATTAAAAAATATTAATAAAATTACATATTACTGCAATAAATCATATTAATTACCATACTATCGTTAATGTATAATACTTTAATGGAAAAATCTAATTGCATTTATATTTAACTATGCTTGTGTATTTTTGTTTTATTGTTAGATAAATTGTGCTTGTGACTATATTGACAACTATAGAATAGAATAGAAAATCATTTATTCAAATAAACTTACATTGAAGCACTTTTGAATAGTCATCACAATTTTTTAATCTACCGCTCATTCGGAAAGCTGTCTCATCACAAGAAGAACGAGTAAGAAACTTGTGCGTTGCTCTTTTAAATAATTTTATTCTTACTTTACAATTCTTACGACCCTGTATACATATATGAGCATAACACATTTATCAATGAAGTTGAATTAGCTTAAACATCTTGCTGCGTCAATCTTCCACGAAGCGATTATACTACGCAACGTCTGAACGCTTATTACCAGCTTATGAAGCCTATAAAATACATTCAAGTGCAGCTATATATTGTATACATAAATAAATATGTTTTGTAACAAAATATTAGTACTGAAAACCCAATTTTTACATTTCAAAAAAACTCTGCTCCTCGTATTCCATTCTATTATATCAATCTATAATAATTAATTTCAACTTTTTAATATTTCGTAATAAGTTTGTTCAAAATTATATCAAAGACAAAACATAGGTCACGTTTTTTTTCGGACTACTCTAATGCTGTTAGCCGCAGCTGGCCTTTACAGCGTCACCGGACGATAGGTGAGTGCAGATGGCAGTCCAAACCCGCGGAAAGACTTATGGAGCGGCTGAAAGCCAACTCCTGTCTGACGGACGACCACTTTAGTCTGAGGGCACCGCTAGGAGTTCGAACCTCGGCGTATTGGACCGAGGATCGATCGGAGGAAGGCATAGGTCATATGTACACGTACACTGTTCACACAACACAATTTCGCCTAATCAAATCAAATCAAAATATGTTTATTCATGTAGATATATAACAGATTCTTATGATATGTCAAATCTACCGTCAGTTCGAAGTGCTTTCGAGTCAAGAATTACTATCAAAACTCAGCTCTTATTCTTTTCAAATGAGTTTGTACATGTTATAAAACCATCCCTATTTTGAATTTAAAAATGAATCCGTACATTTTAAAATTCAAAATAGGGATGGTAATGTCCATTGCAATTCTGTCAAGAGAAAATGGTTCAATCAGTGGCCATCACCAGAATGGTAGTCCTCAAGCTGCACCCGTTCACGAGTATGACGGACTTGAGGTGACCACTAGTAATACTATTTTAATACTTATGTTCTAGGATCATACTTATTCGGCGAGTATGGACAATATAACATAAATGTCAGCGACGTGAAGACAGATGAATGTCTGCCTCGGATGACAGCGGAGCCGGATGCAGCCTCGCTGCCTATACTCAGCGCAGTGCTCATTCTCTTGTCTATGGCCACGCTATGGTACATCGTAAAGGGTATAGGCAAGAGGATCATCGCTGGCCGGTTTTATGCTCGATATTTTGCAAGGTGAGTAATTATTACCAAAATTAAAATGCCCACATTTCGACGGTTTTTTAATGTAAGTTCAATTGCAAACAAGCTTACGGCCCACCTAACAATAAGTGATAACTGTCGCCTATGTACATGAACAGCACTACGGACATCACGTTATCATGTCACGCTCGGGATACCACTAATGCGCTGCTATTCCGTAGGATCAAGATTTCGTGCCTATCATTCTCTTGTCCTGTAATTTCACTGCATTATGTCACTCTGAAGGATCAAGTTCTCATGCTCATGCAGCAAGTTCTTTCTTTCTTTCATGCATGTCATGCCTCTTGTCACTAATTCATAGTTCAACCAACACATCTTATTAATCAAGTTGCTATGCGGTTATTTCTAGTCTATTTTAATATGTGAGACTGAGGTAACAACGCAGATGACTACTTAAAAAAATCCATCATTTATTCTTCTCTGTCAATCATGTCAGTTGGAAGGTTAATTTTTGTATTTACATATAGTATATGATATTAATATAATATTGCTAATTTCATTACGTTTTTACAGTAGTACGGTACATTTATTATAATTAATAAATGTACATTATAACCGCTTATGAACATCAAGTTTTTTGTATAATTATTTACTCTACCATAATAGTAATTTATTCATGTATCTTATTGTATAAATTATGTCTGTATGATTCTGAATGAGTTATGTATGTACATGAATTAAGGTTTTTAGATTTGATTTGATTTCGTTTTGTTAGATTAAATTTGATGTGATTTGTTTTACAGGGAAGATAACGAGCTCGGTTCTGAGACCCGGGTGCTGACGACGGAGTCCAGTATACCACGGTCACCAACCAGATCCAGACTTCGATCGCTTGACATCTTCCGCGGCATTGCTATAGCTCTTATGGTACATCTTCATTTATCACAGTTTAAAAAATCTGATATTTTAGGAAGCAGATAATTTAGTATTGTTGATGAAAATTGTGGAAATGAGGTAGTTATTATGATGAGTTTGTTTTATTGAATTAATAATTAACACTATCAGAACTTAAAAAGTAAGAACATTTTCTATATAAAATTCTCGTGTCACAGTTTTCGTTCCCATACTCCTCCGAAACGGCTTGGCCGATTCTCATGAAATTTTGTGAGCGTATTGTGTAGGTCTGAGAATCGGCCAACATCTATTTTCATCCCCCTAAATGTTAGGGGTACTCCAAACCTAATTTTTTTTTATTTTAAGGCAAATCAACGTTTGTTTCATATGTAAGATGTCACAGGGAACATAAATAATAGTATCTCTGTGGCCCGTCTCGTGGCCCAATGGTTTTCTTCACTAAATTACGAATAAGAGTCGAATCTAAACCTCACAAAAAAAAAAGATTGTTTCTGTTATATACGGGGGACACGAGCAAATACAAAGACGTTCTGTTACGCACTGCTTTATTTGTTTAAGGGGGTCTTCCTATGTGATGGCCTGTTTTTTATATTTTACTTTTTTTCTACGACCAGTAATATTTAGAGCTTAAGTTTTTTATCATTTATTAACACATATTTGGACAGTATAAATATATAAATTTCAGCTAAAAATATTCAGTCAAACTAGATGGTTACAGCGGTTTAGAACACCCCCGTTTATTTCCGATGGTCTGCGGCGTTTTAATTTGTATTAAAAGCACGGAATGACCTATAATCAAATGAATATAAAAAACATTTTTGATAGACATTTGAAATAAAAGTTGCAAATTAGGCGTTTTTTTTTTTTGTTTTTTGCTATAAAAAAATCGAAGTTTTGAAAATTTTCGATTGATAATAGTTCATTCCATGCGTTTACATATATTGAGTGTGCCCTGTAAATAAGTAATTCGGTCCAGCCGTTTCTGAGATACAAAAGTTTGACAAACACAGTTTTGAGAAAAACGCGTTTAAAGTTTCAAGTCCGTTAAAAACTATTAAAATATCAACTTACTCTCAATCGGCGATGCCTGGTCCATAGAGTATTCCTTCCTCGTCCTCGTGAAACTCTTTTAAAGCAGATTGTTCAGCTCTTGAGTCAATCGAGCTTGTTTAACGACATCACTTACGCGCCGCTCAGAGCGTAAGATTCGCTTGTCATCCCGTTTCTCAACATACGCTTGGGCTTCACGACCAACAGGGCATCCCATAATCGACATAACTTTTAAAATACCTTGAAAACCTTCATTTAAGATAATAACTGCTAAGTAGCTAGCAATTTTAACAACTTTGGGACCAGAATGAAGATGTTTAGGAGCGAAAGTCCAAATCAAAGAATTCAAAGATTCGTTATTGTTTTGTGTCTCAAACAACGAATTAATAATTCGTCTTTCGATAAATCTTCGAAAACCGGTTTGATAGCTTCTTAACTTGCGGAATTAGATGGTTTATCGTGTGAAATTGGTCCAGTTATTATAAGCTGTAGCCTTACGCCATTTACACCAACTGTTTCTTTTTTTACTGACCAGGATGAACATTTCCACTCGTGCTTCCTTTCCGTCCACTCATTATGAAAAAAAATAATTTGTAGCTGTTGCTCTCTTCGAAGTTCAACCAAGACTAAAATAACTTCGGTAAAATATTATAACAATAGAAATTTCTGTTTAAGTCTGTAGAAACGTGTCTAAACTTGTATAAACAAATATATTAATAAAAGGGAGGCCAGGTATAAAGCCGACGGTACACAATAGGCCCGGTCTCTAACTGCCAACTCACCGCTCCGAACCGCTCTTTCTTTTACCTGCTGTATCTTTAAAACGACTTCGCGCGCGCGTTTCTAAAATCGCTTTACTACCGTATTCTAGACATGTTAAGGGAGCAATTTATGAAAAAAAAAAAATCGATTTTTTCAACCCATCACATAGGAAGACCCCTTAATAATTGACGCAGCCACCTCTATAACTACATATGTAATATACTTATGGTATACGCACATTGCTTACACAATAGTTTCTATTTCCAAAATTGACGGCCTCGATGGTCTACCGGTTTAGTACACTGTTTATTTCCGATGGTCGCGGGTTCGATTCCTCGCACGGCACAAACATTTGTATTCATGAGTATGATTATTTGTATCGGTTTGGGTGTTTTCTATGTATAATATGTATGTATTTGTATCAGCTATCTAATACCCATAACAAAAGATTACACACAATATCGCGCATTCAACCGGGCGCCCCCGGGCGCCCCTCCGATCGATCCCCCGTCCAATTCAAACGGGGATCGAAATTACGACGGCCTGAGCCGAGGTTCGAACCCCTAGTGGTGCCCTCAGACTAAAGTCGTATCCGTCGGGCAGGAGTTGGCCTTCAGCCGCTCCATAAGTTCTTCCGCGGGTTTGGAGTGCCATCTGCACTCGCCCTATAACGTCCGGTGAAGCTGTAAAGACCAGCTACGGCCAACAGCATTAGAGTAGTCCGAAAAAAAACAAAGGAAGCTAGCTTAACTTGGGTCTAGATGGCGCTGTGTCAATTGTCCTTATATAATGTATCCTTAGTTGTTATTATGATTTCTGTTTGGGAAACTACTCTGCTACCAAAATGTTAGGGAAGCGTCAGTCACGTACCTGTATGGTTCTGCGGATTTCTTGGGCTTCAGGGTCTCGAAGATATCTTCGCTAGCTTTCCAGTTTCACAGTAGGTTTCACAGTTCTAATTTATTTTAATTCACAACACAATGCGCGCGCGCGTCAAGGTCGCTGTACAGTCGGTTCAGTACTAGGTGAGGGAGGGGAAGGCAAAGCGCGGGAACACAAACTAACGGACTCTAATATAATAATCTGTGCTTACGATGATACCGAGTAGATTTTGAACATTTCGTTTCAGATATTCGTGAACGCCGGTGGCGGTGGTTACGCGGTGTTCAGTCATAGCGCGTGGAACGGCCTCACCGTGGCGGATGTGGTATTCCCGTGGTTCGCATTCGCTATGGGAGAATCTCTCGTCCTCTCACTCAACGCACGCTTGAGGACCTCTATGCCGAGGAGTACTGCTTTCTATCAGGTAATATCCATTTAAGAGCCACGCTCTTGTCGGTGAAGCTCTTGCCACTTGGCACGATCTTCCATCATCCTCTTTCAATGTTGATACCAAACTTCCACGTTTATAAAATTAGTATAGGGGTTGTTCCTACACTTGTTGTAATTGGTAATCTATTATGATGTTATACACTGATTTATTGTATAGTAATAATGTATAGTAAAATGATATATGCTTCGTAAGTGATAATTTATAAGTATATTATTATAGTGGTACGGTGTTCCGTAGTAAGAGTAATAGCTCAATTGTTCCAATATATTTTGTTAGTTATGTCACAAAGATTAAACGAATCTTTATTTATTCATTCATAATTTAAGAGCCACGCTCTTGTCAGTGAAACTCTTGCCACTAGCTACGATCTTCCTTGATCCTCTTTCAATTTTGATACCAAAATTCCACATTAATAATATTAGTAAGAGTATTCGTAGCTCAATTGTTCCATTATATTCTATTAGTAATGTCAAAAAGATTAAACGAATCTTCATTTATTCATTCATAATTTAAGAGCCACGCTCTTGTCGGTGAAACTCTTGCCACTAGCTACGATCTTCCGTCATCCTCTTTAAATATTGATACCATACGACTACAATTTTGTCTTTGAAAGAGTAACAAACATCCATCCACTCTCACAAAATTCCACGTTTATTAAGAGTATTAGAGTCAATTGTTCCATTAAATTCTGTCAATAATGTCAGAATGATAAAACTAAATTGTGTGATGATGCGATTAAAAGTTCTCTATTTAGTAACAAATGCGGTTCATTGGTTTCAAATTGTTAGACCTCTGCCTAACTAACAATGTATTTTATCATTGATAAATGCCAAAAAAATGAGACACAGACGAAGTAGCGCGGGTCAGCTAGTAAATAAAATAAATATTCACCAGATCGTCCGCCGGTCCATGGCCCTCGCTATCCTGGGCATTGTGCTGGGATCACAGAACGTGTCCTGGTCCAACCTGCGCCTACCGGGCGTGCTGCAACGTCTCGCCGCTATGTACCTCGTCGTGGGTGCTCTCGAGTGCGTCTTCATGCGGACCAGTCAGAACATCACGCCAGGTAAATATCTGTCTTTACATGTGCGCTCTTTCACACAGGAAAGAACTATGGACAATAGAATGAGTGAAGATTAATGAAACAACGGTTAAAAAATGGTTAATAACGGCCTTTATACGACCACGTGAATAGTTACCTTTACACGTACACTCTTCAACGTGCGAATCGGTTTTCACGCTGGAAAGTGTGGGCGATAGAACGAGTTAACTGTATGTGTGAGATTAATGAAACAACCGGTAAAAAATGATTATTTCAATATAACAAACAGACACTCCAATTTTATTTATATGTATAGATTAATTATTATCACAAAATGGCGGGCATCTGACTATGGAGCAAAGACATAATTATAGAGTTATTGATAATTTAAATCTTACACGTTTCTTGGGAAATTTAAATATTATAAATGAAATAAAATTTTAAAAGAAAGTGAAATGTGTGAACACAATAATAGTTAAATACAAACCCTAACGATTACGCTCATTGGTCTCATGATCGTGAAAGAATATGTCGTGTAAAGACAACTCACAATTATATATAATAATAATCTCAGGACAATTCACACAGCGCCATCTAGACCCAAGTTAAGCTAGCTAAAGTATTATGGGTACTAGATAACTAATACAAATACATAGATATATTTTTCTTCATAAATACATACATAGACAACATCCAGACCGATACAAACAATCGTACTCATGAATATAAATGTTTGTGGTTATATTCAAGATTATATTTTCCAGGACGATCCTTGTTTCGCGATATAACTGCCGGCTGGCAACAGTGGCTAGGTACCATCGCACTCGTTGTCACACAGGTGTGTATTGTTTACTGTAGTTGTACAAATATAATAACTAATAAAGTAAAATGACATCCTGATCATCTGGATCGAATGGCGGTTACAGCAATGGTATTTATGAACCGATACGATATTGAAACCTTCAAGAGCTTATTCCTTCTTAAAAGGCAACCACTTGCAATTCCCCTGGTGTTGCGGGTGCTCATGGCCGGTAGCAATCACTTACCATCAGGTGAGCCGCAAGCTTGATTGTCTTCTATGCAATAAAAAAAAAGTCTATCTCAGTAAGGATAATAAAATACGACGCTTTTTTATATTGATCACTCTATTCTCCCAAATTTGAATTTAAATGAATCTGTATTATTGTAAACATATATAACATTTATTTAAAAAGAATATATTGTCTCGTCTCGAAATCATTCCGAACTGACGGTAGATTTGACATATCATAAGAGTCTAATAAACCTACATGTTTAAAGATATTTTGAATTTGAATTGTTTTGAATAGGTATGTATAACACTAGCGGTCCCCGCGCCCGACTGTCCCCGCGGATACATGGGCCCCGGGGGACTGCACATGTCCACACAAGGGAACTACCTCGAGAACTGTACGGGTGGCATCGCTGGCTATATTGACAGGTAACTGACCATCATGTCAAAATATAAACAACTATTTGGGAAGGAAATATAGTTATTACTCTGTGTAGATGGCGCTATGTGAAGTATAATTGCGTAAGATTTTATAATAAACTGCCAGAATCTGCATTAAATCTGACAGAATCAATTCAAATCTTATATTAAACAATTTTTATGTAAGAGAGCCTATTACAGGATAGACGAATTCATAGATGACAACATATCAAGTAAATAATTAGTTTATTAGCATACGTTATAATTTATTTTTCTCATTACTTTCTTGATTTAATTATTTTAGAAATATGAAAGCGTAGCGGTTTTTGTATTGATTGCCGCATGCATTCTTATGTAAAATGTGAATACTATAACTATCAGATGGCAATTGTAAGTAGCTTTGACGTGGTCTACTGTTTTGAGTAGTCATGCTCACTAAAATGTCCAGACTTGTGGCGGCGTGGTGGGCCGGGTCATTGGGCTCCCTAAAATATGGTCGAGCGCAGTGATGGCTGGCTCATCCGTCATACTCGTGAACGGATGCTGCTTGTAGGGACTGGTCTGCTCTTATCACTATGACTGATTTCCTCTTATTAATTGTTTAACCAGTTGCTTATGTATTCAATATTTTTTCTATTTGAGTATTTAATTGAATTAGTGCTAATTGGTGGTTTGTAATCACACACTTAAACTCAAAAATGTAAAATAATAATAAAATTAATTAAAAGAGCAACACGCAAGTTTCTTGTTCGTTCTTCTTGTGATAAGACGGCTTTCCGAACGAGCGGTAGATTAAAAAATGTAATGACTATTCAAAAGTGCTTCAATGTAAGTTTATTTGAATAAATGATTTTCTATTTCTATTTCTATACTAAGTACGTCTAATTTATTTAAGACTAAGAATAACATTTATTTCGGAAAACTTCAGTTAAGTAAGGGGCCGTTCAAGTATTATATAAGCACTATGGGGGGAGGGGGGCGGGTGGCCTTTGCTTTTCTTATTTTGGATGTCATGGGGGTAGGGAGTCTAGATGATGATTACGTCATCGGTAATTATTTACTTTTTTACGCGAATGGCAACCATGTGGGGAGGGGTAAGATGGGGGTAAGAGCTTTGTTTACTTTTACAGACAAGGGGGTTGGGGGGAGGGTAAATAATTGTAATAAATCTGCTTACGTAATACTTGAACGGCCCCTAACATTCTATCTATACCTCCACACTAGGCTATGCGTGTATCATGGAAGTCAAAGCAAGTTAACAAAAATATTTACATTTGTCCTAAGATATTATTATTCTGCACAGACTAATCCTGGGAGAGTCACACATGTACCAACACGGGGTGTTCCGTAAGGTCTACCGGACCCCTCTGCCGCATGACCCTGAAGGTATCCTGGGGATCCTGTCCGGCGTGCTGGTGGTCCAGGCAGGAGCTCACGCCACCAGGATCATGTTGGCCTACAATCATGCTAGGTAGCACATTTTATTACTAGCTCAGCCGCGCAACGTCGTCTGGATCACACTTAGGAAAGTTTACACTCTATTTTGAGGAGATAAAAACCGTAGCTACTAAAAATATCATTCAATTCTTCTCCCTGACGGGTCTACGTAGCGAACTCTGATGAAAGGCGAGCACAATAAATCTCTAGATGTCGCAGTGCTACAGGTCTAAGTGCCTGACAACAGCCCATACCTCCTATAAAAAAAAATTGACAATTATCATCATCAGCCCCACCACAAGTAATTTGACCTTACCCCATATAAAGTAAAAAATCATAAAATAGTTGTTTTGTGTTTTTTGATTTTTCTACTTTGTTTTTGTATGTTATAAAAAATATTTATTACCATAGACAATTGGCCATAGATAGGTTGATAAAGCGGGTTTAAATAACAGTTTTTTCTGACTACTTTAAGGCTGTTGGCCGCAGCTAGCCTTTACAGCTTCACCGGACGATAGGGGGCGACTGCAAATAGCACTCCAAACCAGCGGATGGACTTATGGAGCGGCTGAAGGCCAACTCCTGTCTGACAGATACGACTTTAACCTGAGGGCATCGCTAGGGGTTCGAATCTCGATGGACTGTCGTAATTTCTAACCCCGTTTGAATTGGAGGGAGAATTGATCGGAGTTGAAGAAAACTTTGAATGGATTTATTGTAAGAGATTCTAATTTCAAATAACAGTGTGTGCTTATATTTATGCATCCAATTCTATATTTCAGGGCTCGTATAATGCGCTGGGTGTTCTGGTCCATAATGTTTGGCGTCATCGGCGGTGCTCTATGTCTATTCACGAAAAATGGCGGACCCATACCCATAAACAAGAATCTATGGTCAGTGTCGTTCTGCCTCGTCACATCCGCGATGGCGTTCTTAATTCAAGCGATCCTGTACTTTGTGGTTGATTTGAAGAACAAATGGGGTGGTCGACCACTATACTATGCAGGTGAGTTATTTCTATAATTACAATCAAAAGTCAAATGACTTAAAATGTACTACAAGAATAAATATTCTTGTAGTACATTTTAGCCGCTTATGAACGTCTAATTTTTGTATTAACATTTTTCCCCTACCATTCAATTTAATATGTAGATTCAATTGAGAAGAACTGGCAAGAAACTCAACTGATTTTCTTAAAGACAGTTTATCTACATTTTAGTTAAATTTAAATGAAATGTAATGGTGCACCTGTCTGCACTAACGGTATACGCTGGCGGGGCTACAGTGGAGGGTGATAAGATGAGCATGATGTCAGGTCAGTGAGCCCATCGTGACAAATTCACCAAGAATTTACCACGATGGTTTCCAGGGGGAACCGCGTGGACGTCAACCGGACATGGTACATTGCTAGCAAAAAATTATCAATTCACGTTACTAACAATCTCCCTGCCCTACATTTTAGTTACATTTAAATGAAATGAAATTATATGTAATGGTTCACTGGTTTCCACTAACGGTATACGCTGGCGGGGCTCCAGTGGAGGATGATGAGCATGAGGTCAGTTCAGTTAGCCCATCGTGGTAAATTCACCATGAATTTATCACAATGGATTCCAAGTGGTCCCACTTGGGGGTTGTCCTAACATTGAAAATTGTTAGCAATGTAACTATTGCTATTTCCAATTCTAATTCCTTCCCCCTATGGTTTGCACCTTAATTTTCACGGTTTTTTTTATGTGCAGGTCAAAATGCCCTATTCCTATACGTGGGTAGTGAACTCCTTAGAGACCATTTCCCCTTCAAATGGTACATCCCGGCGCCAACGCATCAACAGTTACTGGCCACGCACGCTGCCGCCATGCTGATCTGGCTTGCAGTCGGCGTAGCGCTGCACAGGAAACGTATCTTTATAACGTTGTAATACAGTATATATTGGCTCGGCAATATGAGTATATAACAAACATATATCAGATATATGGTAGAATGACGAAAATGTAATCAGTTGTGTTTGATGCCAAATTAATAGTTTGTACTGTCCTAATATTGACTGCAAATGTATTATTGATTATTATTAATTGATTATCTATACATATAAATAAAATTGAAGTGTCTGTTTGTAATACTGAAATAACCGTTTTTTACTACATGCATATGATATGATGAAAAATTGTAAATAACATTTTTTACAATTTTTGTCTGTCTGTCTGTCTGTTTGTTCCGGCTAATCTCAAAATGGCTGGACTTATTTTGACGGGACTTTTTTGGCAGATAGCTGATTTTTTTTATATGTATGTAATAAGGAGTAACTTAGGGTACTTTTGTTTTAGATTTTTTTTTCTGAAAAATAAAATTATATTCCATGCGGACGAAGTTGCGAGTACATACAGCTAGTTAATAATAAATTTATCGTTCAATGTTTTATGAATGCATTAAACGTTTTATAAAACTATTTTAGCTTACTTATAATAAAAAGTTTTATTTATAAATCTATGGGTTGATGAACTAACCATTTACTGATTTTTATGTGAAGATTATATAATTTTGTGCTTTATGTTAAGCACAGAGAAACTAAAATGCAACAGCGATATTTCTGCGTTCGTAGTAGTGTAATACAGACAGAAACGAATCAATATAACAGAAATAAACCAATAAACAGGTTAACATTGAGTAAAACATTCATTTCCACATAGTTGGTTGTAAGTAATTTTAGAAAAGTATTCGTGTATTCAATTTTTTAGTGGATGATAATGGAATGGTGCACCCGCCTGCGCTGTCGGTTTATACTTGCGGGGCACCAGTGGAGGATGATAAGATGAGCATGAGTTATTCCAGTTAGTCCATCGTGACAGATTCACTAGGATTTATCAGATGGTTTCTAGAAGGAACCGCATGGAGGTCAACCTGACCATGTACCATACATTGCTAGTAATGGGGTCATCAGTCCACATAGTTCAACAGTCGCATTGTCCCGTGTATTAATTTAGATACTGAATATACACTTCTACAAACGCAATAATGTATTTAAATTAATTTACTTCTATATATTTTTAACTTTGTTTTTGATTTCATTTAACAATACTCCATACTAAGTTAACGCCCATATTATAATGTTAAAACTATTAAGCAATAATAATATATATTCAATTTAAATGTATAACTGTTTATCCTAGTTTTTATTCATTGTATGCAATGTTATTTTGATATATTGTTTTCTAAATATATCACATGTAGAAATATAATGAAAATTAATGAAATTCCTATAAAATTGTGATTTGACTATTAAAATTTTAGTCTATTGTGATTGTTTATAATTTAATTCCGTTATTCATGGAAATTAAAACGTACTTATGTATTACAATAAACTCATTTCAAAGTTTTCTTCCCCTCCGATCGATCCCACGTCCAATTCAAACGGGGATCGATATTACGACGGCCTGAGCCGAGGTCGAGCCCCTAGCAGTGCCCTCAGACTGAGTTGGCCTTCAGCCGCTCCAGTTCTGCGGGTTTGGAGTGCAATCTGCACTCGCCCCCTATTGTTCGGGCTGCAGCCAACAGCATCTCTAATGCTGTTGGCCGTAGCTGGCCTTTACTACTCTAGTAGTAATAAAAAAATCTGTAATTGTCATCCAAATTGTCAAAATAAATGTGATCATAAAGAGAAAATCCAATACTGTTCTATGTTTACTAGATATTCGATATTTTTGTGAATAAGGGCGATAAATTATAGATAATAATTTAATTGATTTTGTAAAAAAATGTTTGGTTGAATTTACGTGCTAGTTAAGATATTTATAAAGAGACAGACAGTATGTATAATATATATAAATAGTATTTTATTACTACTGTAGTATTTTTTTATGGATGACAGTTTACGCTGGCGGGGCACCAGTGGAGGATGATAAGATGAGTTTGAAGTCAGGTCAGTTAGTCCATGTCGGTAAATGGCAATTTACCACGATGATTTTCATGGGGAACCATGAATTGCGTGGAGGCTAACCTGATATGGTTTTTTTTTTATGGATGATAATGGAATGGTGCACCCGTCTGCGCTAACGGTTTACGCTGGCGGGGCACCTGTGGAGGATGAATGGTCAGTTAACCCATCGTAGCATATTCACCCACCAGGAATTTACCATGGTGGTATCCGGACGGAACTGCCTGGAGGTCAACCTGACATTGTATATTGTTAGCAAGTGGGTTATTAGTCTACATTACTAACAATCCCCTTCTCTGAATCATAGTATTGTTATTATCATCACGCAAAGCATAAGAGCACAGTTCATGAAAACCTACACATATTGATTTGACATCTACATCTTACCTACTCTATCCTTAAGAGATTAATGTACTCAAAAAATGCAAATTTTGAAAAATATACTCTTAATGTCTTAACAATACAATTTAAATTTAGAGATTTGTTCATACAGTATTATATTGTTTTAAAAAATATATGCAAATATTATAAAATACTTATGGATGAAATAAAATCATCCTCATTATGTTTTTTTATATTCAATTTTTATGTTTTAATATCATAAAATAAATATAGAAAGTATATTACAAAAATAATATGCTCAAGTATGAAAGAGCAAGTATTAGGTTAAAATAAACTATTGTAATCATAAATTTTATACCATTACCATTATAAATGATGAACTGTATTTTGCTTCAAAATATTTTTATTTTATTTGGTTTATTTAACTGCTAAAATTGGTAAAAAAGGTGGATTATAATTAATAATATATAAGATAGGATACATCTCAATTTATAGTCGCAATATAATATATAAATTGAGATATAAGCTATCCTATCTTTCGAGTTGGATCAAATTGCACACAATGTGCAAATCAAATTTGCAATCGGTTCAGTAGATTAGGAGTCCACCGCGGACAAACAACGACCTTTCCTACATTGAAATTACTATACAGAATGCCAAAAAAATTACTTGTCAAAAGGCAATAAAAATTAATTGTAAAGGCAATAAAACGTGCTGTGATTATAAAAAAAAAAGCAATAACTCATTTATCGCCTTTTTATGTTCACAGCATTCTGTATAGTAATTTCTTGAATTTCAAAATCGTGCTGCGAATATTTTACTGTGATTTGGTAAACAATCTTGATGAGTCTTTTAAATAAGAAAGAAGAAAATTGTTATACACATAAAATATACAACACAAAAAATACAATTACAATTTAGATCATTAATTCTGGTATCAATTAGGTTTCCGCTCAGACGTGGTAACAAATGCAGATTCATTTTTATAATAACACAGATTACATAGGGTTACTTACTATTAATAATTTTAGTTGCAGATATTGTACGATTGTTTACCGAATAACACAAGAAAAAACACATTGCATATTAAATAATTAAGAAATTAATATTTATCGATAAATTTACCATTAAAAAACTAGAAAATGGCCAATGGCAACACAAACCACCGGAGCCAAAAGAAGAGAAAAAAAAATTACCATTAATAAGTCTTATTCCTTTTGTTTATATATAAATGAATAATTTAGTTACATTCAATTGGATTGTTAAATTATTGCTAACTATTCTCATGTGATTAAAAATTAAAGTTATATTTTAAAGTATTGTTTTTCTTATATCATAATTCCTCTCCAACATTCTATATAGAAGGTCGTTTTAAGCAACAATAACTTGATAGCGTTATGAAAATTTATACCACGCCATCTAGTGGATATTAAATAAACTAAAAAACCTATTAATAAAAATTTCGTAAACAAGCAACGAAATCGACTTTATTGTTATATGCTACTAGCTAACCGTCCCGGCTTCGCATGGGTGTACATGTATTATACATCTTATCTTCCTCTTTAATCACTCTATAAAAACTGCAGTATAATTCGTTGCGAAGTTTAAAAGATCTAAGCCAACAGACAGCAGAAGTGACTTTATTTTATACTATGTAAAGAAATGATCTTTTTTTTAAAACTCAATTTGTATTTATGGCAACTGCAAAACCCCAGTTGACAATAATTACACCGCAATAGTCAGTCGATTTTAACTGTTCATAATAGGATATAGACTAATCCTACAAATGTTGGAGTAAGAGAAATATGTTTGTGCTATCAGCTAACATATAAACCATTAGGTTATAACCAGCTATTTCTCTTCAAGAAACATAATGTGATAACAATTTGAATTGGTAGGGAAATTAACGATTTTTTTCATATTTGCGAGGGTATTATGACAATTCATCCCCGGAATTGCAGTTGAAGTATGTACACTAGGCTTTATAATACATGTTATACGCGGATGAAATTTATAGCCTGTGTTATTTCAATATGTAAGCTATATTACTGAAAAATTTAATCAAAATTCGATCAGTAGTTTTTGCGTGAAAGAGTAACAAATATCAACGATCCATCTATACACCCATATTTACAAACTTTTGCGTATATAATATTAAGTAAGACTAATTTAACCAGTTTCGATCTTAATACAAAAAAATCTGTTAAAACTCCGACGAAACGTGCTCTAAATGGTCAAGGTGTAAAACATTCCCAATTTGTTTGAGTTTCGATTTAAAACTGCTCATGTAATAACAAAACGCTTCAAATAACCTTCACATGTTATTGAAATGTCAAAAGCGAGTTTGTTATCACCTGCGTTTTCATTAGTATTTCGTCACTTGCAACCGCCACATAGTTCCCGACTACTTTTACTTTCCTCGACTATAATGGAACCAAAAATTAGCCTGAAAAAGGATCCAGCATATCAAAGACTTCAAGAATATTATAATACAAACGGAAGTAAAATAAATATATTACAACTGTTTCAACAAGATACCGAAAGATTTAATAAATTCAGGTAAGGAAAGTTTATAATATGTCTCAGTAATTGTTTTTTTTTTCAATAAATGATAGAATATAACTAAAATGTAAGTAGTTAACAATACTTTTGGACCTAAGGACTTTCAATAAATTAAGTTTTATTATCATAATTAATAAATTTTTATACAAAGTATTTAATAATAATAAAATATATTTCGTCTTTTGAAAGATTTATTATGTACCTGCTTATTAAAAAATATATATAGCATATATGGTACCCGTAATATAAATTTATTTAATAATAATATTATTAATGTTTATGTTTTTAATACTTACCATATTTTAAAGGATTTCCTGTCAATATTTTGAATCAATATAAATATTAACTATATGATAAATCTATACAATCTAGTAGTGGGTAATAATGGAAGAATTGGAGCTATTCACAAGACTTCATAAAAGCAGATAGCAGAAATTGACATTGTTAGCTTTAATTTTTGTGCATGTTTTTTTATATATTTTAAATATAATCCTTTATTCACTTACAATTAGTGTATACTTCCCTAAACAGTTGGTAATTCATTAGTAATAAGAAATTTTATCAAATGATCCCACATTGTTGTAGGGCTGAAGCACCAATGTTGTATATTATTTTGTTAATACAATCTACATTAATAATTAAAGTTAAGACAGCACTCATTGGATAGTTTTTTTTGCTAACTATAAATTATATTTAGTCAAAGTCCAGTTCTCTGTGACTTCATTATTTTTCAGATTTTCTTATATAACAACACTACCCTAAGCTACTAAAAAGAAGCAATATTATGTAATGTTTCACAGTATTCTTAAGATGCAGATCCTCCGATTAGACACTCTATTTTCAGTTCCCACACTCAAAAGACCTGCTTATAGTTCCAAGACTGATTGCAGATAGTAAAGAAGGAAACAATATTTTCTAATATGAGAAATAAATAAAAAACTAAACACTATTGGCTACACCTTCTGAGATACAGCAATAAGATGTATGATGTTGGGATGTTCTTAATCAAATGGTTGGCTCTTAAACCATTTAATTCTTACCACAGTTTTTCAATTAAGTTATAGCTGTGGCCGTTTTTACATTAAAATTTCAGCCATAATATCTAAGACTGTACTGTCTCTATAATATAACTATTGTGACTGATCCTATGATACTAACGGACAATAACATCTGTACCATTCTTTACAGTCTGAACATCCAAACACCAAATGACGGAGATATCCTATTGGATTATTCCAAGAATCGTGTGAATAATGAAGTCCTCACTTTGCTTCTCAACTTGGCCAAGAGCCGCGGTGTGGAGCAAGCAAGAGATGCCATGCTTGGAGGTATATTTAGAATTTATCCTCTTATTTATACAATCAAATGTGTAATAAATAATGTTACTTAGTCATTTTATTTTAAGCAGTTTTCTTAAATTGACTAAACAATATCTTGAAATAGTTTTTAAATGAGTCATCTTGCAAAAACATCTGAGGATCATGAGTACCTTAAAGTAAACTCAGTAGCTGAAGAGATAAAGCACTGCTGCTTCAAATACAAGGTGGTAGTAAATCATCCCAATATGTTGGCCAATCAACTGACAGTCCCCAACAATATGTGTTACCTCAAAAGACATAGGTAGGTACAGCTTTTGACGGGACTTTTTTTGGCAGGTAGCTGATGTAATAAGGAGTAACTTAGGCTACTTTTAATTTAGAAAAATAAAGCTAAATTCCACGCGGACGAAGTCGAGAGTTGAGGACAGCTACTTTTAAATATATTCCTTTATTTATAACTAGCTGTACCTGCGACTTCGTTTGCGTGGAATTTAACTTTATTTTTCTAAAATGAAAAAAAAATTCTAAAATAAAAGTAGCCTAAGTTACTCTTTATTACATCAGCTACCCGCCAAAAAAAGTTCCGCCAAAATCGGTCCAGCCATTTCAGAGATTAGCCGAAACAAACAGATCGACAGACAATCATTGTAAAAAATGTTATTTTAGCGTATGTATCGTATTTATATTCGTATGCATAAAGTAAACAACGGTTATTTCAATTACAAACAAGGAACCCAGTGACTAATTATAACCATCTGAAAAGACGATGATGGTGAATGTACTGGGAATCACACAATATATTCTGTGTAATTTTCACTACATATGCTCATAGTTTTCGACTGATTGCCATTTTCCATTAGTTGCGCCATCTTGTTGCTATTCTATTTACACAAAAAAATATGTTGCAGGTGAGAAAATTAACTTCACTGAAGATAGGGCAGTCCTCCACGTTGCGCTGCGCAACAGACAGAACAGGCCAATCCTGGTCGCTGGCAAAGATGTCACGCCCGATGTCAATGCCGTCCTGGCACACATGAAGGAATTTTCTGAACAGGTTATCAGTGGGCAGTGGAAGGGGTGAGTCTTATGAGTAGGGGTTTTAGGTATATACTACATTGTCACCTTCTAATAGAAGATTGTGATCGTCATGGGGTTTTTCAATAGTATATTAAGGTTTCTTAATAGTCAGCAACACAAGCGACACACCTGATCGTCATATCGAATGTCGATTTAGGGTTTTTCAATAGTATATTAAGGTTTCTTAATAGTCAGCAACACAAGCGACACACCTGTGGGCTAATTATGTAACTTCGTTCGCAACGATTTTCGTATGTAACGTAGTGAAAATGACGTCATCTGTCAATAATGCGATCATATAAATTTAAAATGACGCCATTTGACGCTGTCAACTAGCATTGCAACGTAAACGCAACTTTACATATCGATAAAAATATATGTAATACTGAAAATTACCAAAACAAGATAAATAATGCTGCTCGTTGCAACGTCACGTAATCGCTATTTTGCAACGAGGTTACGAATATGTAAAGTTGCAGTTGCGTGGAATTGAAACGGTTTTTACATTATGAGAAACAATTTAGAAGGTGTTTTTACATTATTTTAGAAGGTGGTTATAATCTTTAAAATATCAGCATTAGCAGCATTATTTATCTTGTTTTGGTAATTTTCAGTATTACATATATTTTTATTATATTAAATATTACGTAGAAAGTCGTGAAAAGGTTTTAAATTTATTAAAATGGGAAAATTGTCACGACTCAAACATGACATCAGTGTTGCCAATTCGATATTTTATTTTCGTCCCAAATCACATAGAATGTTGTATTAACTAGAGTAAATGTTTAATATAAAATTAGGTACCTAGGTATCTATAGCAGAAAAGAAAATTTAATTTGTAGGTTAGATTAATATTAATAATGATTATAAATAGTTTGTATAAAATATGCTTTTATATTCAAAATTATTAACCTTATTTTTTCATTAGAATAGAATAGACTTTCTTTATTTTATTTTATTAAATGTCTATTAATAAAATTAAAATAAAAGAACAAGTGAACGCTGCAGTATATTTTGTAATTTTTGAACGCAATAAAAATTGTTTCAAATCAACCAACTAGTGTATTAACCCAATAATTTAAAATGTATCCTTCTAAAGGTATAAGCTATCTAATGTACTGACTTTTTAAATTGGTCGGATTAACAATATTCCGCTGCAACTTCATAGTAGTGTTTTATCGATAGAAATGATTTATGTTGCGGTCATTCGACCTTACTTGATCGCATTTTTTAAATTGAAATGATTTTATATTGCATCACAACTTCAACAGAAACACTTTCATATCGTGTTACATAATTAGCCCACTGGTGTATCACTGCTAATAGAAGATCGTACCACTCTTGAAAAACCCCGTGGTAGTTCATGGGTTTTTTCAAGAGTGGTATATTAAGGTTTCTTAATGGTCAGCAACACAAGGGACACCTTTGGTGTTTTAGGCATCCATAGGCTACGCTAACCGTTTACCATCAGATGAACCGTATGCTTAATTACCACCATCGTTGTATATAAAAAAGAAGTTATTTAAAAAAAACATAATGTCGCTCTATCGGCCGCCTCGACTACCACACCGCTTTATTTTCAATGGTCTCAGGTTCGATTTCTCGTACGATCTAAATATTTGTATTCATGAGTCTGATTGTTTGTATCGGTCTGTGTTTTCTATGTCACACACACACACACATCCACACACAAACACATACACACAATTATTCTCACGAACATGTACCACATTAGCATCCTACAACAGCAGTATTATTATTAGCATTAGTCTTTAATATCTAGGGAATCTAACTTTCACGTAGGGAATGTAACTGGATGTCCTTCATACAGGTCATTATAATGACCTAGTAAGGACAGCAGTGAACAATAAACTTATGGGATGAAAGTTTATATGAAACTTTGTCATATTTAAACCGATCGGGCTGAGACTTTGCATGCATAAAGCTACTATGACGTAGGCATCCCCTAAGAAAGGATTTTGATAAATTCCACCCCTAACGGGAAAAATTAACGCGACCGAAGCCGCGGACAAAAGCTAGTAGGCTATAAATTTCCCGTAAAGTGGGCACAGGTGGTATTAAATAAGTATACCGGATATTCTTATGCCTTAAAATGATATGACGAGTATATAATGTAATCTTGTTTAATGTTTTGTTCATATTACACATATAATCTCCGTGATAACAATTATTGATAAATTAGCTAGGGTCAATATACGGAATGACTGCCTTGAATGTGATATGATGTACTGATAGTGTATTAAGTGCATTAATAACGCATTAATAACCAGTAAACTGAGAACTCATATTTTGACGTCCTTTTGTAATACTAGCAGAACCAACCACGCGTTGCTGTGACTGAAATTCTTGAATAGCTTTGCCTGACGTATTTCCCGTAATTTAGGCTTAGTTTAAAATGTCCCGGCGGGACTGACTCTGTCCCGTATTCGAACCGTGCTCCGTTTTTTATTATTAAATCGATCGATCTCCGCTAGACAAAAATACTCACGCACGGGGTACGAAGTTGCGTAACCTTTGTACCCCTAATTTAATAAAAAAAGAATTGATGACCGTTTTTAATTATGATTATAATTGTATTGATTTTTATAAATATGTTAAAACCAATAAAAATATGTTAAAGCTGACTTGCTCCTCAGAAAATAAAAAAAAATAAAGAATATCACTATATAATTTTCTTTTTTATTTGTTCCAAGTAAAAAACTAAATTTCCGTATTTTTGCCTATTTAAGCATTTGCCCTTTATAGGCTGAAATTTCTTCACAATTTAATTTGTATACTGAACTGGATAGTACCAAAAAAATGTAATGACACTTGAAGTTTTTAAGCGGCTCAAACGGTTCAAATATGAGTAAATTATTTATTGATTTGATTTGTGTCGTTTTATATTATACTAACTGACGTTCAAATCAAATCAAATCATCAAATGAATAAGGATGGAAATTTACAGATCTATGTATTTTTAAATTCCACGTAATAATTGAATAAAAAAATCTTAGAAAACACGCAAACCCATACAAACAATCATACTCATGAATACAAATGTTTGTACCGTGCATGGAATCGAACTCGCGACCATTGGCAGTAAAGCGGTGTGTTAAACCGCTAGACTACAGAGACCGTGGATTTTATTAAATTATTTCATTATAATACAATTTAAACGGGGGTCAAAATTACGGACTGAGCCGAAATTCGAGCTCCTATGGGTGCCCTCAGACTAAAGTCGTATCCGTCAGGCGGGAGTTGGCCTTCAGCCGCTCCATAAGTCCTTCCGCGGGTTTGGAGTGCCATCTGCACTCGCTCCCTTTTTTTTTATTTTTTAACGTGTGGAAAAATTTCAACAATACCGTCACCCCGCCGGAGGGATGGCGAGGTGGTGTGTGGGACTCGTACCCACTAAAAAACCACACGGTATACCCCGAGGTGCCATGAGCCGAAGTTTGGGGTTCGCACTTGGCTCTCAACCCAGACTTCGGCGGCTTGGTTCTCTCTGGTTAGGGTGCTATGACTTGCACCCTACCTTCTCGTGGACTCTATTCGCCCCCTATCGTACGGCGAAGCTGTAAAGGCCAGCTACGGCCAACAGCATTATAGTCCGATAAAAAAAGAGTAATAAATAATTTTGCGTCACAGGTACACGGGTAAGCCGATAACTGACGTGATCAATATTGGTATTGGGGGGTCGGACCTCGGCCCTCTCATGGTCACTGAAGCATTGAAACCTTATGCCAATCATCTCAAGGTTTGTTTTTAGTGTCTATTTGTAATTTCAAATTAACAGTTTTACTTTCGATGGTCGCGGATCCGATTCCTCGCATGGTACAAACATTTGTAATCATGTGTATGATTGTTTGTATCGGTCTGGGTGTTTTCTATGTATATTATGTATGTATTTACAATAAACAAAAAAGTATCAGTTGTCTAGTATCCATAACACAAGTCCTGCTTACCGTGAGACTAGATGGCGTTGTGTGAATTGTTAACATTATTATTATTATTATTATTTAAAAAAAAAATTCTAAGTACATATTTATATCAGTTGTCTAGTACCCTTAACACAAGCTTTCTTACCTTGGGACTAGATGGCGCTGTATGAATTATCCAGAAGGTATTATTAATCTTGTTAATGTAAGTTTTAAATCTTAAGGTGCACTTTGTATCAAATATCGACGGTACACACCTGGCTGAGGTGCTGAAGCGGCTCGACCCTGAGACGGCGCTGTTCATCATTGCTTCCAAGACCTTCACCACGCAGGAGACCATCACGAATGCCACCTCAGCCAAGAACTGGTTCTTAGAAGCTGCTAAAGACGTGAGCATCAATTGAATACATTTTTAGATAATTATGGAATAGCAGGGGCGGATCTACCTAAAGGCTTTTTGGGCTGTAGCCCAGGACCCCGTGGATACTAAGGGCTCCCCAGCACTGTAATGAAAACTATAGGCGATATTCTGAATTAAAAAAAAATCTAAGCTAAAAATTTCCCATCGGTTGTTTTTCTCATCTGATCGATCACCCGTCCAATTCTAACAGGGATCAAAATTACGACGGCCTGAGCCGAGGTTCGAACCCCTAGCGGTGCCCTCAGACTAAAGTCGTATCCGTCAGGGTTTGGAGTGCCATCTATACTCGCCCTCCATTGTACCGCTGAAGCTGTAAAAGCTAATTGCGGCCTTCCTCTCTTAGACCGGGTCTTCCTCTGGTGGGAATGCCTGTATTTACTGATGCTGTATAAACTGTGTCAACTTTAATAAAGAGAAATACTACGCAATACTTTTATATTATTTTCTCTATTCCGCTACAATTAGCATGCGCGAGACCACAAATATTCTTGCGGAATTACCAAGTGCTAATTGTAGCGGAAGTAAGCAAAATAATATGAATCCATTACGTAGTGAAATGGATTCCGCAAACCACCTAATTTGATAAAACATATAAAGGGAAATATTTCAGCCATCAGCCGTGGCGAAGCATTTCGTGGCGCTGTCAACCAACGCTGAGAAGGTGACAGGCTTCGGCATCGATGCACAGAACATGTTCGGATTTTGGGACTGGGTCGGAGGCAGGTGGGTTTTTTTGTTATAAATATAATAGTGAAATTATAATAATACTAGCTACTTGCCTCGGCTTCGCAAGGGTGTACATGTATTATATTTAAAAACCTTCCTCTAGAATCACTCTATCTATTAAAAAAATCGCTTTGAAATCCGTTGTGTAGTGTTAAAGATTTAAGCATATATAGGGACAGACAGCGACGGCGATGGTGAATAATAAGCACACACACGCACGCACTCAAGCACGTACGCACGCACGCACTCAAGCACGTACGCACGCACGCACTCAAGCATGCACGCACGTACGCACGCTCGTACGCAAGCAGGCACGCACGCGCGCACTACACCTACTTTGTTTCGGCCCATAACTGTGATATACGCCACAAAGGGTAACAAAGATATATACAAACTTCTGTAAACATTTACGCATGTCGTGGTAACCCGTAATTAAGTCAACACTATATACCTAAACTTCTTGCAAGGGATAACAATTGTAACTTCATAGTGTGTCTTGTTGATCGCTCAAGTAAATAAATAAATAAAAAAACGAACAAAAGCTTGTGAAAATTAAGCAAATGAATATCCAAGACCATTATTACAACGCCACCTAGTCACAAGCTAAGCGACTCGTAGTACATACCAGTTTTACGTCATTTTACGGTTATATGTAACAACGTTGGTGCCAATCAGACATGCCTATCTGATGGTAAACGATTACCGTAGCCTTTGCACGTCTGAGATAGGAAGGTCACATGTGCGTTACTGACCCTTAAAAAACTTAAATATATTCTTTTAGAATAACTTATATTTAGTTAAAACTAACATTTAAATAAGTATATTGGGCATGGAGTTCTCTATTGTAATATTATTTTTATGTGTTACAGGTATTCTCTATGGTCTGCTATCGGCCTGTCCATCTCGTTATACATTGGCTATGATAATTTCGAGAAACTTCTAGAAGGTGCCAACTTTATGGACCAACACTTCACTACTGCGCCTTTGGAGAGAAATGTATGTATGTTATCATAGATTAGATATTTTATACATTTTTAACCCGGTCTTAACACGAATATTTTATGGAAAATAAAGGTATTTACCTCTCTCGACGTTTCGGCTAAGTTGCACTCGCCGTGGTCACGAGTTCACGTATGGTAACTAACATGGTGACACGAGTCTTTTATATATAACACTAGCTTAGTCCACGTGGAATTTAACTTTATTTTCTAAAATAAAAGTAGCCTAAGTTAACTCTTTATTATATCAGCTACTTGCCAAAAAAAGTCCCGTCAGAATCGGTCCAGGCATTTCAGAGATTAGCCGGAACAGACAGACAAATATTCTAAAAAATGTTATTTTGGTATATTTATATTCATATGCATGTACTAAAAACCGGGTATTTCAGTATTACAAACAGACACTTAAATTTTATTTATATGCACATAGATAACGTATGATTTCTCTACACGATAGGCGCCAGTCCTACTAGCAGTTCTGGGTGTGTGGTATAGCAACTTCTATGGAGCTGAGACACACGCTCTTTTGCCGTATGATCAGTATTTACACAGGTACTTAATTTTTTTTATATAATTCCTTTATAATAATAACAGTATATACAAGGTTACTGGAAATTAGACGTATTCCCATCAATACGATATAGAGGAGCTCAAATTCAATCAAAAGGTTTTCAAGTTATTCTGAATTTTGTGATTTTTAAAAAAATATCCAACTCAGTGTCTTTACAACATTATTTAAAAAAAAATGGCTTATTAAATGTCTTTCAACCTAATTTTTATGTGTAGAGGACTTGGTAACGAAACATAATAACTCACAAAATACCCAAGAATCCGTAATAAGTAATACCTGTCACTGCAAACATTTTTTTTCATAAATTAAACGTTACTTGAGTTAAAGTACCATGTCACGCCATCCCTTGCCAATACTCAACAGATTTGCGGCGTACTTTCAACAAGGGGATATGGAGAGCAATGGGAAATATGTGACGCGTTGCGGCGAGCGCGCGAACTACAGCACTGGGCCGATAGTGTGGGGGGAGCCGGGGACCAACGGTCAACACGCCTTCTACCAGCTGATACATCAAGGCACAAGGTGAGTCCATCTCAAATTAATAACCAAACGAGAAGCACTGAATGACTGTCAGGAAATGCCAGGATTGGTATATTCAAAAGCTTTAATATCGGGCTACTCGAACAAATACTCAAATAGACTACTGCTATTGATTAAAAACGACATATGCATAATGACTGGAGCCCTCACAGGACACTGCAAATTAAACAAACATATAGCAATCCTAGGTCTGCACAACAAATATCTGCAGATTTTGCCAAACTGAAGAAAAAACACCACTACACATCCTATGTGGTTGTAGCCCACTCATGTATAAACGAAATATCTCCTTTGGAAAGTATACACTCTATCCTGAGGAGATAAATCGCTCATAAGAATATCCTTCAATTCTCGTCCCTGACGATGCAGCGAACTTTGAAAAGGGCGAGCACAATAGATCTGTGCAGGTCTCAGTGTTACATGTCTTAGCACAGATGCTAGACTGTTACAGGTACTGTAGCTTATTGACGGAACAAGTCTAAAAACCTTCAGTAACAAAAGTACTTCTTTTATTCGAAATAATAAAAGTAATCCAGGAGGGGGAAGGGGATTGTCAGTAATGAGGACTGTTGACCCCATTGCTTGCAATGTACCATGTCAGGTTGACCTCGCGGTTCCCCCTGGAAACCATCGTGATAAATTCCTGATTAATTTGTCACGATGGGCTAACTGACCTGACCTCATGCTCATCTTATCATCCTTCACTGGTGCCCCGCCAGCGTATACCGTTAGCGCAGGCGGGTGCACCATAACATTATCATCCTCTAAAAAAAAATAGTTATCCAGGATAATTCACACAGGGTAGGGAGAGGGAGATTTTAGTAAAGATATTCAATGAAACCAATTCAATTTAGAATTAAATACAATAGTATTTTAGAGGAACCGAGTGAAATCTGGCATGACATTGTTAGAGATTCAATAGTATTTTAGATATCCGGAACTATAATCGATTGGTTGAAATGGTCAGTCCATGACATGGATGTTGCTAGAGATTCCACCTTTATACATTTTCTTGTAAATAAATTCTTAATATTAATAGAAAACTCCCAGATCAATACGAATTGCTTTTTTTTGATGTTATGTCTCACTTATGCCAGCAACCTTGTTTGCAATTTGTGTAATAAAAAAAATTCTTAAGGGATATAAGCGTATGTAACTCTTAGTAAATAAGAAACATTTTAACTTCTCTCCTACAGGTTGATTCCGTGTGACTTCATCGCCCCAGCACAAACCCATAACCCGATCTCCAATGGCGTCCACCATAAGATTTTATTAGCTAACTTCCTCGCACAAACGGAGGCGTTAATGAAGGGAAAGACACCGGACGAAGTAAGTCTTTTAATCTTTTTTAGCAAACTAGACTTTATAAAAAGAGGTCTCAGCCTCATCTATTTCTGCCACCAAGTAGGAGTTATATTGTAAACTGTGTTTTATTGAAACTGGTAACAAACATTATAGTACACCTTTGTACAGTTTATTGTCGCTTTCTTCTCTATTAATTAATATTTATTTATTGTTGGCAATTAGCTCCTAATGGTTGAATTATCCACGCAGGCACAAGCAGAGTTGGAGAAGTCAGGTTTGACTCCTGAGGCGATCAGCAAAATACTACCCCACAAGGTGTTCCTTGGTAACCGGCCCACGAATTCGATCGTCGTGAAAAAAGTTACGCCTTTCACGCTCGGAGCACTCATTGGTAATTATAACGAACTCCTTGATACATTTTCATGCTGTTTTTAATTTTTATGACTATATTTTTTGACACAGTCTTTTTAATCTATTAAAATGTAGGTGTTGAATTAATCTCATATTTCTATAAATTTGTAGTTTTCATCAAAACTCTATTTCTAGAAAAAGCCAATAACAGATTTTCAGACTGCAAAAGAAATAAAAACAAAATGTGGCAAACAGAATAAAGATCTGAGATAAATTTAGAAGTACAATTAAAGTAATATAAATTACACACTAAATAAAAATTATAAAATAATTATTTTACGAATTATGAGAATACGTTTTATTTCGGACTACTCTAATGCTGTTGCCCGCAGCTGGCCTTTACAGCTTCACCGGACGTTAGTGCAGATGGCACTCCAAACTAAAGGACGGACTTATGTAGCGGCTGAAGGCCAACTTCCGCCTGACGGATACGACTTTAGTCTGAGGGCATCGTTAGGGATTCGAAATGGATGAAGTCATTGTAATTTCGATCCCCGGTTGAATTGGACGGGGGATCGGAATATAAATGTAAAAAAAGTATGTTGAATATATTTTTTCCTTTCAGCATTATATGAGCATAAAATCTTCACTCAAGGCGTTATATGGGACATTAATTCCTTCGACCAATGGGGCGTTGAACTCGGCAAACAACTGGCAAAGGCGATAGAACCGGAGTTGCAAGATTCTAACCCTGTATCTAGTCACGACGGCTCCACAAACGGACTCATAAACTTTTTGAAGGCAAACTTTTAAAACTAATATTGTATTATAAATATGTAATTTAGGTATTTCATTCATACTAAGTTCGACCAATATTTTTATGAAGTTTATTATTATATTCCCGCTGTTGGGAATGGTGTCTAATCATAATAATGAAATTAAAATTAGATGTAAATATAAAAAATATATGTATATTTGGAATCTGAAATGTGTGTTGTAATAGAATGAAATGAAAGTTTAAAAAAGTAACATATTTACTATTGTAATATTTTAACTAAACGTTAGTGAGTTATTACCTGTTTTTTTATTATTTCGTTAACACGATTAAACATGATATATATGTGTATAACAAATTGTTTGTTTTTTAATCCCCTAATAAATAATAAAAAAAAATACATTACGTGCGTCGGAGCGTGTTGACCATTTGTTTACCCTTTGTGCTCTCATTGTACAATAAAAAAAAAGACAATGATTTTCTTGTCTTTGTTTATGCTTGTTCTAAAATATGATTAATGCATATAATATTTATATAATAAACTAGCTGTCTCGGCAAACGTTGTTTTGTCATATAAATTAATAACGCTATAAAACAATAGGGGTTGGTGATAGAAGGATGAAAATTTAGGGTTGTATGTATTTTTTAATGACACAATAAAAAAATATAAATAAAAAAAATTGCCTAGCAAATAAAAAAATAATGTTAGGGGTGGACAACCCCTTTTCGCTTGGGGTATGAAAAATAGATTGTAACCGATCCTCATATCTACTGAATATGCATATAAAATTTCATAAAAATCGGTCAAGTCGTTTCAGAGGAGTATGGTAACTATGTGTGTGACACGAGAATTTTATATAAAGGATAAGTTTAAATATACATTCTGTGTATATTCTGAAGTGCCCTTTTTTAAACTATAATTGAGAAACCTAGCGAAAATATTGCTTTGTACCATAAGGACCTAAATATAAGGTTAGAGGATGTGGTTTTTCTTTTTAAATGTTTATTCTATTATATTTTTATGTATCTATCCTACTTTTTGTACATACTAAGTACGTGAAACTCACCTTACATTAATATACTTTTGTTTTTTACTTCATCATGCATAATATTGTGCTAATAAATGTGTTGTTAACATCAATATGGAAATTTTTACTTTTAAAAACCCTTGCGAATAAATCTGGCTTCACATTTTAGGTTCAGTCAGACGATTGTCATATGACGTCGTTTGATAGCGCGTTACCAAATCTCTTTGGTAACTCGCCAATAGAAACAATCGTATAAGACAACTTGGCGATGACCGATTCAATTTCAAAAATCATTTATTCATGTAGGTCATTTTAGCCACTTATGAACGTCAAGTTCTTTTTTTTAATATTTTGTTGTTACCGTCTATTTCAGTATAAAGATTCAATTGGGAAGAACAGGCGAGAAACTCACCTAAATATCTTTTTCTTTTAAAGCGATTATTTACATTTTATGCTTCTAGGTGTCTATAGATATAGATGTTAGATAACATTAAATGAAAATCGACGTAGGACTTTTTCTTAGTTAATTTTCGGCTCTGCTCTATAGGAGGGGCGCAAAAATAAAAACAATATACAGAAAATTTATCACATTATTTATTAGAACAAAAATAAACGTCATCAGTCTTCCATCATATTGAAACTGTAATTTTAATTTCTTCATTAACATTATCATAATAACACTTAGGCAATATAATAGAGTCATAGAGATTCTGTCAGCAGTCCAGCTGTGTTCGTACAAATTTGTTACTTTTAAGTTACATTTTTATAGTTTTTAAACTTATTAAGTGCTATAAACTTTAAAGACGAATTTAAGAAGGGATATCTCCCCCTATTCCTTTCCCTTCCATGCCCTTAAAAAGCTACTAAGCCTCTCGTAATTCTGATATTGCTTATGGGCGGCGGAAACTTATCATTTGCCATTAGATGTGTTGCAAGTTCGTTTGCTCTATGCTATCTATAATACATAAGGAATCTGAACCGGTGCCTTATACAGAAACAAATGTACCTAAAGGCCGTGGAAATTCTATTCAATGTTCTTTTAATGTTAAAATAAAAAAAAAATTAAATTAAAAATGTGGAACTAACATGGTGTTCCAAAATATAAATCAATGTCAAATTTAAATCTCTTAGTAAAGATGTCTTAATGAATTAACAGTTTGTACACATATTTTGTAACATCCTAGGTAATACAGATTATAAATAACATTTTTACTTGGGCCGGCGACCGCGGCCGCCAACCTTCGCCTTTTTGTTAGCTGCATTCTTTTTCTCTTCTTCTGCCTTGCGTTTTGGGTTTGGTGTGGTCGACAACACCTGAAAAAAATTAACCTTTAGCAAAATATAACCTCTCTGTCGGGGAAAAGGGGTTGGACTGACGACCATAATGATAATGCCGCTCCCCTACTGAATTTATGAAGATGGGCTAACTGCCTTGACCTCATATCTATCTTATCATACTCCAATGGTGCCCCGCCTGTGTAAACACTTAGCGCAGGCGGGTTAACATCATCAATTAAAAAAAACTTCTCTCCCGACCTTATCCTCCTAAGTCCTATCCTATTGTCACGACATATACCTACATACAATAATTCATAATTATATAAACAATCGATAATTTAATTAACTTAAGATTTGTACGCTTGAGATTAAGATTTGTACAAAAACATGGCCCTAGCAAAATTCAACGGAAACAAACTAAAGATTTGCACTTTTATTTTAATTTTGTAGTAAATATTTGTCTTGTATAAATGTAATTTGTGTAACAGTGCAGTATATAATGCAAAATGACCGATGAACCTGATCACAGCGAAACTTCCGATGTAAATCTTATTGCATCGTATTAAATTTCTATAACATTAATAAAGTGTGTGTGTTTGTGACTCATTTACACTCGACATGCCTCCTATAAGGTGGTGGTAAATTTAGGCTGAAGAAGCAAATGCAACGAATCAAATTAGTTACCAATCTAATCTTACTGCCCAGGAACGTGACGATCGTGAATCAATGAACGTGAAAGAATTCGGACAAGATTGACCCGTGATCGACTACTAGTGGTGCAAGTTTGAATCCAGCTGCTTCTGTTATAATATGTCAATTGATTACAGTGCCTCCAACTGTGTTGCTATTGGACCTAGGAACTCATTTTGCCACTATGGTAAGGTATTGAAATACAAAAATGAAGCCAATGGATTGTGTTGCGCAAATGGAAAGGTGAAATTGATACCATTGCTTCCACCTGTTTCAAAATTCAAGATGACATTGGCAAATATTGTGTGCTGTATATCCCAATGAGTAAGCAGTTTATATACTTCGGCTTTGTATACACTTAGTCGAGTATTGCGCATAACACTCAAAACAACCTATTAGTGCTTCTAATCTTATATATAAAATTCTCGTGTCACAGTTTTCGTTCCCATACTCCTCCGAAACGGCTTGACCGATTCTCATGAAATTTTCTGAGCGTATTGAGTAGGTCTGAGAATCGGTCAACATCTATTTTTCATCCCCCTAAATGTTAGGGGTAGTCCACCCCTAAATTTTTATTTTAAGCCAAAACAACGTTTGCCGAGACAGCTAGTATAATATATAAGTCCAATAATCTGTAGTAATTGAGATATGTAATAGGTACTCTGTAATTCTGATATATGCGTGATAAACTCCAAGTGAATTTGTCATGATAAGTTAATACCTCATGCTCATCTTAACATCCTCCATTAGAGCCCCACCAGAGTAAACGCAACGAGTAAGCGCAGGTGGATGCTCCACTTTATTATCACCCATAAATTGTTTGTTATTGAACCCCTCCGAAAAGGAGTGATATTTATAAAATTTGGTGTACATTTAGGTAGGTTTCAATAGTATTTTATGTTATTTCACCTTAAAGAATCCGTCGAGTCGGCCCTGTGTGGTACCAGTTCTTGCCTTCATTAACTTCTTGGCGCCGTTCCGAACTCGTTCTTCATTGAACTGTTTGTCTCCACACAAGAAATTTACCAGACCTTCTTCGTCAGGGTCTGTCCATTTTATCTGGTAATATTAGTTATTATATTAAAATACTGGCGGGGAAATCTTAATTTCAGTATTACATTTGTTTTTTACCGTTGTTAGATAAGGCTATGAAATGATATAATATGGAGGTAAGACGTTTTAGTCGCGGTTACGTATGAGAGGTATAACTGGCGCATACGGACTCATGTGAGCTGCGAGTATGTTAAACATTCAATGAAAGTCTGTGGTTAATTTAAATTTCATATATTTTGTTTGAAAAAGTTAATAACGAAATATCTGATTATAGATTATTAATGTTCAAATTTATAATTCAAATTAATTATGCTCGAATTTCGACCTCTGGACGACCACTAGCATAACATCTATAAATATCGATTATCATTATTTTGCTACATTTTTTTTGCCTGCTGAGATGTGGCATGTAAATGTACATATATACGTCGACTCCACTCACCTCAATCTCACTCGGATCCGTCACTTCCGGTGCCAAGAATAACTTCCTGGCTCCCTCATAGTCCCAGTTCTCTGGAGGTGGATATTTATTTGTGTCGATATTCTTAAGCACCTCGTCCAATGTTCTGTGCTGACGGATGAGCTCGATGGCGCGTTTGGGTCCTATACCCCGGATGGAGCCGCAGTAATCACAGCCGAGCAATATGCACAGATCTATAAACTACAATATTAATAGTAATTAATTGATGGATTCATTGTCTAAGGGTTTAATTTTCGCGAATATAATAATTCACGCCTTACTTCTGACGGTCGCTGTATAGATTCCTCGCACTGTATAAACATTTGTATTCATGAATATGATTGTATTGCTTTTGGTGTTTTCTATATATGTATATATATAATAAAACATCACGTTATCGGAGACGCTTGCTACTTTCAGCCACAACAAAATAGAAATAATCTTTATTCATTTTTGAATAGTCATATCTTTTTGATTCTACCATTCTTTCGAAACGCAGACTCATCACAAGCAGAATCTAAAAGAAAATTGCAAATTGCTCTTTTAAAAAACAGATATACCTCCTTATGTTCCAGTTCGAGTCCTTTCAGCACATTGTCTAGATGAAACTCTTGGACTGGCATTTTCCTTGCTTCAGAAAACGTGAGGTGTCGTAGTAGAACATTAGCACCGAAAGTCAATGCATCCATATCCTCTGTAGCGGTTCCGTATACCTTGCCTGCTTTCACCTGGCAGAAAGGAGAATATTTTCAATATACACCAACACTAGCTTTTGCCCGCGGCTTCGCTCGCGTTTAGTTTTTTTTTTATTGTAGATGATAATGGAATGGTGCACCCGCCTGCGCTAACGGTTTACGCTGGCGGGGCACCAGTGGAGGATGATAAGATGAGTTATCAAACAAATTCCTTTCATTAGGGGTTATAAAGTTCACTATGACACTCATAGTAGCTTTATGCATGCAGTATCAGCCCGATCGGATTAAAATTGACAAAATTTCATACAAATTTTCATCCCCTATTTTATCCCCTTGGGGGTAGAATTAATCAAAATCCTTTCTTAGCGGATGCCTATGTCTTAACATCTACCTGCATGCCAAATTTCAGCCCGATCCGTCCAGTGGTTTGGGCTGCGCGTTGATAGATCACTATGTCAGTCACCTTTCGAGTTATATATATTTAGACTATAGAATACAATTTTTAATAGTTTAATTGAGATTATTGACGGCTTCGGTGGTCTAGCGGATTTTTTTTCACCCGTTGTTTTTGCACACCGCCGTTTCTGACGATCGAGGGTTCTAATTTTTGCATGGTACAAACATTTCTATTCTTGAGTATGTCTAGTTTGTTTTGGTCTGGGTATTTTTTACGTATATTATGTATGCGTTTAAAAAAATATAGAATAAGAATTTGTATCATTTGTCTAGTAGGGGATAGTCAGTAAGTAAGAAAGAAAGTAGCGTTTACGCAGGTAAACGCGGGCAATAAAGTTTCTACTATACTAACGGTGTTGCGTAGATAAAACTGTATTATAAATAAGGTATCTTACAAAATAAAAATAAATGCAACTCAGTTATGGATAAGTAAATGGTATCTTATAGTTGGAGATTATTAAATGTAATAATTGTGCATATTTTTCTATAGCTTAAAGTTGTAGTAAATCTAATTAATTTAAAGTTTTTAATAATATTTTTATCATTTCTTATGTAATCAACATTGCGACAAGATTGCGAATACGATAGAATCTTTCAAGACAGAGAAGAACCCAAAAACCCAATGAAACGAGCGAGATTTCATTAATGGATAATAAAGTTCTAAGAATTTACCATAAAACTTCTCCATTTTAGCAACAAAAACCTTTTAAAGACCTTATCAGAACACGTTGCGTTGGTCAAGGAGTTTAAAACATCTGATCGACGCAACTTTGTACCACATCTCAAGTCTCAATCAGCTTGCTTTGTAAGCTGTAATTTTGTTGTAGAGTCAGATAAGGGCAGTTAAATTACAGGACAAGATATTTTAAGACTCTGGAATGGTATCACGAGTGTCAAATGATAATGTGATGTCTGTAGTGCGGTTACCGTTTACCATCAGGGAGACCATCAGCTTGTTTACTTTTAGAATTGTATAGAAAGAATTGAAAGGTTTATTTTACATACCAGCGCTGCACACTGGGCCTCAGCTTCACACGGAGCCTCCACGACTGGTATACCCATCAGCTTGAGCAGTTGTCTAGCCTCATCACCATGCTGTCTTGTCACTTTCACTAGCCTACGGTTGAACTTCTCTATTTGAGATTGGTCACCTAGTAAATAGAAATAATAATATAATAAACCTGGAAAATCCACACAATGGCCTAGATCTAGGCATCTAGTCCCAAGCCAAGCAGAGCTTGTGTTATGGATATACTAGTAAATACTTAAATACATTTTGTTTTGAAAATAAATACATAATATACATAAGATATATGATGACAAATATAAACAATAATACTCATGAACAAAAAATCCGCAACTATTAGAAGTAAAACTGTGTGTTAAACCACAAAATTACAGAACCCAAATCTAATAGTTTAAATAGCCTGTATATGTATATAGACAATAAATGCGAAAGGAACTCTGTCTGTCTGTCTGTCTCGCTTTCACGCCAAAACTACTGAACAGATTTATGTGAAATTTGGTACACAATTAGTCTACATCTTGAGAAAGCACATAGGATACTTTTGGATGCGATAAAATGGTTGTAAGGGGGTTGAAATGGTAGGTGCAAGGTTGTACGTAAGAATCATCATTTTTAAAGGTGTAAACTTGAAACTTATATTTTAGTTTGGTAACTGAATGTGAATAAATATGATATTCAAAGTTCTTAAAATTTTTACCCTTAAGGGGGTGAAATAAAATAGGGGATGAAAGATTTTAGGTAAATTCGGCATTTTTGAAGCCAGATCTATGAAACTTTTTCCATTGGCTTTTTTGGATTAGTTTATAAAATACCCCACTAATATTATAACTGTGAAAGTAACTTTATCTGTCTGTTTGTCAGTCTCACTTACACGCTAAAACTACTGAACCAATTTAAATGAAATTTGGTACACAGATAGTCTAGACCTTGAGAAAGGACATAGGCTACTTTTGAATGCGATAGAAGGATTATAAGGGGTTGAAAGAGTTATGTATGGAAGTGTCGTAATTTTTGAAGGTGAAACGATGAAACTTTTTCATTTTAGCTTTTATTGGGTTAGGTCATTAAATATTTTTTCATTATTTGGTCAAGGTCACTATTTTCGCGGACGAAGTCGCGGGTACAGCTAGTATTATTATAAAAACTTTTGTTATTACTATTATAAAATATTTACCAGCTTCAGTGGCCTTCTGCAGTTCCTTTTCAGCTTCCTCTCGCCTCTCTGCTCTTTTATTCAGCTGATGCGACTTCAACTCCGGTGGTTTTCCGTCAAATACGTAAACAGGTTTAATACCATTTTCGACAAGTCTAATTGTGCGGTAGAATGTACCCATCAGATGTGATGTGGTCTCACCATCAACTGATGTTAATTGGGCACCTATACAAAAAATAAAAAGAAGATAAATAAAAAAAAACAGGTGAATTGAATAGAGGTTGTTATCTATTATGACATTTTAAAAGGAAATTATAATCTAGACATAAAAAAGACTATAATGGACTCGCGGATTCTACCGAGTTTAACTTATGATGACATGGGTCTACACAGAAGTAATAAACAAAGTCTTGTCTTGTCAACATGCGATGGAAAGAAGTATTTTGAAACTTAGGAGAATACAAAAAACTAGTAATACAGACATCCATAAGAAGACCAAATTGATATGCTCTCCAGTTCAGTTTGAAACAAAAATGGAACTGGGGTGACACTTGGCGCGATACAAAGACAGGAGATGGACTAATGTAACGACAAAATGGTCGGTCCACCAGGCAAAAGAAAAGTAGGACAGCAGAAAAAAAGATGGGCAGATGACATAAAAAACATAGCAGGAATAGACTGTATGCAAACTGCCATGGATAGAGGGATGGCGGAAGATGGAGGAGGCGTTTACCCGAGGGTGCCCACACAATAAGAAAAAATAATAAATAAACCAAAAGTATAATGTTTGAAAAATATTATGTGGAAGTTAAAGCTATAATAATATAGGTGACATGGTATTATACATTGCTAGAAATGGGGTTATTAGTAGCACTTATTGAATGAATAAGAAATTGTGCAACCATCTCCATATGGCACCAGTAAATGATCATATAATCAGTCAGATTAATCAGCCCATATTGGCGCTACAATTGCATAGAAATAGAAATAATCTTTATTCAGATAAACTCCATACAAGCAATTTTGAAGTCATATTTTTTTATCTACCACTCTTTCCGAATGCAGATTCATCACAAGAATGAGCAATATAGTTAGACCTGATTAAGTATATTCCTAACAATGTACAAATATCCCCATTACAAGCCTTTCTCTATACATAAAATTATTTTTGAGGAATTTTATTTTTGCTATGGACTCGAGAGATGTGTTGCTAAGTGTTTGGGATTATTTATCGACTCTATATCCATAATACTAACATAGTGGATGGAAATGATGTTAACTTTTTTTTTTTTATGTTAATGGAATGGCAAACCTGCTGACAGTCCAAATTATTACTTTGTTTAAAAGTAGTCTATACATGTCATTCTGGCTAGTGTAATTTGTGTTTTAGTTAAATGATAACATTATTTATATACACAAACAGCACTGTAGACACATTATATTAGCTATGCCCGCTATTTCACCCACATGAAGTTTATAGCCTATGTGTTATTCTGATGTATAAGCTATATTACTGTAAAGCGTCAAAATCTGTTCAGAGGTTCCTGTGTAAAAGAGTAACAAACATACATATTCACAAACTTTCGCATATAAAATATTATTAAGATTAAGATGACACTAGCTATACTAATGCATTGCCATACCAGAGGAACTATGCTGTCATACTATCTTGTAATTCATGCCATATCTCCCTATTCAACTGAAACTCAGCTAACAAAGCAAGTCACTCCGCAGCTGATATCGGTGTCTACCCACGCTAATAACTCAAATGAGGTTAAATTCTTTTAAATTTGACGCGGTTTTTATTTATACATATAATTGGTGTAATAAACTGGCGAGTTTACCCATGATCATGGCAGTTGAAACAGTGCCGAAATATCGGTAACTCAATAAATATAAAATATGGTAAGATCTTGTGATTTTTACTAATTATATGTATCAAATGAGGTTAGTTTTAGAATAAGTGGAAAAATTACTTGTTACCTTCACTTCTTACAGCAATCAGGAATTGATAAAGGCTCATAGATGCATCAATGGCAATTTTGCGGCCTGAAAATAAAAAAAAATACAGTCTGTACTTATTTAAATCATGAGAACATAAGCAATCCTTTATATAAAGTTTCCAACCAGTATTTAACATATTACAATATCTTTTTTATTAAAAACCATAATTAGGTATAATATAGTATTTATTTCTGATTAGGAAAATAATTCATAGTATTTTATTATTAAAACAATATGTTTCTTTAGTGGATTACAATAGTATGGTGTTGGACAGGGCATATGCTAAGGTGCAAAATAAATAAATGGAGCAAGCAAGTGACTCTCTGGTATTCTAGAAATGGGTCCAGAAGACAGAGGCGCCAAAGAGTATGCTAGAAAGATTATATCAACCTGACTCTAGGACCATTCCCTAGAACAGTCCTAGTCAGGTTGATGTCTATTAACTGTATTCTAATACGGTTGCGGAAGACAAAGTTCAACGGAGTGAGTTGGAGGAGGCCAATGCTAAAAGGCACCAAATTGCGGGACATTTTATAAACCACAAAATGTACCCCACATTTCGAAAAGCCTTTATTATTTATAATAGTATGATGTACCTGTGCGTGCGCTGTGTCTGCGCTAATAGTATACACTGTATGTATACACTAACATATAGATACAAGTTGGAGACGCTAAAAAAACATTTCAAATAATGCCCTTCATACATTAATACGAAGATAGAACTTTTATCTTGTATCGTTATCAATAGATAATGAATATTTAGTCGAAATATATATTATAAAATAAAACATACGAACCAAAATAGTTCTTAATCTCCATTTCTTTTACAGCTTGCGGTGCTATATCTGCTATTAACTTCGATAAACCTAAAATACCCATATTTAACTATTTTTCACACAATTTTGGTATAAGAAAATGACTTGAGAATTGAGATTATTGTTACTTGATTTGACAATATTATTAGTTAAAAACTGGTAAAGCAAAATGAACTTATAACAAAAGCGGTTAAACATGACAGATTGGTTAATGACTGATGGCGGGAAAATTACATTGACACATCTGTCATAAATAATAGTGCGTCACACACTTGATCTTTAATCAAGATTTTATAATAATCGATTTATCGATCTAGTTGACAAATATCTTGTTATGATAAAGAACTAAGGATAAAAGAATAGTTAACTGAGATATGACGGACAATAGGGATCCGTTGAAAATATTGTTCTGCAGTGACTTATTATATGTATGATGATAATTATGTGTATGACGAGATAGTGTTTTAGTCTTCAATATATTATAATTTATATAACATTTTAACACATATCATCTTTTTATTCTTCATATAAATTAATGTAGGCTGCAAAATATATACTATGCTACTTATTACAGAACCAATGGAAGAAAATGACATACTGCGCCGGTTTTAAGTAATATAATGAAGGCAAGGTAATGATAATATTGTTGCGAAATATAATATTCTATGAAATGATTGTATGTTACAAAAATATTTTTTTGAAACTTAATAAAGATAAAACTAAATCACAAAATTATTTTTTTTATTAAAAATAATAAAAAACAGTCAAAAGGTATAAATATACAACGGTAAATATACATAACTACATCGGATTGAAGAGAGGTTGGAACCAATAGTAATGATTTTTGACCCTTTAATTAAATTCGTATTTGTCAGGCAGGCAGGAATTGGTCTTCAGTTGTTCTTTACATCCTACCGCCCTTTCCCACTCGGCCCCATATCGTTCGGTGACGCTGATCTTTTAAAGCCATCGAATGTGTCCAATTGTATTAGAGTAGTTTAAAAAATAGGGTACACTAATTATTCTGAATTAAATTGTCAATGATAAAATCGAGAAAAAAATTAAATAACATTGATTGACAGCACTACACGACATTTATCAGAGTAGAGTAGGGATTAAGGCACAGGCACATAACAGTATTCAGATTTAAGTTATATACTTAATTTCTTCTTATATTCTTATTTATTTGGATCAAGGGCGTTGTTTGCCCTTTTGGTATTATAACACTTACAGCAAATTTTAAATATTTAATATGGGGAATTTAATAAGCATTAATATGGAAGAGAACTTTAAAAAAAATCAAGAATTTATTCAGTCCATGAGTAAAATAAGGGTAAGTGTTCTATTATATAAAATAAATGTACTTGTCCTCGAATTTATTTGAGTTATACTTAAGGTACTTTAAAATAATAATAAAAATGTTATAGATTTGGGCGATTAATTTTATTATATATACTTTAATTTATTTATATTTAATTTTAAATACAAAATTTACTAAAATAAAATACCATATAATTTCTCGAGTAGAGTAGGAAATAATCTGTAAATGTGTATTTTTTTTTTATTTTTTTTATCTAAATTAGTTTATAGTTTTTGTTTTCAAATAAATATGTTATTTATGTGATATTTCGTTGTATTTTAGATGGAGAGACAGATTCAGTTGCAATACCAGATACAGGAGCGTCAAATGGCAATGCAAATAGCTAAAAATAGAGACTTTTGTTTATGGTTTACTACATTTTATGTTACGGCTGCTGGTGGTTTGTATACTGGGTAAGTTAATATCCTATCCATACTTCATAAAAAAAAGATAGATCTATAAATCATAATAGTATAGAGCATGTTATTAAGCATATTTTTATACAAAAACCCTTAAAATCATTATATAGTATAAAACAAAGTCACTGTTGCTGTCTATCCGTCTCTATGTATGCTTAAATCTTTAAAACTAAACAATGGATTTTGAAGCGGTTTTTTTTAACTGATAGAGTGATTCAAGAATAGAATAGAAAATCCTTTATTCAAATAAACTTATTTTAAGCACTTTTGAAGAAGGTTTATATATATATATAATACATGTATACCTGTGCGAAGCCAGGGCGAGTACCTAATGTAAAAAAAACAGGGAATTGTTATGACTATCATAACAATTTCCTGTTTTATTTTCTATACATTAAAAAATGCCACTACTAAATCTGTTGCATAGCTTTAAAGATTTAAGCATACATAGGGATGGACTAACAGTGAGTTAATTTTTTACTATGTATTGATTCTACACTTTTTTATATGTATTACCTTTTAAGGGGGTAAACTATTTAACCCCAATTAGCCCCAATATACACTGATAGTGTAGGCAGGTACACCATTCTATGAACATCCTTAAAAATACAACTCGTGTTCTTACTTTCAGTTTCCGAAGAACAAAGAGGTCCTATCTTCTATTTCCACTGATACCATTGACTTTTGTGACATTATATTACTGGGACCTTGCTTATGGCAACAAGATACATAGGATCAGAAGTGAGTACAGCATCCTAAGAAATTTTTATTTTAAATCTATACATATAAATAAAATTGGAGTGTCTGTGTTTGTAATATTGAAATAACCATTTTTTACTACATGCATATGGCATACAATGTGGTATACAATAAACACGGTTACAATTTTTGTCAGTCTGTCTGTTTGTTCTGGCTAATCTCTGAAATGGCTGGACCTATTTTGACGGTACTTTTATTAGCAGGTAGGTGATGTAGGCTTAACTTAGGCTACTTTTATTTTAGAAATTAAATTAAAAATTAAATGAAATTCCACGCCGGCGAAGTCAATGCTAGCAAATGCAAATGCTGAGCCGATTTGGCTAATTTTAGTTTTGAAATATTCGTGGAAGTCCAGGGAAGGTTTTTACTGTGATAAAATATGAAGAAATTTCATGTAAAATAGTAAACACAATAATTTTATTTTACCATACAAATGGCTGATACCTGTCAGGGTTCGTTCAGAAATATATTGCAGAACTTCAAACTTCAAAAAACCTTTGACATATTTAATTTTGAGGGGGAATGGAGTTTGCTAGTTAATAATTGCTAGTAATGGGTCAGCTAGTTAATTTTTATAACTCTTTTCTAATTTTAGTGGAAGCTGAGCATATTATGACTCATGAAGCAGACTCGTTGGAGTGGCCTTGTGGTCTGCCATCGCCGTCTTCAATAGACCAAGGCGTTATGGAAACAGAAGAGAAGAAGAAGATTCACCCTCCACTTCTCTAATGTGAAACACTCTTATTGGGGGCCATTAATTAATTATGTCACACTTTAAGGGGAAGGAGGTCGACAAAGTGTGACAAAGTCCCTAAATTAATGTATCTAAGTATTAAAACACTAAATTAGATCTATTAACGAAAATAATTGAAATATCAAATTTCCCGTCTATGTCATAAGTACGCGGCGAGTCTCACAAGTGTGACCAACTGTGACAAGGTGTGACGTAATTTATTAATGGTTCCTTAATTAATTTGTTCATATGTGTGCCTTCACCAATTGGTAGTGAAATGGCAGTTTTATAAGAGTAGTGAAAAATAGTAAATGCTAGATTAAAAAAAATACACGTGCCAGAATAGGCCAGCGCGGGGCTTGCAGCAAATTATTTTAAGACGCCCAAGGTTTGAAAATCGAATTTAAAATTCAATTAAATAAAAAATAAACGTCTATTACTTGATTATATGCCAACGAAGACAATGGCATTATGGAGTGAGTCCTTTTGCCTTTCCCTGACATGGGAAAAAAAGTGGTTATATTTTTTCAGACAGAAATGAGGGCGCAGGACCAGTAGCTTTTGTCACTTGCTTGCAACATTATTGTTATAACTTTACCACAATAGATTTTAGTTGCAGTGGTGCTGCTAATTTTACTGTTCTGCAGAGAGAATATTACTAAGTTTTCTATACTACAATAATATTAGGGAAAAACGAAGTTTGTGAGGTTTCAGGAGGTAATTTATGGACCTACTGATCCGATTTAGAAAATTCTTTGACTTATCTACAGCCACATTATTTGTGAGTGGCCTAGGCTGCTAACCATTACGCTACCACCAATAGGAGTTAAGCGTGAAACAACACAAACAATTTTCGTCTCGTCACAATTTTACGATTTTATTATATGTAATAGTAACGAGAATATTATAAGATTAGTCCAAGACATTACTTTTATGAAGTAACAAATTACCTTCTTGTTATTCAATTCAATCTTTTTATATATTAGTAATATATTAATCACAACGCGGGCCATTATTTGGAGACCCCTGAATTAGGGACCGTTCTTTGATCACGTGAGGCTCGAAATGCTAAAAAAGCAGCTCCTTGCATGATCGATCGCTTTCTTAGTTCTCACTGTCTATGTAATGCGATACAATAAATTAGTCATTATTATAATAAGATGTTATGAACTCTTTCTTAATGTCTATATAAAATATTTTAATGTACCTTTACTATTTCAATTTTAGGAACTTCTATTTTTAGTCTAACCACACATATAATAATAATAATCATCATCTTTATTTGTCTCAAATATAAACTAATACAATTGCTGCTAATAATTAAATTTAAAAGTAATGAACGAGACAAAACGGTCTATAACTCAGAGGAGGCAGTGAGTCCACCCTCTCTATCCCGACGACCTTATAATGGCAGTTAATCTCCCCACGGGTCCGCTCGTTCCGTCCCGACCACATTTTTATACACACACACACGACACCGTTCTCGCCGGCAAAGACGACGACCCCAAACACATCATACCGCGCAATCAAACGGGCGACTGCGCGCGCTCGAGTGCTCCACCCCGGTCGCCTCTCCGATCGTTCCCCTGTCCAATTCAAACGGGGATCGATATTACGACGGCCTGAGCCAAGGTTCGAACCCCTAGCCCTGTGCCCTCAGACAAAAGCCGTATCCGTCAGGCGGGAGTCGGCCTTCACCCGCTCCATAAGTCCTTCCGCGGGTTTGGAGAGCCATCTGCACTCGCCCACTTATGGTCCGGTGAAGCTGTAAAGGCCATCTGCGGACAACAACATTGGAGTAGTCCGAAAAACCTTATGCATTTAGATTAGTCTATTAAGTCATAGCATGGTAGGTTAAATGTACGCTTAATATTTAATTATGTAAATGAATTATTTTCTTCATTTTAATATTTAAAATGAAGAGTTTATATATTTTATTGTTTCGTTTATTGAAATATAATTTCTTAAGTAAAAATTGTTATCCACTGTTTTAAATTTGAAGCGGTCAATATTTATACGTACAATTAGGAAAAATCACAGATAATTGTGCTTTCTCCCGGGCTACGCAGGCAGAGCACCAGTGTAGGATAAGATGAGTATGAGATCAGGTCAGTTAGCCCATCGTGACAAATGAGCCAGGAATTTATCACGATGTTTTCCAGAGAGAACCGCGTGTAGGTTAATCTGCCATGGTACATTGCTAGCATTAGACCACTTTACTAACAATTTCCTTCCCCTCAATAAACTGTATTAAGAATACGTGAAGATACTGTGAGTATAGTTTGCCGAGATGAATATCGAGCGAGTTTTAATAGTAGCAACAAACGAACACGTGTGAACGTGTTTTAAATTTACCCGCTGCTCTTCAGTTTACCCGTGATCATGGCGGTTGAAACACTGCCGAAATATCGAAGACTCAATAAAAATAAATTTAACGTGGTTAGAAAGGTGGTTTAAGGTACAATAAAGAGTTATAAATAAGAACCCTTGATTTTTCCTAATTGTACGTATAAATTATTGTTTAGTTTACTTTTAAGAATTTGATATATACTTTTATCATTTAAAATCATGTTTTGAATATTTTTTATCTTATTTGATTGTTATACAGCGATTATTGTAAACGAATCTAGAAATAAAAGTATTTCCACAGTTATATATATAAAAATATTGTGTATCGGCCTCGTTGGTCTAGTGGTGTAGCACTGCTTTTCTACCGATGGTAGCGGGTTCGATTCTCGCTCAATACAAACGTTTGTATTCACGAGTATTGATGTTTGTATTAGTGTGAGTGTTTTCGATGTATATGATACCTGTGCTTACAACAAAAAAATGTATTTCTGTCACTTGGTTTGTGCCCATAGTGCAATCTCTTCTTATTTTGGGACTAGATGGCGTTATGTGATTTTTCCTTGGTTATTAATATCAGTTGTGAAATTTAAAATAAATAGGGTATTTGTTGTTAATTTGTTATATTTATGTTTATTGTATAAGTTTAATTACTCTATCATCATTCTGGCAGATTACTTTCATTCGATAAATTTCCATAGACTATATTAATAAGGCTGTATAGATAAAATTTAAATTATTTGAAACACGTTATTCCAAGTCTTAAGTACCTAGTAGTAATTTTAAAACTAAAGCCAAGTCAAACTGTAGTATTGATAGACAAATAAAAATCTTATTCAATAATTAAAATTTTACGATGTAAATTGTTGTTTTGGGGTAATTGTTTTTGTAAATTTGAATTGATGTTAATAAATTTTACTTCGTTATTACATGTGTATTTATTTTGTTTGAGATGCATAAAATGTTTATTGTTATTAATTATTTATGGCAACATTACGAATACACGTTATAATGAAAAAATGAATTGTTAACACTTTAACTAGTGATCCCTTAGTGGCCGAAATTCGACCATATCTACCTAATTTAATATTCAGTAGGACTATAGACAAATAACACAAGCAATATGATTTTTTATGCATAATTTTATTAAAATATTCTGCACTGCTCTATATCTTAATAATATTATAAACGTGAAAGTTTGTGAGTAGATATGTATGGATGTTAATTTCTTTCACGTTAAATATTTTTTTTTGCTTGATGAAGCTTTACAGGAATATAGCTTATGCATCAGAATAACACATGGGCTAAATTTTTTATTGAAATTTAACACGAGCAAAACAGCGGGCACAGCTTGTATTACAAACGTTATGTGTATGGATAGATATTTGTTACTCTTTCACGCAAAAACTACTGAACGGATTTTGATTAAACTTTTCAGCTTATACATCAGAATAACACAGACTATAATTCAATAAGATATGTAAATTGGGCAAAATATTATGATTAATATAAAATTCTCTATTTCTTCATTAAGTTGTTCTTCTGGTGATTCTGTTTCGATATCATGTTGAATTTCTTGTAGTTTTCGTAATGTTTCTTGAAGCGATTGAAGTCTTGACTGAATTTCTTCTTGAGGGATTGTTTCGTTAGTGGTTATATAATTTTCTAATTTTGTCGGTAAACCCCGTAGCGAGGCTCGTGTTTTCTTAAATTTTTTTATATCGATAGTTGACATCGTCGCCAATTTATAAAATACCTGTATTTACATAAGTTAATTTATTAGAATAGAAAATTATGGACATATGTCAAATAGAAATATTTCATATTATAAAATATTCGAACTAGCGACTGGTGGCCAGTATATGACAATTAGTAAGTGTGAGGCAGACGAAGATGCGCGGTTTACGTAGTATTAAATATTTACTCTCTATGACTCGAAAACGTTCTCAGACGCTACCTTATTAAAAATGAATCATCAAATCAATCGATAATTCCATTCTTATCGATTACACAATCTACATATATATTTGTTGTCATATCAATGTCCCAGTACTAAGTTGACATTTGCAGTTACCCTGGTAACCAATAGTTGTTTAAATCGGCCACCGCCGTAAACAAATGAAATTCGGTGGACTGGAAATCTTGAGCGTGCATTTAACGCAATATCTACTCAAAAACGATTGTTTAATTCATTGTGTAACAAACATGTTGTTTAAAAGGTGTGTATGTTGTATTTTATGGTAAGTTTTATAATATTATAAGTCCATTCTTGGATATTTCTTGTAGGGACAGTTTTATTGTAGTGATGACACTTTCGGAGATGGAGTGCTATTGATCTGTTTACGGTTGCTTAGCGTTTATTATAATCAATATTTTAAAATGATCGGCGTCACGCTCATGCCTCATATTCAAATTAGAAACGATATGAACCGAAATTTACATTTTATCTGCTAATCACGATATAGGTATATCCGACGTTCGCTTTCCAGTCGGCAAAATGCTAATATTTAAACGTTCCATTTTAGTTCCAAATTCGACTGTTGGATAGCTTAAGATTCTGTCGTTTTGAAATACTTACTAATGAACTATAGCCAGCAAATCGTCAAGAAGGACGAACGCAAAAAGGATGGCATACCAAAGCAAGTTCAAAAGAAGAGTCCAGAGAAAAACATGTCCGAAATAGATGAGCACATTTTAAAGAGATTTGATATTAAAAAAAGACTGGGTAAAGGTGCGTATGGAATCGTTTGGAAGGCTGCAGATAAGAAAACAAAGGATGTGGTCGCTATTAAAAAAATATTTGACGCCTTCCGTAATCAGACTGATGCGCAGAGAACGTTCAGGGAGATCATATTTCTACAGTCATTCCGCAATCATCCCAATATTGTGAAGTTGCACAGTATTCATAGGTATGTATATAATGGAATTTTCATAACTACAAATAGGTATATATTTATTTTTTTTAAGGGTTGATTATAGAATGTTGCCCTCGCCTGCGCTAACGAGGCACCAGTGGAGGATGATGAGTATGAAGTCTGGTTCGTTAGCTCATCGTGGCCTTTTTAGGCATTAAAGTTTATGACGAACTAGCTGTACCCGCGACTTCGCACGCGTGGAATTTAACTTTATTTTCTAAAATAAAAGATTTTTCCAAAATAAAAGTAGCCTAAGTTACTCCTTATTACATCAGCTACCTGCCAAAAAAGTCCCGTTAAAATCGGTACAGGCATTTCAGAGATTAGCCGGAACAAACAGACACAGTTCCAAAATAATAGTAGCCTAAGTTACTCCTTATTACATCAGCTACCTGCCAAAAAGAGTTCCGTCAAAATCGGTACAGCCATTTCAGAGATTAGCCGGAACAAACAGACACAGACAATAATTGTAAAAAAATGTTATATTGATGTATTTATATTCATATGCTTGTATTAAAATCGGTTATTTCAATATCTATTACAAACAGACACTCCAATTTTATTTATATGTATAGATTTATGAAATGAATACCTAAATTATGTATGTGTTCAGGACCGAAAAAACCGACTTAAATCTTTAACGATTCTCATTCAAAAAATGTATGGGTATATCTATATATATATAAAAATGAATTGCTGTTCGTTAGTCTCGCTAAAACTCCAGAACGGCTGAACCGATTTGGAAAATTTTAATCTTGAAATATTCGTGGAAGTCCAGGGAAGTTTTAAACGGTTACAAAATATGAAGAAATTGCATGTAAAATAGTGAAAACAACACTTATATTTCCCCGTATTTTCCATACAAGCAGCTGATATCTTTCAAACAGGGTGCATTCAGAAATTTATTGTTTAACTAAACTTCAAAAAACGTTTCACATATTTAATTTTGAGGCGCAACGGAGTTCGCGTGGTCAGCTAGTACATTATAAATATAATACATTCTGTATGTATTGATAAAAAATGTATTTCTGTCATTTCGGGCCTATCTTTTTCTTATACTACGTTGATGGCAAACAAGCATACGGCCCATCTGATGGTAAACGGTTACCGTACCCTATGAACGCCTGAGACACCAGAGGTGTCACGTGCGCGTTCTACCCTTAAGAAACCTTCTTGGAAAACTTATCTTACACTTCAACCCAAAATATATATAATACAAGCTGCTTGGCGAGGCTAAGGATTCACGCAGAGGTCTACCTAGGTAACTGGTCTGCAGAAATGGCAATGCATACGACATACTACGGGAGGTATAATGCATAGCACACCGCCTTACTTCCGATGGTCGCGGGTTCGATTCCTCGCACGATGCAAACATTTGTATTTATGAGTATCATTGTTTGTATCTGGGTGTTTTTATGTATATTATGTATTATATTATATTTTTATAAGTTAAAAAGTATTTGTTTGTTATCTAGTACCCATAACACGAGCTTTGCTTAGCTTAAGACTAGATATCTCTAGAATTTTCCATGGTTATTATTATTATTAATTACAGAGCATTGAACAACCGCGATATCTACCTCGGTTTCGAATATATGGAGACAGATTTGCACAATGTGATAAAGCGCGGGAACATACTCAAAGACATACACAAGCGGTACATTATGTACCAGATGTTGAAAGCAACAAAGTACATACATTCCGGCAACGTAATACACAGAGATCAGAAGCCTAGTAATGTTCTTATAGACAGCGCTTGCAGGTATGACATTGTGCCTACACTTGTAAAAAAATTCTGTCAACACTCGACACCCTTCCATTAATACCTCTCCACATAACATAGATTTAAGTTCAGTATAAAGTCAGTCCACGTTACAATTCCGCTGTAAAATTTCTGTCAAAACTCAACACCCTTGCATTAATTTACGTCTCCACATAACATAGATTTAAGTTGAGCGTAAAGTCAGTCCATGTTACAATTCCGCTATAAAATTTCTGTCAACACTCGACACCCTTCCATTAGTTTACATCTCCACATAACATAGATTTAAATTGAGTGTAAAGTCAGTCCACCTTTCAATTTCGCGTCGAATGTAATGTAATAATGTAAAATAAAATGTAATAAACTTAGTCATGTACAATAAATAGTATACATTACACTTGTATACTCACTACCTACATAAACAATAAACACATAATCTCATAATATATAACACAACAGAGGTAAGAATAACCACCGCGCTACAGTATCAAGAGAAGTTACAGGTATTAATCATAACAAGAATAGTTGCGAGGGATGAAGGAGTAGATAAATTAGCAAAATTGAGAATTTTCATTCCATTACACTTATTATTAATAGTGCATCTGCCTGCGGTAACGGTTTATATTGGCAAGGCATCAGTGGAGGATGATAGGATGAGCATGAAGTCACGTTAGATGGCCCATCAAGACAAATTCATTGTCAAGCGCACCGAGCGGAGTTCAACCTGATTTGGTACCTTACTAGCGATGGAGTAATTAGTTCATATTACTAATGTGAAGTAATGTGAACTAATTAGTCCATCGCTCCTCACCCCCTTCCCCCTATATCGCAACATTGTAATTAAAATTTATCAAACAAGTGTAAGGAAAAACCCCTAACAAAATGTTGTACCAGGGTGAAGCTGGCTGACTTTGGACTGGCTCGGTCTGTGTCCAGTATGTACTCGGGTGGGGAAGACGGAGCCGACCCCTGTTTAACTGACTACGTCGCGACCAGGTGGTATCGCGCGCCGGAGATACTTATCGCTAGCAAGAAGTAAGTGTAACATTGATTGTTGTGTATGTGGGAAAGAGAAGGAGGCATTATTTCGTCTCTAGCGCACACTGTTGGTGTCATGAAACCATTATGCAGCGAGCGGCGAGTGAGAACAGCTGTGTGTGTTTAAGAGGCGATAATTAAAGAAGAAGGAAGACGAACAGTACAGATAGATAAGTTCTTTATTAACCAACTAAAAGCACATAGCATAATTAAGAAGCTTTATGTGCGGCAGAAGTGAAAAGGCAACCAAGTCATCATAAATAAACAGATAAGTGTGTATCACTGCTATTCTTTTGGCTCCTACAGTTAAATATATATATGTATTAAACGTCGCATTGAGGCAGTGAAATTACAGCATATGTATAACATTTTAGTCTCCTGAAATGCCAATATATGATGGATATCACGGGCGTCACATGATATCGTGAGGTCCGTAGTGCAGTTCATGTATATGGGCGACAGTTACCACTTACCATCAAGTGGGCCGTTTACTTTTAGTCTATTTGTATTACATAAAAAATTATAGCACTGTCTTTTTCAATCGTATTACTGAACTATTTTGGTGACAGCACCTTTTTAAATGGATTTTTAGATTCTAATAAAAAGTATGTTTTTTTTTCAGCTACACAAAAGGTATCGACATGTGGTCACTCGGTTGCATATTGGGGGAAATGCTAATCGGAAAACCGCTATTTCCTGGAACTTCTACCGTCAACCAGATAGAACGGATTATGGCGACTCTACCCAAACCATCATCTGAAGGTAATTTTTCAATTAGAATTGTGAAGGTATCGGTACAGTTGTATAAAGTGTGATTGTTTGTATGGGCGTTTTCTACATATATTATGTATGTAAGTATCTCTATCAGTTATTTAGTACCCATAATATAAGTACAGCTTAGCATGGAACCAGATGGTGCTGTGTGAATTGTCAAAGGTAATTAATATATCTTGATGCCATAGAAATCGGGAAAATGTTTGGTGTGTAATGGGATGGCGTCAAATGATCATTATTCATTCAAAGATTGAACATATATTTTATCCTTCTTACAAAATACAATAATAGATGGGACACTGTTACCCACTTTGCAATAATATATTGCGTGAACGTATATTTATATATATATATATATATATATATATATACCTATACATACCAATACATATACATACAATATATATACAAATCAATGGGGTTTTTTCAAGAAGGATAAGTTTCTTAAGGGTCGGCAACACGCACGTGACACTCTTGGTATTTCAGGCGTCCATAGGCCGCGGTAACCATTTACTATATGGGCCTTACGCTTGTTTGTCACTATCATATAAAAAAAATATATTATTGCTCGATTTTCTTGTGTTCACACAGCTTTCCGAATGAGCGGTATATTAAAAAAGTATGACCATTCAGAAGTTCTTACATTTATTTTAATTTTAATAAAGAATGTTTCTTCTTTGTTCAATTCTTCCTTTATGCAGATATATCAGCGGTATGTAGCGGCTATGGCTCCTCATTAATCAGGGAACAGGCGGCGTCAGCTAATGGTGGAACCTCGCTCGCCGCCATGCTGTCTTGTGCTCCACGCGATGCAGCCGACCTGGTCCAGAGGCTTCTAGTCTTCAATCCAGCTAAAAGACTTAGTGCTGAAAGGGCATTGGACCATGAATATGTTGGGAAGTGAGTGCATTCTCTTACCAAACATCGAAATAAGAGATTTTCTGTTTTTATTTATTTTACACCACACACACACCCAACTAGTTCAACGATACCGAGCAATAATGAAACTACCTTCCCTTAATATTCATTAACTATCGGATTCCTCTCCAATATCAATATGAAACCTAACACTACTGCCGAAACACAGCTTATAAAGGAAGTTGCTAGGCAGTTGAAAGTCTACCTCGATAAAAAAAATTTGAAATCCTTATCTAAATATTTGATTTCTGGTAGATTCCACCGTGTGCGAGACGAGCCGACCCTACCATCAGATGTGCTGTTACCACTCAGAGACGACAAACAAGTGTCCGTAGATGACTATAGGAACAAGCTATACAGCATCATGGCTAAAGGATCCAATTCAAACGGCCAATTGAAGAAGATGCACGCGTAAGTTAATTTAAGAATAGAATAGAAGAGCATCATCCAATACATAAAAAAAAAACTTTTTTGATATTACTGACTGACTCTCAGGTGAAGCAAATACCGATATTATATAAAAAAACGGCACGCTTTTAGCTACGTTGGATTAAAAATATGCTAAACGTAATGTAAAGCGTTACGTTCACCAAAACATAGACAGTTAACAATGTCTACAACAACAAGCTACAATTCAGCGACATCTAGTCCCAAGCTAAGCAGAGCTTGTGTTATAGGTAACGTGACCAGACGTCCCGTTTTAAACGGGACTGTCCCTTTTTATAACAACAAGTCCCGGTGTCCCCGAAATTAACTCTGGGACGCAAAATTGTCCCGTTTTTGGAAACTCGGTGAAAATATGTTTAGTCGAGCGGGCCGGTTGTGATGTAGATTATTGTTGATAATTAAGGTGAATATAAAAAAACGTGCCATTTTTATATTGTCTTGTAGACAAGCAATTAAAGTTTTTAAATTAATTTAAATTATTTTTACCTTTAAAGTTTTAAATTCACAAAGAAGTATCATATATCATTTTAAAAGTATTTAGATAATGATTAAGACGGCGTGATTAATTTAATTGACTTATAAAAGGTGGCAATTCTAGCTTCTAATTTTTAAAAATGACATTTTTCTATTTAATCGACGATACGTCCTCTCCTCTAGGTTGTCTGTAAGAGACTGCATATAGCGTGAAGACTGCCTATTGTAATTACTTTTCTATTTACTGTATTTTCTTATTGTTTATTTTGTGTACACAATAAAGAGTTAATTATTATTATTCTTTTATATATGTTACATCTCCTTTTTTACGGGGGTAATACTTTTTTTTTAAAGAATTAGATTTAATAAATTGTTTCCTTTATTGACTGTCTATTAATTGATATAAATAAATGTCCCGTTTTGAGTCAAAGAATAAATGGTCACGTTAGTTATAGGTATTAGTGATATAAATACTTATAGTTATAAATAGGTACTTACTATTTTTTGTAAATATGTACATAATAAATAATAAACACCCAGATACAAACAATCATCTTCATGAATACAAATGTTTGTAGTCGAACTCCCGATCATTGGAAGTAAGAGTCTTTTGATCCAAGTCATATTCGAAATATCGATATTCAGTGTTGCACAAAATTCTTAAAAATGTAATTTTGAACAACATTTATTTAAAAGAGCAACACGTAACTTTTCTTCATTCTTCTTGTGATGAGTCTGCGTTCCGAATCTCAAAAAATGTGACTATTTAAAAGTCGTAGCAATTTAGTAGCTTCAATTATGTTTAAAACTTATGCTCTTAAGTTTAAAATTAGTTTAATAGTTTTAAACAAACCTCATTTTTTTAACTATGATGGCAAACAAACACCATCCTGGTGATGGACAAATCCATGACAAACACCATGATGGTGAATGGTTGCCGTAGCCTATGAACGACTAAAACATCACTGTCACGTGCGCGTTACCGACCCTTAAGAAAGCCTTTTACAATTACAGCAGCAAATCCCATCCCCCACCTTCAACCGCCAACAAAAGCACCAAGTCCACCCATGAAGCAGAAAAATATAATCCGAAGACGGTCTCAGCCGACCAGAAAACACGCGCTAAGAAGCCACTCAAGGAGTATAGGTCAGAACAGATCATTAACAAGCCCATTCGAGCCACGAAAGTTTATAACCACGAGTGGCTCGAAACGAGCTGTCAAGGGGATTACTTCCAGCCAGTATCTCGCCAGAGTCCATCAGATCAAGGCTTCATGAGCGGAAAGAAGATGCAACAAAGGAGGAACTCTACGTCATTCTCGACGGTTACCATAGGCGGTGATGCAGATTATGGACTCAGGAATCAGAGACATGGGGTCATCACGGCCAGTGCGTTGATGGATCTCCGTACAAGCATACGATGAGGTAGAGGTCAGTGTATTGGGATGAATCTCAGTGTAATAGGCCAGGAGCTGATGACATTTTTTTTGCAGGTATTCAATTCGATTTTTCACTTGTTCACATTCTGTATGGAAATTATTTTATACATGGACATGTTGTCATTACAGTATGTGTATTTTTCATGTTTTCAGATTGATCTTTTATATACACCAACTTTTGTACTTATATAGTAGCTTGTCTTGCACCAGTTCTCTGGCTATTAAATCTGTAATTACTGAAGTCTGCATAATGTCAAATGTGACAATTCTTTTTATTAATATCAGCACTTTGTTTTTGAAAATTTAAGTGTTTTACTGACAAACATAACACTTAACATTATTATAATTAATGTCAAGATATAGATGCAACTGCGTCTAATATGCCTGAAAATATATCTTCACGACTTGTTTATTATGTGGGGTAGTCAGAGGCATTTGTCAACTATCGAAATAATAACACATAACCTTACGCATTTCGCAGAGGATGTTTTTCAAAATGGCAGGAAATAAGTCCATCGTTGAATTAATTTAGGCTGTTGACAGTTAGCCATTTATCATCCTGGAACTAAAGTAAATTCAACAATCACACAAATAATGCTTACATTAATAAATAAAGCTCAATAAATGAATACTATTATACCTCAAAACAGCGTTGGTTTCAACCGTAATATATGTAGATGCCGAAATTCGGTTTCGATTTTTGTTGCAATAACTATTTGCGGTCAGACACTGGTCTATTTTAACCGACTTCAAAAAAATTAGTTCTCAATTAACTTGATTTTATTTTTAAGTTCCTTTTAAAAGACTTCAAAAGATGAGTTTCTCCGGATGGTTATTCCGGAGTAATGTTTTTAGCTATAGATATTTTATACTCATGTTTTCGTTATTTTTTATTATGTTGGCGTTAAAATTTATTGTTTATTTTATTTCTCTTTATTCGTTAATTTATTTCTATAATCTATTGTTTTTTCACAGAACTGGTATAAATGTATATTCCTTGCCGTTGATCATCATAGACAAAATGAATATATAATAAATATACTATGAAGCACAAGAATAATAACTTTATTACTATGATTGAACGTCAATTAAACAAAAACTCAACCATAGAGAAATTAATACCATGTTTTATAAGAACTGGCAATATAAGACTTGAAACCAAATTGAATCTAGGCTCTTTACCTTGTAATAACACTGCCATATCACACTCTTTATATCTAAACAACTAGTTCATAAAGTCTAGTTTCTTACCGACAAAAGGTGATTTACAAGTTTGTTTGAGCTCTATGCTATTAATATTATTAGCTGTCTTTACATGTACACTCTTACATGCGAATATGTCTTCACGCAGGAAAGAATATGCATGTAAATATCGACATAAGGAATGAGAAAGATCCCGCACGCTAGTTCTACGAAACGACTTGACCGATCCCATTAAATTTTGTGTTATAAAAATATTATGTAGGTCGTAATTGATAAGGATGGTACCACTCTATATTGTAGTTTTTTGTTTTGCAGAATTTTTTGTTTATGTTGTGTTGTTTGTTGTTTGTATTGTATTTTTTTTAAGATTCAAGATATAAAATAAATATGACCCTAAATGATTGATGATATTTGATGGTAGAAGAACCCTATCATCCTTCTACCCTTTTATCTACCCCTATTTTTTAATAGTGATATTAGTACTTCGATGTACTCGAAACAACGTGGCCAGGTTAACTAGTATATATATAAAATTTTTATATTTTTCTGTTTTTGTTTTTATATCAATTGCCTAGTCAGTTTTTGTTTTAAATTATTAAGTAACGAAATCCGTCCAAGGACAATATTTTTAAGAGTTTTAGATAATGTTATAGAAAGTTACAGACACATAGGTAAATTGATGTTTTAGATACACTGAGTTGAGGTGTGTTTAAAAGAATTATATTAGTTAATATTACACTTGAGTGAAAAATTGTGTATAAAGTGCAATTTGTATGAAGGTAAATGTATTTTACGGTAGGGGTTTAAGATTTTATTTTCTAATTCTAATGCTGTTGGCCGCAGCTGGCCTTTACAGCTTCACCGGACGTAAGAGGGCGAGTGCAGATGGCACTCCAAACCAAAGGACGGACTTATGGAGCGGCTGAAGGCCAACCCCCGCCTGACGGATATGAGTTTAGTCTGAGGGCACCGCTAGGGATTCGAACGTCAGCTCAGGCTGTCGTAATTTCGATTGTTGAATGGGACGCGGGAACGATGTGAGTGAGTAACAAACATATACACTTTCACTTTTATATTATTAGTAGTAGAATAATTACAATGATGTACCAAGATGAATGTAACCTGTGGACCTTTGCAACGTTAACGCAACTTTACATATCGATAAAAAATATTTCTATCGAATGTCGATTCAGTAACCTCGTTGCAATGTCACGGAATTGTTATTTTACCGAAATGTGCCTGATCCATTGGTTTATTATACCTATATTTCTAATAGATTATAGTTGAAGATTAGTATAATCAATTTATTAGAAATATTCCAAATTGTTTTTGAAAATTGATACTTAATATAGATATTAATTACTAGCATGGAATTAATAAGAAAATTCAATCTATTCACTGCCTTAAAATATCCAATGTAGAATTTTAAACATTACTCATTATTAATCATAATTATGTATGCATCATTATTTATATTGTTAACCGGGTCTTAACATGAATAATTTTATGGTAAATAAAGGTGAGTGAGTGCTGTGTGCCACGATCTTTCGTTGGACAATCTGGTGACGGTAGTTGAAAAAACTGCTCGCTGTTACTTCAGTCAGCTCGTGACCACGGCTAGTGCAACCTAGTCGAAACGTCGAGAGTGGTAAATACCTTTATTTACCATAAAATTATACATGATAAGACCCGGTTAACAATATAAATAAACATGAAAGATTAAAAACTATGTATGTATGTATCATTTGCTTACTATTATAGTATTATTAATATTACTTATCGAGTTCATTATTGCCTTATTTATTAACTTAATTGCGAGTCTATTTTAATTGAGTTTTTAGCTGACGCGGCCCATTGCCTAATGTCTAATTTTTACATTACTTGTTTTATTGTATTTCGTAAGGCTTCATAAAAGGCAATATCAAAATCAAATTACATATTATTGTAATTTGACAGATAGCCGAGAATATTTGAATCCAACATGACAAGCAGCGATCGTATCGCCGTGCTATAGGATCATCATCTGCTTCTTCTTATTCCATTCATTTGTGGTCGGCGTAATATGTTTTTTTCTTCCATTCATCTGTGTTCGGAGTCATCTTGTGATTTGCTCCCTCTCTTGTCATGTCATCTTTCACACAGTCCCATAATTTTTTTCGGCCTTCTTCTGGCCTTATATACCTTCTTTAAAATATTGTCTTCATTCTTACGCATTACATGCCACGAACATGTCATATAACTCTCATACTTAAAAGGCAATAACTAATTCGATAAAAAGCGTATAATAAGAATTGCTCAGACTAAAAGTAAGTACCTACTATATGATGATTTTTATATATATGTATTTTGGCGATAATAAGATGATAAGATAGGCATTTCCCAATTGTAATTTGGAAATCTTGCAATTAAATTTAATTGTTTTTTGTTATTTTTTTATATCTTATTACAAAAACTGTATAATGTATAAATTATTTATAACACAAAAATTTTTTTTTCTTTTTCAAAAGTATATACAACTGAAGGCAAAATTTATATGTACCTGTGTATATTAGACTTTTTATTTTGAGACATCTGGTGGCTACGTATGAAATAATACCTGTTTTATAAGAGTTTGTATATGTACCGTTGTAATAGTTTCTTATATCACATATAAAATAAATAAATTGAATTGAATATATAATAATATTAAATATTCTTCTTTAACACATAAAATTGATTATTTTACGGTTAATTGTGAATCGTAGGGACTGGTCTGTTCTGATCACCACACACGACTGATTTACTCTTATTTACTTAATCAACCAGTTGGTTATTTGATATTTTGTCTATTTGAGTATTTAATTGAATTAGTGTTAGTTTGTAGTTTGTATTCACACACTTCAACTTAAAAATGTAATGAACTAAGTTATTTAAAAGAGCAACACGTTATTGCTCTTTCTTCTAGTGATGAGACAGGTTTCCGAATGAGCGGTAAATTGAAAAAAAATGTCATGACTATTCAAAAGTGCTTCATTAACGTTATTTGAGTAAATGATTTTCTATTTTATTCTATAATCATGCAGTTGCGAACCACTGGGTTTCCATCAGCAACTATTAATCGTTTACAGTCGATACGATTCTAAAATGTTAAATACTCAGTCATTATTAATGTTTTTAACGTATAAACATTATTATGCTACATTTTTCATCAATAGAATAGACTACTCATTTCTTCAGTCTCTAACATTTTGGGACCAAACAACGTTAGCCTCAAATGTGTTATGTGTATCTGTTTATTGAGATTGTGAATGTATTCCGCTTTAATTATTCGTTATAAACGAATATCGAAACGAATAAATAATGTTTTAAAAAGTAGGCATATGGCAGACAGAACTTCATACTTCAGAGGTTAAAAGACGAATTGTAATACGATGTTTGATTAATCTAAGAGAGATGGACTTTGTATAAATTATACTTTGGTACATACATATGTACCAAAGTATATTTTATACAAAGTCAATTTATAAAAAGTCCAGCCAGTCACAAAAGAGCTTCTTTACGAGCTGCGTTTGGTTTGAAGGCGAGATGGTATGGCATCTTACCCTGTAATTTCACTGCCATACTCACCGAAACATTATTCCGAGCCAATCGCAAAAGAGCCTCTTTATGAGCTGTGTTCGGTTTGGTGGCGAGATAGTGCCGGCGTACCCTGTAATTTCACTGCCATATGTCATCGAAACACATGGACTTTGTACAAATTATACTTTGGTATGTCTCTATTCGAGTCAGTGATAAAGGACCTTCTTTATGAGCTGTGTTCGGAGTTGGAAGTAAGACGGCGTACCCAGTAATTCCACTGCCATATCTTACCTAATAACAGTTTAAAAGCTGCTTTATCTAAAACTAGCTACTCGCCCCGGCTTCGCACGGGTATACATGTATTATACATACAAATCTTCCTCTTGAATCACTCTATCTATTAAAAACCGTTTCAAATCCGTTGCGTAGTTGTAAAGATTTAAGCAAACATAGGAACGATCAGACAGCGACAGCGACTTTGTTTTATACTATGTAATGATTAAACTAAAAAAATCTAACAAGTACGTGTCACGCAGATGACTTTGAAAAAATGTGCCTCTAGTTATAGAAGACCAAACGTGACTTTTTCAAATTGTACAACCAAGTCTGTTGATGCTGTTGATGTCAAGGCGTTATGATTGGTCATAGAGGTCCAAATATCGTATAATATTTTTTACACGTTACTAATAAAGAAAAAATGTAAATGATAAATTATTTGACAAGAAGTGCCGAATGTCTGTCAGTTATATTTAACTCGAAAGCAGTCTAGAGAGACTGACGGTATATTTGACAGAAGAGTCTGTTATAGACCTACTTGGATATAGATATTTTGTTTTTTTTTATTTCATTATGTAGTAACTACTGCTCTTAAAGTATCATAGTAGGTATCACTTACTTACTTTTTTATCTTTTTAACTGCTCGAAAATTGATTTACTTAATATTATATTCAAAAGTACCTGTATTTATTAATTGTGAAGGATTAGGTATCAGGATGGCGAAACAAAACTATATATAGAAAATTATTTATTTTTATCTTAGAATGTTATAGTATGGTACAAAGGCAAAACAATATACAACTGGATAAATTCATTTTTAAACACATGTCAAATAAAATATAAAAAAGTAATTCATTCTAACAACTCTAAAGAGTTCTGTAACATACTCCGGCGCGCAACATGCGCTTGCGCATTTAAAAACAAAACTAAATAAATTTTTAGTTTGAAAATACAAACATGTTAGGCACGTAACTATTTACACGAGTAATCTTTGTGGAATTTTAATTACACGCCCCGATCTTGTGGTTTTAGGAAGTACCGCTATTGCTTCTTTTGCAATAGGATCTACTGTGGATATTTCCAAAGGATAAAGTCTTTGTAATGGTCTTATGCGTTCTCCATATGTTGTCTTGAGGCGAGCTACTCTTTCATGACCATCAACCCCCGGATACAATTCTTCCACAATAGCTAACGGCCAGTTAACTCTCTTCGTATCATTGATCTCAATAAGAACAATATCACCGACTTTAACATGTAATCCCTTTTGTATTCTGTTATTTTGTGTCTTTTGGGCTAATATAGCTAAATATTCATTCCTAAAACGCACTTTAAAATCGTTCTTTAATTTCTGAATATATTTTAAACGATTATTTAATGATTCTGTATTTACTTCATCTAAATCTGAAACGTCGTATGATAAACAGTTTATAAACATAGAAGGTGTTAACGGCATCAAATTTTCCGTATTTTCCGTAATATATGTAAGAGGTCTATTGTTTAAAATAGCTTCACATTCTGTCAAGATAGTTAATAATTCTGTATAATGTAGAGCCGCTTTTCCCAACATTCTCCGCAATAACTCTTTTAACATTTTAATCAGTCTCTCCCAAAATCCTCCCCACCACGGCGCATTAGGGGGTATAAATTTCCATTGTAGTTTTTGAATGGAAGATTTCTTGCTTATTTCTGTCCAATCGATTTTATTCAATAAACTGTGCGCTCCACGGAAATTCGTTCCATTGTCACTATAAATAGTACGTACTCTACCTCTACGTGCTAAAAATCTCCTAAGTGACAACAGAAAATCTTCTGTAGATAAAGATGTACATAGTTCTAAATGTATAGCCCTATAAGTTGCGCAGGTGAACAATACAACCCAACACTTGTCACCGGATTTTAAATATAAGGGTCCCGCCATATCGATTCCTGTAGCTTCAAAGGCAGCACCACATCGAACACGATCGGCCGGAAGAGGTGCACTGTGAACAGTGTACGGTCGAGAATTATGTCTTCTGCATGCAACGCAATGTCTAATAATACTTTTTACTAAACGCCGAATTCCAATAATCCAGTACTGTTCTCGTACGCAGTTTATTAAAGTTTGAGATCCAGCATGTAATGTTTCTTTATGTTTCAGCCTTACTAGACGTTCTATTAATATATTTTTACCTGGTAGTAATATTGGTCTTATAAAATTATTAGTATCGTCCGACAATGTCACACGTGTCTTTACTCTTACTATATTTTCACCGTCCCTAAATGTTTCTAATTTCAATCTTTTTATATATTCCTCGTTAAAAGTCTCTTTCTGAATTAAATGTAATAATTTCATCTCCGCGTATTCATACTCTTCTGCAATTAAATTTCCATGTCGTTTATTATTCTTCTTTCCTGAATTATTTACAAATCTATAACACCATCCTATCATTCTTACAATTTTATTGAAATCAGAAAAGTATGTCAGATTTTCAGTAAAGTTCTCATGTTTCTTAACCAGAAGACACCTCTTAATAATCTCTTTGTTTACCTCATTAATATCTGGATTGATTGCTGAGAACGGCCATTCTGACACTGGTTTTCGTAACCAGTCCGGTCCATTCCACCATTTACTATTAATTAAACTTTGAGGGTTACAACCACGCGAAGGTAAATCAGCGGGGTTGAAATTTCCTGGAATATGGTGCCAATTATTTACGTTTGTCTTCTCTTTAATTTCTTTTACCCGATTGTGTACATAAACATTTAAATCAGTTTTAGTAAACCAGGATAAAACTATACTAGAGTCAGACCAGTAATATTCTTTGCACGATTCTAATTCCATAGCTTTTTTAACTTGAACTGCAAGTCTGCTTGCCATCAATGCGGACAGTAACTCAAGTCGAGGTATAGTTAAAGTTGGTTTTGGTGGAGTTATTCTGTTTTTAGCTAATACTAATTTTACTGACACTATTCCATTAAACTCTGATCGTAAGAATATACAAGCTGAATAAGCCAATTGGCTAGCGTCGCTAAATATATGTAAAGATTTGTTGCTATTTTTTAATGATGTGTCACTCAAACGGCGTGGTAAATGACAGTCCTGTAAAATACCTATTTGATTCATCCATTCTTTTGCCGGTTTTTCTATAGAATCAGGTACTTCGTCATCCCAATTAAGTTTTACCTGCCAACACTTTTGAATTAACAACCTTGGTAATAATGTCGCAGCACAGAAAATTCCCAAAGGATCAAATATACTATGAGTACATGACAAAAGAGTCCTCATTGTTACTTTACGTTCTAAATTGAATTGAGGAATTTTGCAAAAAATCTCATCTCGCTTTGGATCCCACATTAAACCTAGTACCGATATAGTTTCAACATTTTTATCTACCATATGTGGTCCAGTTACCCAGCATCGTAACTCAAAACCTCCTTTAAGCATAATTGACTTTGACTCGCTTATAAAGGTTTCCATCTCTTTTTTACTATCTACGCTTACTACACAATTATCGACATAAAATGCACTTTTCAGTACGTTCGCTGTATGGTTATCGTACTTATTTAAATGGTATAAAATGGTTGCTGAAAGAAGGAAGGGACTACACGTTACTCCGAAGACCACTCTGCAGTGACGGTACGTTACCATACCTCCATCTGTTTTATTGACGTCTTTCCACCAAAGAAATTTTAAGTACTCTCTATCATCGGGTTTTAATGAAATTTGTAAAAATGCCTTTTTTATATCAGCCGTAATACCGATAGCATTTTTTCGAAATTTAATCAATAAGGGTGGAATAAGCTCTATCAAATTATTACCCTTTTCCAAACAATTATTCAAAGAAATACTACCTTTTTGAGTTGCTGATGCATTAAATACAGGTCTAATTTTTGTTGTTAAACTGGATTCCTTAATAACAGCATGATGTGGCAGATAATGACCTTGTTTTGAATTCGGATTATTTACTTTCTCAATTATACCACTGTGCAACCATTCTTTAAAAACTTCATCATATTCCTTGAGTATCCCCAATTGAGTTATTTTAGTAGTAGTCGACTTTAATCGTTTCAATGCAATTTCATAATTAGTCACAAGCTGCATTTTATATCCACCATCTTTCCAAGGAAGGTTCACTTCATACCTATCATAATTATTTAGCCTGACTGTACTGTTAAAATATTCTAATATTTCCAAATCAGTTTCATTACGCTTTTTTACCACTTCTGGGTCAGAAATACCCATTGTCTCTAACTTCCATAAATCGGCAATATCAAAAGTACAATGACATACATTTATAATATTGCTGTTAATGACAGAAAGACATGACGTAGCTTGAATAGGTCCCTGTACAGTCCATCCTAATTTAGTTTCTAAAGCAACTAATTTATCAGTAATTTGAACTACACGGCCTGTGAGCAACGTGCCTATCATGTCTGCTCCTATCAACAAACCTATGTCTGTTACATTGTCATTGTCATTTATTACAATACCCTGCCTCCTTAGCTTGTTTGAAATCTCATAGTCATTAATTTTAGGCAAGTAATTACATATAACCTTTTCCTCTAAAGCTTCTATTTGTAAACTATATGAACAGTCTATACTTGAAATTGAAGCTCTAGAATTGGTAAACGGTAACGTCGTTCATTTTTTGCATTTTTTACCGTCCCATTTGATGCTGAACTTTCGGTTTCATGTAAAGTACTCATTTGCCGATCTGCGCGAATTATTTCTGCATATTTTCTCTTTAGTGCGTACCATCTATTTTTGTATTCCTCTGTCGTATCTATGTCCGCTTCAAATTCTGCTTCGTTTCTATTATCTTCATCTAGCCACAACGAACATATTTTATTATCTATTTCATTAAGCGCTGTCTGTTTCTCACAGAGATTATCATAATATATTTCGGCTTCTTTAATCTCTCTATTTTCCAATGCATCGTCCAGCTTTTTTGCATTGATCGTGAATAACCTTCTTAGTAATTTTCTCTCTTTTATTGCCCGCTCCATTATAAATTGACCTCCACCGATTATTTCTTCACGGTCGCCACTTTGTGAAGGATTAGGTATCAGGATGGCGAAACAAAACTATATATAGAAAATTATTTATTTTTATCTTAGAATGTTATAGTATGGTACAAAGGCAAAACAATATACAACTGGATAAATTCATTTTTAAACACATGTCAAATAAAATATAAAAAAGTAATTCATTCTAACAACTCTAAAGAGTTCTGTAACATTAATGTTGGTTCTACTCATGACACTTCTTTATTTTTTTTGTATTCCATCGGTTTACACTGAAAACTAGTACTATACAATGTTGTTTTGAATCTTAATTTCATACTTCATAATCAATGAATAAAGTAAATGACAAGAGTTCAATAGTATTGGCCAGAGCATTTGCCAGTGGATAATGTAAAATAAACTCGTGTTTAATCGCAATTATTTTATTACTTTTATAATATTAAATATACAAATTATGGAGAACAGAAAAAACCCGGAATCCATTACAAGGACACTTGACAGAGAGAGAGAGAGTTGTTGAATTGGGAGATATTCCGAGTCAACAAGAGTGACGTTTTACATATTTTAGACAAGACGATACTGACATTGACAGGTACATGAGATTGTGTAATAGAGCGTTATTACATTATATATTTAACAAGTAGAGCTTCGAATAGATGAAGACTAGGCTTTAAACTGAACCTGTAGTTCGAGGAAAACATAGTACCTAATGTTTGATGTGCGTTTGTGTAATTAGAAAGTGTATTAAAATAGTTGTCTACAAATGCCCAATATATTGTATGTTAAACATAGACTACGTTCTTATTCTGGTCAGGTCTAAGATATACTTAGCCTACAAGTGTTCAACCAATATATGTACTATGACATTTAAATGTTTTCGGTTTATTTTGACACTTTTGTAATGTATTTTACATATGAAATAAATAATATTAATTCAATTTTTAGTGTTTTATTTTTTATAACAAAATTATACGATTGCTTTGGTTCTGGTGTCAATATTAGTTCTTGGTGCCAATATTGGTTCTTGATGCCGATATGGGTTCTTGATCCCAATCATTGGAAGTACATAGACTAGTTAACCGAGTCCCGTATTTCGTCTAATCAGGATATATCTTATATGTTTTATTAGGTTTTCTTATTTATATAAGTCGGTTTATATATTAGTTGTATATCAATAACTTGTATAAAGCTATGTTACGTAGGTACCTGTTAGATGACTTGCTTGTTAGTGAAACTTCTCTTGATATTTTTGGTTTTCCAATTATTGAGGGAGTGTTGTCTTATGGATCTCCTGTAATTCTCTAGATCAAACAACCTAATAAGTGCAGAACATAGGGTTTCTTTCTTTTTAAAATTAAAAAGTAATAACTTCTAGCTTTAATAATTAAAATCTATCGAATAGAAAAAAAACACCAATATTAAAACGTCTGGATGTGGGTGATCTGTATTAAAAGGCACTATTAATAGATAATCCTTGGATAGAAAATTGTATTGAAATCTATTCATTCTGTTCTAAACTATAATGAAAATAAAAAGGCACAAACATACTGGAAACTTTTAACTCTTCTTTAGGAGTTGGACGTTAAAAGAGTTTTATGAAAGTCATATTTTGACAATCAGAATATAAACAGAATTTAACACAAATGTCAATCAATTTGTACACCTGAAAATAGAAAAATATGGAATTATCAATAGTACTTTTATTTGAGACATTTCTACTATTGAAAATTCTTGATCATTCTGCCTCGAAAAGCGTAGTCCCTGTTCTATCTTTGTCTCGAAAAACGAGATTACCAGCTAATAAAACACTACAGTCTGATCTCAAGGTAAATCAAATACAATTAACTATATTAACACATTAAGACCGCATGCCCAACGGTGGGTCATTCCGCAACGAAAGTAAATTTACACGTTGGGGCCGGGTGATCACTCGTGGGCACTTTAATTGAAATAAATCTAGGGGTTAAATAATGTCTACCTCAAATTATTGTTCATCACTGAAAACATGTTCAACACAACATAGAACTATGCATAGGAATTTAATGAACTTACTTATTAATTAATTTAATTAATTAATTAATAAGTAAACACTCGAGTGCGAATAGATACTTTATGCCGAATGCACCGTACTTATCGTAAAGAAAATTTATGAATTTATGGAAAATTTATGGATGAAAAGTCAAAACCACTGTCGTGCAAGGCATAGAGACGAAATTCATAGCATTCCAAGGATTCATCGTGTGGGAGACAGGGAAACTCCGAGTAGTTTCCGAGACTTTGGCCCGAGTTTAAGGGACCCCTTGCCGATGTACCTACGTCAACACTTACACCGCTCGTATTTCTCTCTCAGCCGAGCGAAATTTGTCAGTAGTCTGCTAGTGCAGCTTTAGATACACGTTCTAGTATAGACCTTTCTGCAGTTGTAAACAAGTTATGATCATTTAGAAGATTGTAGAGAGATTTCGCTGGTTTAACTAATGCTGGGAGCGTTAGGTAGAGCAGCGAAATTTTTGAACACACAAATTACCCACTTTTTTCTATCTTTATTGCTTTCTGTCTTCAGTTCCTCCCATTCATCATGCTGATAGACAAGGACAAAGATACAAGCGAATACTGGCGCGAGACTGAGATACTCTCTCTAATAAGGAATGACGAAACCGAAATTGATTACGAGAAATGTCAACAATCACCAACGAGTTCCCTCGTGCAATTCGCCAGTAGAAGAACCGTCAGGCCTATTTGTAGGAACCGGTTGGGTATGATTTATACATAAGTCTCTGTAGTACTTATTACTAGTGCTTATAGAAGTATAGAGGCACGTATAAATTCTAAGGTTTTAAAGTTTACAAGTAAAAAAAGGCAATATCAAGGGATAAAAATAATTCCCGATATTTCCCGATATTTCATAATAAACTGAAGAGAGGCGCGTAGATGGTAAATAAAATTTTATGATAAAAAAGTATATTTAAAGTTTAGATTTTAATATTTTTATGTTTAGGTTCTAAATGTGTTTGGAATTGTAATGGTAAAAAAGCTGCTGGTCTACACTCTACATAATAAGTGTAGCAATATGATAAGACTACGGTTCATCAGGTTACAATGTGATACCCGTGATTCATGCGGGCAACGCATTCCAGAAGACTATGTGTCATACCTCTTATCCAGTTATTTTACTGCCTTCTTACACCTTTTTTACATAACTTAGACTTTGGAGAATTCGAACGTGGTTCAAATCAAAGAACAAGCTTCTTTGTCTCCAGCGATGTTGGCTTGCCTTGTAGATGGTGTAAGGCAGGTCCATCGTGTTAGGGCGATCTACTTCATCCTACTCAATTGTGGAAGCATGTGGCATATGTGGACGTTTTGGGGTCATTTGATTCGGAATTTCGGACTACAACAGTTTCTGTTCACTCACAAAGGATGCTGCTTGGCGGCTTCAATATGTCACTCAGCCGACTTTTTACAAGTACATGTCAGTAGATTAAAAAAACATATTAATGGGTTTATTTTCTTTGCTTAGTATAAAAAATGTCGCCTGCGCTGGCTTTACGCTTAGATCTTTTAAACTACGTAACGTATTTTAATGCAGTATTCAGGAAGAGAAAGGTTTATATGTATAATACATACATATTATAACATAGAAAAGCCGACAAATGAATAAAAAATAATGTATATTTTTCAGCGTGTGTATTGAATTTCAGATTATCAACTATGTCCTCAATGTCCTCACTTCACCAATCATACGGAGTGTGAATTATTTCGAGATTCTTGCAGGTAAAGAAGATTTTTGTTATAATTTTATTATGTTACTAACTGTGCCAGTGGGTTCACTCGCATGAAATTATATGTTTGTTTATTTTGATGTATAAGTGATATTACTGTAAAGTTTCATCGAAATCCTTTCAGTAGTTTTTGCGTGAAAGAGTAACAAACATCCATACTTACAAACTTTACCATTTATAATATTGTTAAGATTAATATGTAGATGATACATAATAATATTCACTAGACTATGAAGGATAGTTTATAATTATGAAGGTGATGATAATAAGTTGAAGTAATTCAAGGGAGAGGAAAGTCCAACCTTCGGAGTATCGCACATATTGCGACAGAAAGTATGGCCGATGGCGCGCAATGTTCTTGCCGGCTGATTATTCACAATGCCGATGTTGCGATGAGTGCATATTTTATAGAGGTACGAATATTATGTTATTAATACGACGTGAGTCAGTCATCCTCACTAAATCCAGACAAGCGGTTGCGTGGTGGGAAAAGTCATAGGGTTCCCTAAAATATGGTTGAGCGCAGTGATGGCTAGCTCACCCGTTATACTTAGAGTTCCCTAAAATATGGTTGAGCACAGTGATGGCTGGCTCACCCTTTATACTTAGGGTTCCCTAAAATATGGTTGAGCGCAGTGATAGCTGGCTCACCTGTTATACTTTGGGTTCCCTAAAATATGGTTGAGCGCAGCGATGGCTAGCTCACCCGTTATACTTAGGATTCCCTAAAATATGGTTGAGCGCAGTAATAGCTGGCTCACCCGTTATACTTTGGGTTCCCTAAAATATTGTTGAGCGCAGTGATGGCTGGCTCACCCGTTATACTTAGAGTTCCCTAAAATATGGTTGAGCGCAATGATGGCTGGCTCACCCGTTATACTCGTGAACGCACCCGTTCACGTAGTATAAAGAATGTCGCGTCCGCAGTTTGTATGCTTAGATATTTTATACTAGGCAACGTTTTATGTAGTATTCAGCAAAAAAGTGATTAAAGGGAAATGTTTATATGTATAATACATGCATACAGTATAGAAAAGTCGAAGAATTCAAACATTTGAAGGGCACACATTAAGGCATAAAATATGGTTGAGCGTAATGACGGCTGGCTCACCTGTTATACTAGTGAATGGGTGGTGCTTGTAGGGACTGGTCTGCTCTGTTAACTATGACCGATTAATTTTGTTACTCAAGTTTATTTATGTGAATGTGTGAAACTATTTGGCAGTTTGTATTCATACAAAACTCTTAAGAATGTATTTCTGAATAATAATTATTTAAAAAGCAACACGAAATTCTTGCTCATTCTTCTTACAATGACTCGACATGTCTATCCAAGAGTTTATTAATTTTACTCGATTAAAGATTCTGTTCTGTTCTTTGCTTTGCTTGGAACTAGATGGCGTTGTCTGAATTCTTCATGGATATTAATATTATTATCAGGTTGGTTATCTACATACTTGTTTGCAATTTAACTACATTATATAGGAATGTGAATTAAAATATACTTGAAAATACTTGAAATGGTTATTGTATACAATTCTTCTGATATTAAATTGCGATTAAGACATTGCTTTAAGCGATAAGGCCGCCTTTTGTTTGCATATCTTTAATTTTTTATTTTTTTTCTGTAATATTTTTATTCTTTTATGCAAAATAGTTTTATTATTAAATTGTAAAAGTAAATTGTGTTCGGTGTTTCTTAAAGAAATAAGTAATTAAGAAACCCCGATGTGAAAATGTTCTTTTTCTATATTTCTTACAATTAATTGTTTTGGTCCGTTTCCAGAATTGGATCAGTCTTGTGTGCAAGATGAATACAATTTTGATATTGAAGAATTTATGCCTGTAACGACTATAGGTAAAATGTTCTTATTAAGGCGCCCCCGAAACTCGTCAAAGTCGTATTTAAACTTTAATCAGACTTTTTAAAAAGTCGTCTGCATGTGTACCTTACTCTCACCTGTTTTAGCCGCGAAGCAGCAAATTTTGTAAACTGTTTTTATGTTTAAATGGTAAGATATTGAATGTAATGTAAGTAATAATAATTAATATTGAATGTAATGTAAGTAACAAGAAGCAGAGACTCTAGTTAACTAATGTTTAGATTGAAAAATAGAAATACGAAATACTAGCTATGCTCGCAACTTCGTCCGCGTGGAATAGTAACATTGACCAAATAAAAAACAAAATATAATCTAACCCGGTAAAACAGAAAGAAAAAGTTTCAAGCTTCTAACTTAAAAAATGACGATACTTTCATACAACCTTTTATATTAACTTTCATGGCTTTTTTCGCATTAAAAAGTAGCCTATGTAAAGTATCCTTTCTCAGGGCCTAGACTATCTATGTACCAAATTTAATTTAAATCTGTTCAGTAGTTTTGGCGTGAAAGCGTGACAGACAGCCAGACAGACAAAGTTACTTTTGCATTTATAATATTAGTAAGGATTAATCAGTTTAATTGTTTTATTTATTAGATTTCCGAGCCGGTTGTAACCCGTACTGGGGGCACCCTGAGCAGGAGTTCAAAGCTCTGCGCTGTGATAACAACTTGCGCAGATGTAAGATTCATTGTTTTTAATGTAGCACTAAGATCATCCGAAACTCTGTTTCGTTCCTACTGGAATTATTTTTTTATTATTTGGAATGGCAAACAAACTGATGGCAAGCGGCAATCGTTATATCGTCGATTAAATAGAAAAAAGAACATATTTCAAAATTGGAAGCTAGAATTGCCTTCATAAAAGAAGGCAATTCTAGCTTCTAATTTTGATTAATAAGTCAATTAAATTAACCACGCCGCGGCGCCGTCTTAATCATTATCTAAATACTTTTAAAATGATATATAATGCTTCTGTGTCAAGTTAAAGGAAAAAATAATTTAAATAAATTTAAAAACTTTAAATGCTAGTGTTTTAACAAATGTAAAATGATTATTGGAGCAGTGAGAAGTCGCAACTTTCTGTAAAAACATTATCTGTCGTCTTAACAGTCAAATTTTATATGTAAAATGAAAGTTGTTCGGATGTGGCTACATTATTAAACGAACATCCTCATTTGAGGATTGGAAATTGAAAAATATGTTTTTAAAAGAAAAATAAAGTTTTTATCGTTTCTTTTTTTTTTCACCTAAATACCTGCAAAGTGTACTCTTTTTGAACAAAAAATAGTTGGTCACTGTATAAAATTTGACAAACAAGAGCTATAATAATAAAAAATAATCTCAGGACAATTGACACAGCGCCATCTAGACCCAAGTTAAGCTAGCTGAAGATTGTGTTACTAGATAACTGATACATATACATAGATTTTTATTTGTAAATACATACATATTATACATAGAAAACACCCAGACCGATACAAACAATCATACTCATGAATACAAATGTTTGTGGCGTGCGAGGAATCGAACCCGCGGCCATCAGTCCTAAAGCGGTGTGCTAGACCGCTGGACCACTGAGGTCGAGTGTTGTCAGCTATATTAATGATATTTTCAGGTGTGCCCGTAACCGTGCCGTCATTGCCGACCGAATCATTAAATTTGTAAGTACGAAATACAAACTACAGGTTAGATTTTATCAATTAAGAATGAAATGTTCAAATATTATCCAAACAATTCAGATTATCCTTTATCTATCTTCAGAAGAATGATCTGTTATAAGATTATAGATAAAAGATAATCCTAATTATTTTATTAATCATGTACAATTATAAATAGATTAAGTTTATAAAAAAACAAAAGTTTACCCACAGTCCATCATTTAATTACCTTCCGTTACATTTTTAAAAGAAGAAATTTTTAATCCGAGTGTCTTATAAACAAGATCAAGTGGTATTCTAAAAAAAACTTCCAGAGGCCAAAGCGACCAAAGAAAATGTCAATGAAAAATCGACAATTACTTATTAAATATTCTATTTTTAATATAAATAATCGATTTATAAATATTATATTAATTTGTAACACATAATGTTACATCACTAGGACATTGTTCTTATATTCCAGGCGTCGTAATTTCCGTTACGAGCCGGCTACCGGTGGTAGCGACTGTCCAGTGTCCTGCCAAGGATACGAATGCCGGAACGGATTCAATAAGGAGGCCCAGTGTGTACCAGGGGCCTTCCTACCTGATAAAGAACAGTGTAACTGCTGCGGAACATGCAGTATCTACCAACGTACACACCAATACACCTACCAATACACTTACATTGTAGAATGAACTACCTACTGAAGTTTTATCGGGAGATAGCGTAGGGTTTTTTAAGAAGGATATGTTAAGGTTTCTTAAAGGTCGGCAACGTGCACATGACACTCCTGGTATTTCAGGCGGCCATTGGCTACGGTAATCGTTTACCATCAGATGGACCGTATGCTTGTTTACCACCAAAAAGAAACTATCCTATCAACTAGTACTTTGTTGGTATCTTCCGGTAGGACATCCTTCTACCGGAATATACCAGTAGAAATAGGCTGCAGTACATACCAATTTTGGTTTTAACGTAACTATCCTACCTGCTGGTACTGTAATGGTACCTTGCGGTAAGAAATTCTTCTTAAATTTAGTAAGGTACAGTATAACTAGTACATTTATTTAATTATTCTGAATTTGGAACACGTATATTATTTTAAAAACTACTTCTATTTTGTGCCATATGTTTAACAATATTATAAAAAGAAATCCTCTATCACGTCTGACTTTCGAATTTGTAATGTATAGACTGTTGAATGTTTTATTCAGGTTTGCTAATAAATATTATTATTTCAGAGTTAAATCAAAAGTGTGCTGAATTTAAAAAGACGGTGCATCACGTAAACGGCACTAAGGAAATTGAGGTACATTTAAGTTTATTTTTTTATACCATTATGGCGACAAACAAGCATATGGCTCATCTGGTGGTTGGTTCCCGTAGCCTATGGACGCCTGAAACACCGTTGGAAAAACTTTTTTAAACACCTCTTCAAAACATCATTTTGTATTGAATCTATACCCGTATATACTATATATATGAGGTTTAATATATATTAATGGTAAATAGTGTAATGTTTCACTTGCTTGCGCTAACGGTTTATGCTGGAGGGCACCTGTGGAGGAGGACAAATACAAAATGAACAATAGGGCACCTAGCCATCTTGCGTAATTCACTAGGAATTTATCACGATGGTTTTCAAGTGCAACCGCGTGGAGCTAAATCAGACATGGTACTGGGGGTACGTAATGTGGGTATTAGTTCACATTTAATAACAAGCTCGCCTCCATACTCTTATTGCGATTAGTTCTGGAAAATAGTGACACCTTTGAAACTTTAGGTAGAAGAGGAGTTCTTGGAACCTGGCTGTGATGACGGACTGGTATGTCGACAAGGCCTTTGCCAGGATATCCACACTGTACGGACCTCAGCAGGAAGTCGTAGAAAGAAGGACATAGACATAAGTGCCAATGGTAGGTTTTATACTCTACTAGCTACTCGCCACGGCTTCGCACGGGTGTACATGTATCTAAATATCAAAGGTAACTGACATAGTGATCTATCAACGCACAACCCAAAAAACTGGACGGATCGGGCTGAAATTTGGCATGCAGGTAGATGTTATGACGTAGGCATCCGCTAAGAAAGGATTTTGAATAATTCTACCCCCAAGGGGATAAAATAGGGGATGAAAGTTTTTATGAAACTTTGTCAATTTTAAACCGATCGGGCTGACACTGCATGCATAAAGCTACTACGATGTAGGCATCCCCTAAGAAAGGATTTTGATGAATTCCACCCCTAAGGGGATAAATTAACGCGAGCGAAGCCGCGGGAAAAAGCTATATATAATCACTTTATCTATTAAAAAACCGCTTCAAAATCCCTTGCATAGTTTTAAGGATTTAAGCATACGTAGGGACGGACGGACAGCGACAGCGACTTTGTTTTATACTATGTAGTGATGGTTTTGTCGAGACGTAGACTCTGCGTGGGTACACCTGTCGCACCTATTTCTGCCGCTATGGAGCTGCTTTTCGTATAAAGAGTACGATCTATCAGTGAAATTACAGTGATTAGAAATATTAGTTCCTAAGGATATCAATGCACTAGGGATGTTAGGAGGTCATATAACGACGTGGTGCCACTTTCCAGTTTCCATCAGGTGAGCATTATCTATTTTGTTCACTTCCATTTCATATAAATAAGGTCGTTTTTGTCGAATTTTGGATTCCGGATCAGACCATGCTGAAGTTTGGAAAACGTTATTAAAACACATTATATTGTGTAATTAATATTATTACCTTTTATTTTAAACAACTTTAATAATATTACCCCATGTTATATATACCTTAAGGACTAATATATATGGAAAATAATAAAACATATAATAAAATATTAATATAGACTTTGCGTGTATAACAAAGAGGTACACAACTCCCGGTATTTTCCGGTAATTTCAATGGTCACCAAGGTTAAGGACCATCCGATTCTGATAAGTGGTTACCGTCGATCCCTGAACATCATCATAGACTTGGGGTCATCATGTGACGCTCGTGCCACCACTCATATGTTGCCATTCTGGTGGTCCTTTATACCCTGTAATTTCACTGTTATATCTCAATCTCTAATAGCAACACATCTTACAAAGTAAACTGCTATGCGCTATACGTGAGTTGAGGTAATTACAGTATTCGTGCAACGCAAATAAAAGAAATATTAATCATTAATTTTTAAATACAAATAAACAATTTTCAATATGTATAAATAGTTATTCTTAGAATGTGCTCTTACAATGAACTAAAATATTAATTACACAAGACTCATTAAAACGTCACTGCATATCAGTATTCGACGCACTCAATAAACGATTGGCCACAATGATGTCATTTGCGGTTAACACATTTTCTTAAACAAGTCAAAATATCTTTAATCATGTAGGTCCCCCAATCTTACTGTAATCAGTTGGTGTCGGGGGCGAAGTAGAAGAACTAGAGTAGACTACGCTACTAGGCTAGAGTGAACCACCACCGACGAAGTCATGGTGGACTGTCAGCGACCCCGCAACTCCGGCATATAGCGTTGTACGAGGGACAACTTAGTTTTTAGTTTGCCTTTCTCGGGACGGGCTGATCTCCGAGGGATTGTCTTTAAGTAAAATAAGTCCGAATAGGCCCTAACAAAAGAGTTCTGTCCTATACCATCCATGGGTGGGCCAACACCGCTGGAGTCGCAGTAGAATGCTAACGCGACCTCGTAACTCCGGCATATGAGGCTAGAAGTTACACAATGTGGTATTTTAGTGAGTAAGAACCTCATACATCCCCCTCGCCACTTAGATCATCTGTTATCCTCCGGTATGGGTGGCTATCATTATGAAAATCGTTCAACATGTCAAAAAAATATAAAAAGAATGTTACAGTTATCCCTGCAGTTGGTTTTTTATCGTGAAAGAGCAACAAATCTCCAGCCATCCTGGATGCAGGATTATATAATTAAGAACTAATAACTATGTATGTTCTTGTATTTAGTAGAACCTTGCAAACGTGAGCTGAAGTATTTCAAGAAGAAATATGGTGCGGACGGTCATATGCATTACGATGCCCCACAATGCACGCCTCTCTGGCTGTATGGTCCTGTGCAGGTACAAATATTATTAATTTGGAAGGGTAAAAAGTTGACGATCTGAATACGGTGTGAATATGGACTCTATTGATATCATTGATGTGTAAGTTATCGTTAACATGTCTATTTGTGTGTATTTTAAAAATTATTTTCAGTGTACCAATTAAACAATTTTCTTTCTTTCTTTCTTTCTTATTTGTTGCGAAGGCCTGACCACACTAATGGAAGCGTCGAGACTCGAGACCATCTTTATTAGTGATCAATTTCCGACTGTTAGTGAGCCTACACCCATATTGCAGTATGTGTTTCGCATTTAAACGAGGCATCATCAGGAAATTAATAGATCACGGATATAGCTTGGAAACCTTATTGACTGACAGCTTCCAGACTACAACAACGGTGTTAAAATTAAACAAAATATCGATCCAATAATTAAATGGACTTCCGTATAATAACACCTACAAAAAAAATACTACTAGCTACTCGCCCCGGCTTCGCACGGGTGTACATGTATTATATATATAAACCTTTCTCTAGAATCACTCTATCTATTAAAAAAAAACGCTTCAAAATCCGTTGCGTTTAAAGATTTAAGCATACATAGGGACGGACAGACAGCGACAGCGACTTTGTTTTATACTATGTAATGATGATACACCAGTGGCATAACTGAATAATAATCAGCCAGGAAAACTGACACAGCGCCATCTAATCCCAAGAGTAGAGCTTGTGTTATGAGTACTAGACTACTGATACAAATACTTAAATATATTTTTGTAAATACATACAGAATATACATAGAAAATACCCAGATTGATGCAAACAATCATATTCATGAGAATACAATTGTTTTTACACAGTTTTCTCTTACAGCTCTCATCTAATTTTGTTTCCCCCCTCCTCTTTCGTCTCTCTCCTTTTTTTCTAATCTGTATACTAGATGTTCTCGGGGTCGATCACCAATGGACTAACATTATAAAAATGGCTACATAGCAGTCCATTCCACAATGATCTCCTGCAGCCAAAAACCGTACCAGGTGGAGAGAAATTGCAAGGAGCTCTGCCGCAGCAGCAGGGGGTTCTTCCGCGGGCCCTTTTGGGCCGCCGGGTACGGGCCTCGAGCATATGCTCATTACGTGGGCATACTGCTGGAGTGGACCACACCAGCATCGTTCATTTACACCGTTAGTTGGCGCCGTTAGCCCCTACTATTATGTAAAGCTGAAGGAGTGGTGTGGTATACAGGGAAAATATTGTCGCTCGCCGGCCGACTTTGTACACCGCCCTGCCGCTCTGCCACCAAAGACCACAACGATACCATTTCACATCATGAAAGCCACGACCACTCTGCCAAGAGTAAACGACTGAAGAAGATGAAGATGTTGCTACTAGTCTTAATATAGGCATTCTTAGCGACATATGTACTTTTGATTTCAGTGTCGGCGTTTTGTTTGCTACTGCGCGTTGGAAGATGGAACTTTCATTGAAGGTATAAAAGTGCCTCGCGTCGAAGTGTCCAATATGAACTGTGGTTAGTATTAATAGGTATTATTTGACTCTAATTAAGTTATAAATTGTTTGGTAGATTACAATATCAACGTGCTTTTAAAACACTAAGAGTGTTTACAGAAATTATGATGAATGAGATGTTCTGGAGCGTTCTAGTATCTTCATTGTTGTTTTTTTTTAATCTTTAACAATTCACTTGTATTTATATATTTTTAATATATTTTCACATCTATTTACATGTTACATTTCTAAATACATTAAAAGCCTTGATGATAGTTGCGGTTTCAATTCTTCGTACGGTACAAACAATATGTTAATGAGCATGATTGTTTGTACCTACCCATATAAAGGTAGGTTGACTGAAGTTTTTCTAGGTTATGGGTACAGGGTCTATTGTAGTATGTAATATTGACTTAATTTGATCGAGATAGTCTACACAATGTCGTCTGTCTCATCCATTTCAGCCGCCAAGCAGCTGACTTTATAAGCTGAAAGAAAAGATGTTGAGAAATAAAACATGGCAGCGAAATTACAGGATAAGAGCACATTTTAGTCCTTCGGAATGGTAAAGCGTGAGTGGTATCGAGAGTGTTAGAAAAAGTAGGGTAGTTTTAAAAAATAACTTTACACGCACAGACTGTGCCCGCGAGAAGTGTCGAATGGGTTCCGAAGTGGAATGTGATGGATACGGGAATTATAAAGAGGCTGTGTTCGTACCCCACATTGACGAGTGGGGGGAAACTCAGACGAACGATGCAGGTAAGTACAACAATAACCTATGTCTAAGTTTGGTCGCTGAACTGTCAACACTAGGCTTCCAAGCTTTTTTTCATGCTATACTAATACTGTTGGCCGCAGATGGCCTTTACAGCTTCACCGAACGATACCGGGGAGTGAAGATGGCACTCCAAACCAGCGCAAGGACTTTAGGATCGGCTATAGGCCAACTCGCGCTCGGATACTACTTTTGCCTGAGCGCACTCCTAGGGGTGTGAACCTTGGCTTAGGCTGTCGTAATTTCGAGAATCAGGAGACTTTCAAGCTCTATTCATTGCCAGACGATGCCTCGTTCATAGTCGAATTACGTATCCCAATATGGATGTAGATCTAATAACTCGGTCGGAATTTAATCACTAATACAGAAGGTCAAGCTTCCAGTTGGTGGTCGGGTTCCACTCTGAATATTTGTGGTTTCACACATGCTAATAGTAGCGGAATCTAACAAAGTAATATAAAGATGTTAAGTAATGAAATAGACTTCCCCAAAATAATACCTAAGAATACATTAAATTTTATAAAACTGGGCTCACATTAAAGTAAGTAGGATTAAAGACATGAAACGATCCTCGAACTCGAACTCGAACCTCGGCTCAGGCCGTCGTAATTTCGATCCCCGTTTGAATTGGACGGGGGATGGATCGGAGAGCCGCCCGGGGGCGCCGGTGTGAAGGCGCCCGGTTGAATGCGCGATATTGTGTGTTTGAGGTCGTCGTCTTCGCCAGCGAGGACGGTGTCGTGTGTGTGTGTAAAAGTGTGGTCAGGGTGGAACGGGTGGGCCCGTGGGGAGTTTACCTGCCGTTATGGGGTCGTCGGGGTCAATGAGAACGTGCCTCGGGCGACGTTGTCGCGTATGTCGGACATTACTCCTCGGTGCGTAGTCACCGCACTGACTATAAGCGGGTTAGGGTGGGATTGGGCAGAGTCGAAGTAGCATCGAGAAGCTTCCTTCATAAACTGCTTGATGGAGGGCAGATTAAGATCGCGGTGGAGATCTATGCTGCGAACGAACCACTGCGCACCGGTGGCTCAACGCAGAAACCTATTCTGTATGATCTGTAGTCGGTTGTCTAGAATAGCAGCGCATGACTGGTATCGCGAGTGTCACATGATATTGTGAGGTCCGTATTGCTGTTCATGTCTATAGACAGACAGTTATCGCTTAACACCATGTGGGAAATTAGCTAGCTTACTTACATTCTAATTATATAAAAGAATAACAAAGTCTGTCCCAACCAAAGAGTATTGTATAGTAATTATAGAAAAAAAAGAGCGCTATTTCATGAATGGGAAGTGCTGCTTCTAGTGGTATTATGAAGAACTAAATATATGGTACGTTCAAATATTTACATAGGTTTTTTCGGACTATTCTAATGTTGCCCGCAGTATATATATTGCCGTGAAATTGTATACATGGCGGACTTAACTCCTGATGGCATTTTCTACCAGTCAGCAGACTTAATGCCTGATGACACTTTGATTCTCTACCAGTCAACCGTATTTCGTTTTACGTCTCTACACCTTAACATTGCCTTTGTCTACCCCACTTAGTATACTAGTTGTGAATTCTTAATATTTATTATTTGATTTCCAACAGATACACCGTCCCCGGAAAACGACACGGTCCGCACATCTCGAGATATCGACCGAACTACTACTGTAACAAATACAGTTTAATTATTTTTAATCATTTACACTTATTAAATTTAAATTCAGAGTTACGAAATATACACATATACAAGTTAATAAGCATTTTATTTTCAGGATTATAGATAGACTAGCTGAGCCCGCGGTTTCACTCGCGTTAAATTTGAATGTATAAATTTCAATAAAAAATATAGCCTATGTGTCATTCTAATGCATACGATGCTATATTAGTGCAAAGTTTCATCAAAATCTGTTTTTTGCGTGAAGTAGGAACAAACATCCATACTCTCAAACTTTCGCATTTACAATATTATTAAAATAAGATAAATTGTCTTCTTGATTTTTAGAAATCAAGAAGATTAATATGATAACAACCCAGTATAATTCACAGAGCCCCACCTAGTTCCAAACTAAACAGAGCTTGTGCTATGGGTAGGTACTAAAGAAATGTTAGAAATACATAAATAAATTTGTTTTGTTTATACACACAACAGAAAACACCCATTTTTATATATAACTGACTACTCGCCCCGGCTTCGCACAGGTGTAAGTGTATTATATATACAAACCTTCCTCTTGAATCACTCTATCTATTTAAAAAAACCACTTCAAAATCTAGAATCACTCTATCTATTTAAAAAAAACGGCTGCTAATCCGTGGCATCGTCTTAAAGATTTAAGCATACATTGGGACGGACAGACAGCGACAGCGACTTTGTTTTATACTATATAGTGATACCCCTGGACAATCCACACAACGTCACCTAGTCCCAAGCTAAATAGAGCTTGTGTTAGGCAACTAAGTAGGTATAAAAATTAGTTATAACCTATTCTCAGATGTATTGAATGAATTTCATCAAAATCTGTCAAGCCGTTTCGGAGGCGTATAAACACGAAACCTGTGATACGAGAATTTTATATAGATGTCTTATGGACGGGGATGTCCGTAATGATATACATAGTTGACTAACTGACCCGGCCACGCGTTTCTGTGGCTAACAGTTTCTTTACAATATCTTATATATAATAATAGTATTTTAAATATATATTTGTATACTTAATGTATATTATATATTATATACCTATTATGGCCAAATATTGCTGATCAATAATATAATAGAAAGTTGATAAAGGAATTTGTAAACGCCTGAGTTCACGACAAAATAGTTACCAGCAAAAACCTGAATCATAAAGTACAAAATAAAACGCTTTTCGCAGAAAATCAGCAGCTGAATGGTAAAACTTAGTGTGTATTACTCGTATAAACATATAATTTACAAATAATAGCTCGTCAGTAGTACGCTCTTATGTTTCAATGTCATTCTAATTTGGCCAGATTATCTTCCGCGTCGCGCACGCGCCGTGGCATCCCGAACAGCTGATTGATATATCAATAACTTTGTAGTTATTGGTTACATTGACGATTGTGTAATAATATATATAGAAACTGTAACAAAATAACAGAAAAACTTGGTTATTTTATTTACTTTTTATGTGTTGAGCATTGTAGACATTTCATAACCTTCACCTAGCCGCTAAAAGCGGGGTATTTCTGTTCGCCCTTGTGATGTTTCGTGTCACGCCTGCAAACGGTGTTGCCAACTTTTATATACTCCCGAATTCTATGCAGAATACATTTTTTATTTTATTTTATTTATTTGAGCGACCAACAGAGTTTCAAGAATAGAGTAAAGTTCAGGTATATAGTGTTGATTTAATTACTGGTATTTGGATTTTTTTTATGTTATGATGATAATAATGGAATGGTGTACCCGCCTGCACTAACGGTTTACGCTGGCGGGGCACTAGTGGTAGATAATAAGATGAGCATGAGGTCAGGTCAGTTAGCCCATTGTGACAAATTCAACAAGAATTTATCACGATGGTTTCCAGGGAACTGCGTGGAGGTCAACCTGACATGGTATATTGCTAGCAATGAGATCATCAGTCCACATTACTAACAATCTCCTTTCTCCCCTGTTATTGATGATTATGAAATATTTTATCTACCAGCGATAAAGGTTTACGTTGTCGGGGTATCAATGGACGATGATAAGATGACATAGAGTCAGGTAAGCTCATCGTGCCAAATTTATGAGGACTTACATATGTTATATTGCTAAGTATTGGCTTTTAATTTTCATGACTAACAGTCCCTATATGTGCAGGGTACATTTACACATAAAAAAGAACTCATATAATATCACAAATAAAAGTTTTGACGGATGAAATAAGTTGGTGCCACTGTTGTGCCACCACAGATTAAGAAACCATAGAATTTCTTATTACAGAATTGTAAAAAATGATTTAGAAAATTTTATGTCTTCTTGACGGTTTACATAGACAAAAAGACGTATTAAACATCTATCTATGTATATCTAGTTTTATACCATATACAGGAGCACATATGCCTCGGTTTATATTATATTATTTAATAATTGTTTGTTTGCGTACAATCGTTTTATTTTATTATAATAATTCTGCTATAATGATGCTCATGCAATGCATAATATGCAGATATATTCTGTTGTATTAAATATATATATATATATTTAAAATACCTTCAACAAAACACTTACATATTTAGAATGTTCCAAATGATCAAATTTGAATATTGTGTGAACGAATCACTTGAATAAACAATATATCCGAAAATGTATAAGCATTTCGTTCGTTATACCTACTACTAAATATTATGTTACATCACTTCATTATTATCTTTTCCTTAACGCTGTATTACGGAAATAAACCTTTGTGATTGGTAACCCCGGCTCGCAGCGGCAGTCAATATCGTGCGCGGGAGGAGCGCACTGGCTGTGAAAATAATATTTATTTTTTAAATCGCGAAACTAGACTCAAGTGTTTAGTGACAAAATGCCTAATATTATTAACGAAATGAAATTGGACTTCAAAGATGTTCTACTAAGGCCTAAAAGGAGCACATTGAAGAGTAGAAATGATGTAAGTAATGAATTTCAATTGTGATGATTCTGAAATATTGGCTGAAAGATCAAGGTTCAATGGAAAAGGCCATCTAATTCGGCTGACACTTCCGCAAGGGGATTGGTTTTTTTTTAATTATCTGCCGTCAAAGTTACGAGGAAAAAGTTATTTTTTTTTAATTCATACAGTCAAAGATATATTGTGTTTTTATACAGTTTTAAAAGCTATTTTGTATGAATCTATCATTTTTAAAATATGTAACATTATTATCAATCTATACATAAATAACAGGCAACAGTTATAGAAAATACCTCCGTTTAATTCAGTAAAAATAAAAAAAACTACTTAAAGTTTATTATTAAAATCAAATTTAAGTACATTTTTAGGTTTTTAATGTGTCATCCGATTTATATTTTTTTATATGTATATGAACACGTTTTTTATTTATTGAATTTAATGATTCTTATATGTACCTATAACTGTAATTTGTATCAACTACGTTTTATATACAGAATTTCCACCTAACTCTCCCGTGTTGGTAAACACCGTTACGAAATCTCGAGTAATACGTATCTAATGATTACGGTCTGTTTTTTCAACGGACTACATAAGGATTATCTACAATAGCCACGGCTTATCTACAATGTATACAATTTGTAGAAAGTCTACGTTAAAATTCGTATAAAATCAGTTGAAAAAAAAGGGTAAAATTTAAAATATACATTTTCTAAGGGAGTTTTAAACCCCCCATTCTAATAAATAATAATAAGAAATACAAGCATAATCAACCCTCTTTTTTATTGTCTACTAGCTGTACACGCAACTTCCGCGTGGAATTTAACTTTATTTTTCTAAAATAAAGGTAGCCTAAGTTACTCTTTATTACATCAGCTACCTGCCAATAAAAATCCCGTCAAAATCGGTCCAGCCATTTCAGAGATTAGCCGGAACAAACAGACATTGTAAAATATGTTATTTTGGTGTATGACCGTGTTTATATTCATATGCAAGTAGTAAAAAACGGTTATTTCAATATTACAAACAGACACTCCAATTTTATTTATATGTATAGATGAAACATAAAAAATATATCATGTGATTGACAAGTTATAATCAACCTGTCTGCATTCGAAGCAATTTACATAAACATTGTATATCGATTTCATACCAAAATATAACCATAATAAATTGGTTTTATTTCGTGACTGTAAGTCATTGTGTTGCCATTATGCGGTGAACTCCCTTCTTTTCGACTAACTTCAAAAATGGAGGATTATTCGAATGCATTTTTTTACGAGTGGTTACCTCAGGAGTTTAGTTTTACTTTCGGTAATTTCGCGGGTTTGATTCCTCGCACGTTACATCCGTTTGTATTCTTAAGTATGATTGTATTTTTTCATTAATGCTAATGGAATGATACACTTGCCTGCGGTAGTGGTTTATGCTGGTGGGTACCAGTGGAGGATGATAAGATGAGCATGAGGCCAGGTCAGTTATCCTACCATGACAAATATACAAGGAATTTGTCACGATGGTTTCCAGTGGGAACAGCGTCGAGGTCAACCTGTACATTGGTATCAAAGGTGTCAAAAATCTTCATTATTTACAAGCCTGTTTCTGTTATTCTTAGTATTACGGATATAAAATTTCAAATACACTTTGTACTCATAAAATTAACAATAATTCTGTATTATTATCACTTTATCTTATATATAAAATTCTCGTGTCACAGTTTTCGTTCCCATACTCCTCCGAAACGACTTAAACCTATATAAATACCTATGCATTGTAAATAAACTGTATTAAAAAGAAGTAATTCAATTGAGTTTCTTGCCAGTTCTTCTCAATTGGATCTATATACCGAACTGGACGATAGGGAAAAAAAATATAATGTAAAAACTTGAAGTACATAAGCGGTAAAAATTGTCCTACATGAATAAATGATTTTTGAATTTGAATTTGAATTTAAGGAGCACAAGCTCGAGGCCCGATCCTGGCGGCCCGTAACCGTAAGTACCCCTGCTGATATACCTCTCAGCGAGGAGGGCGAGGTCGCGGGAACAACATTCTTCCGCTTCCCCGCCCTGCTGGTAAAATATATAATATTATATTATATAAGGATAAAAGATTAAAAACTAAATACAAGCTTCGTCATAAATGAAGCATAATGTATTATTTTCCTTGTATCCTTAATTTTTAGGTCCCTTTTTCATTACACAATTTATACATTACAAAGTATTAGAATACTATCCTAATCATCTGTATGAATGTTGGTCCTCCAGAATGCGGTTTTCTAGAATATTTTTGCTACGCACCACATTGTGGAATCACCTTCCAGCAATGGTATTTCCGAACCGATACGATATTGAAACCTTAAAAAAAAGAGCTTATTCCTTTTTAATAGACCGATAACGTACTTGCAATTCCCTGGTGTTGCGGGTGCTCTTGGGCGGCGGTAATCACTTACCATCAGGTGAGCCGCTTGTTTCTGGGGACAATATATATATGGTGTTTTATAAAAAATAAAGAACAACAATAAAGTACATTTATTATAGAATGATTCACCCGTCTGCCCTAACGGTTTACACTGGCGGGCACCAGTGGAGGAATATAAGATAAGGTCGGGTCAGTTAGCACATCGTGGCTAATTCACCAGGAATTAACATGATGGTTTCCAGGGGAAACCGCGTGGATGTCAACCTGACATGGTACATTGTTAGCAATGGTTAGTCGGTTAGGTTAGGTTAGTCGTTAGTAGGTTAATATTAGTCACATAACTGACAATCCTCTTGTCCCTAGAATAGAATATAATAGAATAGTATTCTAATAGTAGAAGACATAATAATAATCACAAGAAGAAACAACTCACTAAACGATCACTTGAAAGACGAGTGTGTATGGCAAAGTTGTTCATGAACGGGATTTTCATTTAATGTTAGATATAGACAACTATATAAATAAACATTGTAAATGAATAGACTTTAAAAAAAGTATATCAATTGACTTTCTTGCTAGTTCTTCTCAATTGGATCTATATACTGATCTAGACGGTAGGGTAAAAATCTTATATATAAAATTCTCGTGTCACAGTTTTCGTTCCCATACTCCTCCGAAACGGCTTGACCGATTCTCATGAAATTTTGTGAGCGTATTGAGTAGGTCTGAGAATCGGCCAACATCTATTTTTCATCCCCCTAAATGTTAGGGGTAGTCCACCCCTAAATGTTTATTTTTTATTTTAAGGCAAAACAACGTTTGCCGGGACAGCTAGTTATAATATAAAAAAATTGACGTCCATAAGCGGCTAAAGTGTTTCTACAAGAATAAATGATTTTTGAATTTGAATTTAAACAAACAACAATTTACACACATTACGAAACAGAGTCAATGTGTTAATGCTGGAGTCCTTCCTGGTCTAACGGTTTAGCACGCCGCTTCACTTCCGATGGTCGTGGGTTTTTTTTTATAGGAATGGTGCACCCGCCTGCGCTAACGGTTTACGCTGGCGGGGCACCAGTGGAGGATGATAGGATGAACATGAAGTCAGATTAGTTAGCCCAACGTGACAAACCGGGAATGTATCACGATGGTTTCCAGGGGGAATCGCGTGGAGGTCGATCTGCCATGGTACATTGCTAGCAATGGGATTATTAGTCCACATTACTAACAATACCCTTCCCCTCGATGGTCGCGGGTTCGATTCCTCGTACGGTACAAATATTTGTATTCATGAGTATGATTGTATCGGTATGGGTGTTTTCTCTAGCTTTTATCTAGCTTATCTTGGGCCTAGATGGCGCTGTGTGAATTATCCTGTGATTATTATTGAATTAAACAGTCGGTATTACTATAGTCGGTAATACACATCATAATTGTTATATATAGGAATATATAACAATAATCCATATTACATACATAAAGGAATTTATAATTGCCTTGGGAACGAGGATAACGGATTCCATGAGTGTGAATCCACGGGAAACAGTTAATTTATGTAGGTGAACTATAATTAACTTATGAGACCATGTTTTCAGTAAAAAGTGAGACAATTCACACAGCGCCATCTAGTCCTACAATTATTAAAATCACTAGTATCCTGACGAGTTAGGCGTAATGCCGGTTGGTCAGGGAGAGAAACACCTCAATGCCTACAATATTCACAATTACCTATCTCTTATTTGTTTTTATAATAATTCCAACTTTTTCGCTCCAAAACTCCCGCTGCCTACGTTCAATTATCCGTCATCCACTTGTCAATGTCACACAGATTACTTTGGCTCTGGCCTCTGACGTTCCGTTTCAGGTTACATGATTATTGACTTTACCATTTTTAATTAATGGTGCGTCACACGATAGTTAACACGATAAGCAGAGCTTGTATTATGGATACTAGACAAGTGATACAAATACGTTTTTTTATATAAATATATATATATATATAACATCATGGATAGAAGACATCCCGACCAATACAAACATGGATGGGATGTTATATATATGACTAGCTAGCCCGCCCCGGCTTCCCACGGTAACACGTACTACTACGTAATAACACGCGTATATTATAAATATAAACCTCGTATTTAATCACTATTTATTGTTAAAAACTGCATTAATGTCCGTAACGTATAATTAGTAAATCACAGGATCTTACCATGTTTTATATTTAACAACATTACAGATCTTTGAATTTCTCCACTTGTTCTATACTGTATTACAACACGCATGTATTATACATATAAACCTTCCTCTTGAACCACTATCTATTAAAAAACCGCTTCAAAATCCGTTGCGTACTTTTAAAGATTTAAGCATACATAGGGACGGATAGACAGCGACAGCGATTTTGTTTTATACTCGTATTATGTAGTAATGAGTTCCCAATATATCATGAAATAGTGTTTAAACCGCTATGATCACGGATAAACTGTAATATTGAGAATTCAATTCATAAAAAACGTGGTAAGATCCTGTAACTTACTAATTATACGTATAGATAATGAGAGTATGTAATATTA